CACCTTTTACACTTTTGTATTCAATTCTCAACGATTTTATTATTTTCTTGTTTCTCTTTTATAGAAATTATTTGCATCCGAATATTTAAAATAATTTTTATTATACAGGGTGTTCGAGACTATTCTAATTTATAAATTTTGTATTAAAAAAAATCCAGAGTGTCATTCTTTTAGTTAATGAAGTGCCAGTTAAAAATTAAAAAAAATGTTCGGCTACTTTACTGTTATACATGTGTCAAAAATCTTTGCGATAAAATTCATATGAAACGAAAATCTATAGTCAAAATATTAAAAATTGTTCCTTAATGTTTTTTGTTTGTTTCGGAAGTACCCTCGAGACTCAGACACTTTATTTATTTATGTATAAAGAATTATATAGGAAAATAAGAATTGTGTCATCTTGATTGCTTACAATATGTAATTTAACACCATAATATACTTGTATATTGTATACCTATACATATTTACATAGAAATGCTAAAGAATAGGGAAAAACAAATTTTTTTTTTTGTTAGCCACTTGACCCCTCCAAATATGGTTTCTTCTATATATATTTGTATATATACAATATGCAATATACAACTATATGTTTGTATATTTTATTGGAAAATATTTTATAAAACAAAAATCTATTTAAATTTTATATGATTGTGTTAAATATAAGAAAATAACTGAGATAATAATCACCAAGTTTTATATTATAGACTAGTTTCTAGCTTAGTATCAAACAACATTATAAATATTTCAATAGTTCGCAAATTCATAGATCTTTCCAAATTATATATAGGAACACACAGAATAAAGAATAATAAAAATCGTATATAATCTATTGTACTTATGTGTAAAGTATACTAGAATAATATTATTTTTATAGAACAATTCAAAGGAAACTTGTCAAATACAAAACAAAAACCAAATAATTTAAATAACAAAAAAAAAAATTCCAATTTAAAATGCTTACAATTGAAATAAATTTTAAAATAAAAACAAAAAATCAAATACTTAAAGAAAAACATTGTTTTAAGACCAAACAAAATGGTAAACGAAGAAAAAAGAAATATTTATATTTCCACCTTACAAACAGAGTCACCATCCCCCGCACACCTTAGATTGAACTTTAATTATTGAATTCAACCTTAAATTCAATAATTTTCAAGTATTTCTAATTTGAATTGCATATTCTTATATTGAATTCTAAGTGTAAATCTGAACCGTGTCCTCATATAATGTCCTCATATCCATTAGCCTTAAATATGTAAAAATTTTGAACTTTAACTTCGTATTGAGTTTTACTATTTTTTTTTTTTTCAAAGTACTAATTTTAAGACAACGCTATAGAAAAAATCATTAAAACAAAAATTAAAGGTTTTAAGAATGAATCTATACAAAAATTTTTATTTAGCAAAAAAATTCACTTCAAAAAATCATAGTGAAAATAAATAAACTCCTACAGTCGCAAGGTCTTGGATTTTGTCTATATTTTCTTAAATACCTTCCTTTATTTCATATATGTATATATATATATATATATATATATATATCATATATCATATATATAGCAAAAATATTGTATACATATTTCAATTTATTCATTCATTTGTCAGCAATGAATATAAAGTATAGAGTTTAAATGAAAATACCCTTAAAATGTATGACCTAACAAATATATGCGATCGTATATTCTTCGCATAAGAATTACATAGTCGTATTTTATGTTTAAATATGAACTTAGAATTATTTCAGAATAAAATACTAAGATTAACAAATAACTATATAAATTCTATATAGTTTAGAGAATGTCGCCAATCGTTAAAACACAAAAACGAATTAATACCTTTAAGTGAAATAATGGTATACAAGAATAAAATCAAACAGCAACTAAAAAAAACTAAGAAAAAAAACCCCAGCACCTTGCTATTATACTAACTGCGTTTATTCAAGGGAATCTTATTGAATTCTCTCTACATATATAAAGGCTTTGCATTTCTATTTACATACACCCATTATATACACCCATCTGTCTATATACATGAAATTGTCTGTCTGTTTTTTTTTTTCAAAGTATTATTTAGGAAGTTGAAAATTTATTATATGTAAAGGACTCCCATTTTCTTGAAAATTTATGTAATTATTAAAAAACATACAAGTTAAAACAACAGGAGTAATGTAAAATATAACAAAAAAAAAAGAATATGTATAAAAAATAATGAAGTTAAAATTTAAATCTAAAAATCATTAAGATACTAGAATTTTTTTTGATAAATTATGTCTATAAATCTAAGTTAATATGACGAGATTATGCACATTTGTGTTTATACTAAAATGAGGAATTCATTAAATTTTACTCTTTGCAATATTTTTAATTGGTTTGTCAAACTACGTACATTTGGGTGGTCTTGTATGCAATTTAGAAAAAAAAATTTAAATAATTATGTATTTTAATATTTTAATAAAAATTCTTTACTTTCATAATTAAGATTTAAAAAAAAATTTGAAAAGAAATTTATTTAATAATTGTTTGAATCTAAATGAAAATCCGCCCAACCCCCCCCCCCCTCCCTCTTCTCTCTTCTTCTTTCCAAAAATTATTAATAATTAATGGAGTCAACTGGTAAACAATAATAATTTGATTGCGTTCATTACAAAAGAAAAATCAAATACCAAAAAAAAATTATGCAAAAACACTGTAATTACTTTCTTCATCTAAGGCGAATGGAAGTGATAACTGCCTCATATGTTTGAGGTCTTTGCTTTTACTACTTTTAAATTTTACTGATAACATATCATATGTGGACAGAAAACTCATAAATGACATTTTAGAAATTTCAAAATTGTAATTTTTCTCGCGATCAAAATGGTGACCAAATCAGTTGCTGCTTATAGCCGTTATGTATAGAATTGTAATTAAATTTAATGTTTGTTGTAAAGATAATGATGACATTATACATACATTTTAAAATAATGCTTATATATTGTATACATGTATGTACATACATATACATACTTTGTTACGCACAATATTGTACGTGTGTATTATTGTTCATGTAATTTAAGTACAATTTATAAGTAAAATAAAAACTTGTTATACAAAAGGTAATCATTAAAAGGTATAATATGTACTTAGTTTAAGAATAATTTACTAAAGCCATAAAAATTATATGCAATGTGGGTACCTTATATATACTATAATTTATAGATATTAACGACAGGAATCACAAGTTGCCATATCTACAAAAAAATAACTCTAAAAGAAAATAATTAACTATAGTAATAATCTTATAGTTAGCTCCAGGATTGTATTTAATTTTTAATATGACGGAGGCCTGTTCTATATTGTAATGCAAAACAAATGTCCAAATACAATGACAATACAGTTGTAATACACAAATTTAATATTTTTGATTTTATAAAAGCAAAAATTTTTAGAGAAAAAATTCTCTAACCTCTCTTGAGTTCAATACAAAAAAAGTTTCAATACAAAATCTACGAGCTCATATGGAAACCTCTTAAGGGTCACATGATGTAAATAATAATGCATAAAAATTAATCGTATGTAATATTATATATGTATACACATATATAATTCCCTATACGTATGTATAGAAGAGAATTTTTATGCAAGTCATTCAATTAATCATCATTGTAAAGGCTACTATGCAATATATTAGGTTTTTTTTTTTAAATGGCCAGAGAAACAAAATGCTATCATTAATTAAAGAAAAATGTTCAATTATGCCAATATTCAACAATATACGAGTACATTTATCCTCAATTAACATTTAATCACCAAAAAAACAAAAAAAAATCAAAATAAGAAAATGAAAAGAAAATCGCAAGCAATTAACAGCTTTTTCCTACTTATACAAAAAAAATTAAAAATTGCGAAAAAAGAATTCATTTCGAACATATATGCAATTTTCTGTTCGAAAATGTACAAAAACAAAAAAAAAGAAAATAAGCAGATAGACCTTGTCATGTTCCGAATACAAAAAAAAAAATAATTAAAGAAAATTCTCGTATGTACTTTACTTGTAGGTGAAGTAAGAAATTTCTTCCAGTATTCTTTACTGCAAGAAATGTACTTTAAGTAACTTTAATTTTAATATTGTTAAAGAATATTCCCATTAAATATTTTCCTATTAGAATTGAATAGGTTTGAATGCATGCATATATTCAAATACATATACATATGTATACGTATTTCTAAATAAACAATAACAGCCTGATCGTGTATCTTGCTTTTTTTTACTCACTTTTTCTTTCACTTTCAAATCAGAATTCTCTGTATTTTCTAATGGATGTTTCACTTTTCCAATAAGATTACTCATTTTTTTTTCTGAAATTATCGACTGAACACAAAACTTTCAAAATTATCGATTTTCAAAAATAAAGTGAATAAATTTTGTATGCTTTTTAGAAAAAAAACGAGATACGCAATATCAATTAATTCTTCTCACTCGAAAATTCGAGTATTCGGAACATGACATTATACAAATATATTATACTCGTAGTTACTCAAATTCTTTTCACTTTTCGAGTAAAATAGCGAAATAGACGATCAGGTCCTAAATATATGGTTATAGAAGTTGGAGTTCTCTATATATATGAATGTAGGAAGATCAACCCTTTCTATGATCTTTGAAATTTTTAACAAAAATTCCTTTAAATTTAAAAATAGTTACCAGAAATGTCAAAAAATTTTCTTAATTTTTAAAAAAATAGTGTTTTTGAAACTTTTATGATAAATATCACTATCACTTAGAGTTTCGATTCTTAGAATATGTCCCGTTATTGAATTAAATATCGAAATAGTAAATTTGGGTTAAAGTTTATGTCAAATATTTTCGATAAATTTCTAACTCAAAACTGATAAAGGTGCATTTAATCAATTTTTATTACTTACAACACAAGTATTAAATGTCAAGAAAATTTTTATTTTTTAATTTTTTTATGCAAATTTTGTTTATTCTAATTTTTGTATTTCTTTTTTAATTTTAGATCATTCCAATTATTATTTTCAATCACAATCACAACATCAAGGAAGATTTATACCATCACCACCATTTCCACAATATTCTCAAATACCACAAAGAAATACTTTTTTTCCAAGTAGTATAGATGGTGGTATAGGATTACCAGATCAAAGTTCCTCATTTCATCATAGTAATAATTTAGGGCAACATCATCAAAAATCAATTATTAATAATAATAACAATAATAATAATAATAATGGTTCACCAGGAACTTTTCATGAACAATATTTATATTTAGCTGATGATGCAACAACTCCAACTGTACAAAATGCACCATTTCAATTTCAACAATTTCAGGTAAACATTTTACATGTGTGTAAAATTTTATTATTTGCATATATAAAATAATTTAGTAATTATGTGGAACAATTTATTTATATAGAATAAATTGTAGAATAAAAATAATATTTAGAATATTATGTTTATATTGTGTGCAACATTTACCAAATTATTCTATTTTTATATTCAAAGGAAGAAAAGAGTTTTTCTTGTTGTTTAGGTGTATGAAAATAGTTCAATAAAACTCAAAACCAAAAGTGTGCCCGAAAGAACTAAATTCTATTTGCATATCGATTTTAATTCTGTATCCATAGCTAAAATTACTGAGCTCAAAAGCTGAGCCTGTTTTCAAGGGTATTATTTGATTATTTCTTTTAGAAGTTTTAATAAATCTGCGATACGGGATTAGCGAATGTAAGCATTAGGAATTTTTGGCCGATTTTGGAGAAGCTTGGGCAGGTTCAAATTAAGGGTGGAAAAGGAGAGATTCGACAGTACTACATCAGGCCTAGTTGGCCTATGTGTACTAAACCTTCAATAAAATCTTTACCTAAATTAACCTTCAATAAAATCTTTATTATGATCACTAATACAACTTTCTTATATAAAGTTAAACTAAAAATAATTCATTCATTTTATTCCTGATGTAAATATTTTTGTGTATATTTAACAGAGCAATTCATTTTATTAAAACCCTAAAAAACAAAAAATAAAAAAATAAAAATACTTCCTCAAAGTTTTGTTTTTCTTCTTCTTGTTTTATGTATAATTTAAATTTTTTGGACGAGATTTTAAATAAAATATTTAACTAAAGCAAAACCATAAAAGATTTTCAACGCCTCTTTTAAGAAAATAAAGATTTTTTTTTTTGGTTTTTTGGTTTTTCAATAAGAAAAACTTATCACAACTTAAAAATCTCTTATTGTCCATTGTGATCGCATTATAGAATGAATAGCCAACTTCATTATAGTGTTTAAGTGTGCCCACTATCTTCGTCAACATCATTTTACCATTGTATCATAATAATAACCTATCATAAACTGTTAACTAAAATTAATATTGTTGAATGATAATAAAATGTTTTAAATCATAACAATGGACAATTTATACGTAATGAAATATGTAAGTGTGTATTTAAAATTTTTTTTTTCTATTACACATTTTAAAAAAAGGCTTAGCAATTAGAAGATAAGGGGTGATTTTTTATATTTTTTAAATGTATAAGATTTGATCATATGAATCGAAGAATTTAAAATTATTATTTACTTTTTAATTATTACATATTTTCAAGTTTGACGCGATTACGTTTATAGACGTGAATTCAAAAGAGTCAAATCTGTACGCGTTTTTCGCACGTTTCAACCTTTGGTTTCAACAGCAAAATTTATAACTAAGACTATCTATGATTTCAATATTGTTTTACAAAATTGTAACTTATTACTAAATATAGCTGATCAAAACGCGAGGTATACACAACATGTATTACATGTAATTTAAGAAAAATACTTTAAAGACGTGATGAATTGACAGATTCAAAATGTGAGATCAATTTTTCACCGAATAAATTCCTGATTCTGATCTTAATTCTTTATTATTATTTTATATATGAAGAATTGGAAACATTGTTTGGGTGCCACTTTCTCTACGGAGAAATTTACAAGCTAATCGAAAACGGCTTTTTTTTTTGACAATGACAACTGAAACGATAAAACGTATAGTATAAAAATTAAAATTTGCGAAAAACTATATAGCAAAATAATCACCCTATATGTAATAGTAACATTTTCTTACAAATAAAAGTAAAAATAAAAAAAGAAAGGTGTAATAGATTTTCTTTTTAGCACATTTCAAACCCAATTCGAATTGAAAAATAATGTGTTCATTAGATTCAGTCTGTTCGTTTGTCCGTTCCCGATCTACACCCGTTTAATATAAAAAGGTGAAACTTTGTACACAAATGCTGAAAAACTCATTTTTCAAAATGATAAATTTTTTTCCTACTTCTATCGTACAGAAAGTGGCAGCCTTTCAAAGTCATAAGAATTCCATTTTTGTATTAATGAATTAATGAGAATAATTAAAATTTATTTCACATGTTCTACAGAATGTTGTGCTGTTTCACAAACCGATGGTTTAATCCGAATTTATTTAATTTTATTTATTTCTCTTTTAGACAATGGATGATCAGTAAATCAATTTCCATTACAATATTAAATATAAACAAAAACGGAAAACGAAAGTAAAATCTCAAATATTTAGATTTGAAAAAATGTTATATAAATCGGGGAGGAAAAAAAAACATTATAACAAATAATGAGCGTTGTACAAATTGTATTTAATATAAACGTACTTCCCTATAAATAATTACATTAAAAATACTCTAATATTTACTTATACATTAAGGAACTCTTTTAAAACAAATATGCATGTACAAATTTTGAAATTCATTCAAATACGAATATGTTTGGGAGGACGTGGTATCTATTAACATACATTTAGTAAATGGTACCACGTACTAAGAGTATAATTTACTTTTATGTTCTTTTATTCGAATATAGTTACTAATAGCATAGTAACTCTTCAGCTTTTGCTTTTGTTTTCTTTAAAAATTTTTTTATAAATTAAAATTTTAATTTCTTCATAATTGTTAAAAAACTCTTATACAGAGGAAAACAAAACGCTTACTAATAAATTAATTTTATTTTCCCTTTACTCTACAAACTATAAATACATTTTTACATAACATACATATCGTACATATAATTACATACATATGTACATATGAGTTGGAGCTCCTCGATAGGCGTTGCAAGCAATTTGCCCATAATTTATTGAACAATGTATTTTACTTTTATTTTAATTATGCATAAGAGTGCATATCTAATATAAATGGAAACGTAATACAGTTGCAGTAAATATATATGTATATAAAAATAATAATAAATATGTATAACACAAATATGAACTGTTTTCTATGAAAATATTAAGTGTTATTAATATTGCTCTGTTCATTTATAAACTGAGAGGAAAGAAAAAGTAAATTCAACAAAAAAAAAATTTAAATTAAATGAAAATCATCAATAAGATTCTTTTTGTAATAAAGAAATTTCAATTTTCATAAAATTACATTAAATATGGTAAAACAAATTTAATTAAATCATAATTCTCAATAAGCCGGACAATAGAGCATAAGTTAGATATGAAGAGCAAAAACTTTATTATACATATGTTTATAATATGTTTATAATATGCTTTACAATTAAAATGTTCACATTCCGGTAGCATTAAAACTTGCTTTTCTACTTATACATATACAAAATATTCCACCCAAAGTCACATATTGTAACAACTTAATATTAATAAGATTACAATCAGACTTGATAACAAGCACGGTGTATTTTATTTTTATATATAATAGATGTTACGATATCTGAATTAAAAGTGTTATGAAGTTCGTTCTATATTTAACCGTTTCGACCAAGATTTCAAAAAGTGTAATTAGCACATATTTTACATATGTGGGATCTATTATCGTTACATAAAATTTAGTTTGCCGAATCATCTAAATACGAAATAATACAACAGAGAGCCAAATACAATGCCATTTTTAAATTTTAGGAATGTTGGTACATTATGTGTACCATCCGGGCCGAAAGTGTTAAATAGCCTCTTATATCACCTTTCCAAATGAATGTTTAAAAATACCATTATGTCTAGCATAGTCAAAATTATAACCAAGTCAAATGATTTACCTAGAAAATGACATGGTGAACTCAAATTCAAAAATCTATTTTAAATAAATATCAAAAATAGTTGATGGCCGTGTTTTTATTGTAAAAAAAAATTCTGAGTAAAATTTTGGGTAGAATGAATGAAACAATTTTTATTTGCTTACAGCAAAAAATAAGAGTTATTTAAAAATAGATTCGACTGTTTTTACATATTTAAGTACATACTCTTGAAGGGCCATTCTATTTAACGTTTCGGTCTAATTATAAATTGCGCATTATGTAGATCCAAAACAAAAATATTTAATAAGTATAGTATGTGCACGTACACATATATGTATGTATATGGTCATACATTATTGCTATGCATTTAATATTTGTTCATATTTTGTTGTATGATGTTTTGTTATATTTATTTTTCTGCTTACATATGTGTATATATACAGATTAGCTTTAGTATCTATGTGCAGAGACATTTGATGTGACATTATATGAATGTATGTCTGATTATGTTTCAGTATGAATATTGTAATTTAAAAATTAATTAAATATAATTTTAGTTTTTGTAATTTTTTTAATAAGATCTGATTTTTTCCCTTAATACCTATAAATTGTAAAATTTTTAAAATTCTGCAAAAACAAATTTAAGAAAATACCTACCTAAATATTTATTCGATCTTAAATTAAAACTAATATATTTTATAATTATTTAAACTCGATATGTGCATATTTATCTATATACCGTTGAGATCAACGTATGAAGTTTAATGGGACCATATAATATCTCCGCCATTTATACAATGTCGTAAAGGTTTTTTTAAATACGACCGACACGAGTCGCGATAACACAATACACACATATTTCGTCCAGATGCTTTATATTTTTAAATTTAATTCAAAAGTATAAAATTTATTCATCTATTGTATAAGTATAATTAATTTAATCATATAATATTAAAATAAAAATTTCGATAAAAATTAAATTATGTTACACATTTAAATGGCTCATAAGATTTTTTGTTTTCCTCTATTACAAAACATTCATTAAATGAGATTTACCAATATTGAAATGCAATAAAGTTGAAAATATTTTAAAATATTTATGTAATAACAATGCACCATTATACATACATATATGTAAATATATATAGGTATATCCAATTTTTAGTAAAACAAGGACCATAAAATTAAGTTTGTATATAATATGAATATACATATTCGTATATTTTTTTATAATAGACAAAATGTAAAATTTCTAACGTAAAATCCTATAAAATTTAAAACTGTTATAAGAAAAGAATATTGTTTTAATAAGAAATTTGCCTAAAGGCATAAAAATTTTTGCAATGAAACTGCTAAGACCACCAAAAGTTGCTAGAAAATAAACCTTTTTTTGTTATCTTTTTTTGTATATTAATCTGCATTCATAAAAAATGATTTTTATTGTTATTTTAAAAATTTGATTCGGAATTAAAAATTTCATTTATAATGTTATTATTATTATCAAACATAAAGGAAGTATGCCGTAGCCTTAGTATTATCCATTAATATAGGCAAACTTAAAAAAAAAATAGACTTAATCTGAATTTTATTCCCATAATAATGTCCCCGTGTTCATCAAATTATTATACTCCTCAAAGTTTGCCCCCACCAGCTATGACTACTCGAAACTTGCAAAATGAAATTTTTCTAATTCAATATATTTCTTTGGCATTACTTGCTGGATCTAAAATTTCTATTAATTTAATTATTTATATTTAAATGCTTTAATCAATACAGTTTTTATTATTTTTGCTTGCAAAAAATTGCCAGTCCTAAATTTATCAACATTTCTCCTAAATTTATGCAAAATTTTATTGTAACAAAAATTTTACTTTTATATTTAAATTATTTTTATTAATAAGACTTAATATTGTACTAATACAAGTAATTCCAAAAAACTGAATTTGATTTTTTTTTAAATATTGTCCTATAATTTCCATTTAAGTATCTATATGTTCTTGGGTTCCTTAACAAAATAAATTTTAAAATATCTCGCACATTTTCATGAATTAGCTCATATTTAAATAAGCTTAAATCATAATTTTATGTAATAACAAAAATATGATTTAAGCTTGTTATTTGAGCGGTATGAGATATGACGTACAAAGTTATATACATATACATATTTACAAGTATCTATACGTGTATAACATTATTTTGTTGAACATTTATTATAGTTTAAGTTTTCAAATTTAAAAAAAAAAAAAAAAATTTGCAAGAGTTGCGAATTGACACGAATTGTAAGCATAAGAAAAAGGGAGAAAATTTCTTTTGCAATTTGTATATTTATAGCAATTTATCATTTTATTGGCATTATCCGAAAATATAATATGCAAAATATCTATTTATAGTTCACTTAACCTTTTCAAAACCAAATGGTAGGATAATTTTTGTTATTAATTTTAAAATATTTTTATTTCGTAAAGAAAAACTAAATTTCTTTAATATATTTCTAATAATTCTAATATAGATACCATAGTAATAGCACTCTTATATGCAAAATGATAAATTTTCTAAAATCGAGTTAAGTGAGTAATTAACATTTTGGAATAACCATATTGGCGTCAAATTTTCATATTCTTCATATTTAATATTTAAGATTTTTAATTTATAATATTTACAATATTATACAATTTTATTTTCTATATAGCCAACTCGAAGTCCCGATTATTATGATTTTCCACAACGTATTTTTAATAGTAATGCACAGTCAGTGGTACCATTAGGGCAATCACCAATACCACCACCACCACCGCCACCATTATCAGTTCAACCAACATTTACAAGAGCACAAGCTATTCGTCCAAATGGTAGTACCGGATTTATACAACAAAAGCCAAATAACAATATTCAACAGTCAAATAATCGTAATCAAAATAGTTCGTATAAACAAAATCATCAATTTATATCACAAATAGAAAAACAAGAACAACAACAACAACAAGTAAGTTTTATGATTTTTCTTTTATTATTATTTTGATTAACTCATAATAATTAATTTAATCCTTTATTAATACTGAAACAAATTTATAAAAAAAAAAAGAATTACAAAATTTACTTTCAACCAATTATATTTTATGTACCTACCTATCTTTGCGTTACCACATTTTAACAATACCTATGAATATGTAAATATGTAATAAATATAATATGTAAAGATACTGTTTTCTTTATAATCTCATTCTAGAGCCGCAAAGCTATTGGAGGTTTCTATCATTTAATATAAAATCATACAATTATTTTGTTGCGTTTTAAGGATCAATTATTTTTCTTTTAATCTGATATCCCTTCTGAAAACAAAATCAATTCCCTTTACACATTTTGCTAACATCTTCTTAAATTTAATATTAGTTGATGGTATAAAAGCAAATATGTGTGCTTAGGGCTTATAAAGATTTAAGTTGTTGTAGATTCTTTCATGTGCACTTTAATTAAAATAGTAAAGTCATCTCGTGTAGTATAGATGCATCAAAAAAGGATTCTTTTTAAAAAAATGAAGAAAACAAGGGGACAAAAAATAATGAACAATGACAAAAAATTATTGCTGAAAAAATTTTTATCATTCCCTTAGATATTTTTTATGAGGAAATAGCACGCAATATTTTTACTATATCGGAAGCAAAGAATTTTTTTATTCTCTAGTAAATTAAATTATTATTTTACTACTCTATAAGCATTTTGCGAGTCTTGTTAAAGAAAAATTCACATAAACATTTTCAAACAAATTGTTTATCACACACACATGATTGCTGAGTACTGACTGTCATCATAAATAGAAATTAAAAATGTACAACAAAAATATTATACAAAAAATTAACTTACATACATACATATAAAAAAAATAGTATTGTATTTTAACAGAAATTTTATAATTAATAAAAAAAATTAAAAATATTTTAATAATTAATTATTTATTACAGAATTATTTTACACCGTCAAAAAGTGATGTAAGTGTTGTAGTAAAACCAACAACATCTCAACCAAATCATTCCAATTTTAATCAATTCAATAAATTCAACAATAATAATAATCAATTGAAAAGCAAACCATTTAGTTCAAATCGTTTAAAATCCACAACATCATCAGAAAATCAATCACAATCAGATTTTTTGGAAGCAAATCAAAAGCAACAACTTCCTTTTAAAACAAATAGAAATCGTTTTCAACCAAATGCTAAAGTTTCTACAACATCATCTACATTTGTTTCTGAAACGGCAGCACCAATAGAAAGACAAAGAAATAATCGTTTTGGAAATGGAAATGTAAGAACATCTTTTTCAGCTCAGAAACAAACGAAAACTGCCATAACTTCAAATCAATCAGTTTTACAATCTAAAAATAATGCAGGATTATCATTTACACCTCAAAGATCAAGATTTGCCCCATCTAATTCTCAAATAACTTCTAAAAATTCCGGAAAATTAAATCAGAATATACCAAAACGAACAGTTTTTATTAGTCGTGAACCAAATGAACCAGTTCATTCAAAAACAGAAAATAAAATTACTATCGATCACAATGGAAGTGATAAAAGTTCCACAATAAATGAATTTAATGTAAAGTTTGGGCAAAAAATGAATACATCACAAAGTTTAACTGAAAGTTTAGATAATCAAAACGATTTTATAAAACCTCTTGAAACATTACCATTAAAAGAAAATATTGTTACAACAACTGTTTCAAGCACTACAAGTTCAGTGTCAGCTGAAGAACTGTCGGGTGATAAAGATACACCTGTTATTTTAACTTCTAATTTTTATTTACCCGGCAGCCTAAATGAAAATATTCAGTCTCAATCTGATGCCAATGAATCTGATACTTATGATAAAAAATTCAATGAATACTTTACAACAAGTAAAACTTTAGAATATGATTACGAGTATGAGGACTATGATGAACAAGCTGAAAACGATGCTCCAGTTGTCAAAAACGAATTCGAAATTGAAAATTTCCAAGAAAAACCCAAAGATTTAAATTTAAATTCATCTACAGAGCAAAATAATTTCATACACGCTACAACTTTCCGGAGAAATTTCGATAAACTAACTGAAAATCCGTTGCCATCCAAAGTGTCTCCAACTCCAGATATCCTCGATGATATTAATGACAAAGAAAGTGTAATTTCAGGAACTGAAACAATCACCGAAACTCCTTTAATTTCAGCAAAAGAATCAACAACAATAAACTTTCCACATTCTTTTCAATCTACTTCAAACGGAACAAATCAACAAAATTCATCAACCTCTAACGATGAAGAGCTTTTAGAATATGAGGAAGAGTATGATGATCTAGAAGGTAGTGGCGAATATAGTGAAGAAGAAAACACGCAGCAAAAGCCAATAATAACTGAAAGTGAAGATAAATTTATTGGCCAACAAATAATTTCAGTAGTTACGACTAAAAGTGTTATAAACGGATCAACTTCTAACCCGGACATAGAAAAATTTACCTCTTCAAGTGCAAGATATGAAAATGCAACGGAAAAATTGGAACTTCAAATTTCATCAAGTTCCATCAAACCTATAATTTCTTCAGAAAAAACTCAAATCGAGAGTGAGAGTTCTAAACTAATGGAACAAATGAATAAAACAAAATCTGATCAAACAAAATTTGATTTAACTACAACGACCACAGAAAGTGAAAATAAAAGTAAAAAAGAAGAAGTTTTAAATAATTCAACTGAGGGATACGTTGTCATTGCATCAATTCAAACAAGCAGAAGTATAAATGGAGCCCGATTTTTACCTTTTCCAGCCATTGAACAAGAGGAGAAGAAACAACCAATCTCAGAACTAGAAAAAAAGATTCATGGACCAAAAACGAAAACAACAAAAAAATCAATCATATCAAAAGACCAAAATGTTGAAAGCAATGAAAGAATAACTACCAAAGACGTTTTACCACAAGAAATAACAACAACAATTTCTAACACTGACAATCCGGCCGAAATAACAACTTTGCCGTCTTTGGAAAATTTATTTTCAAAAACACTTTCAGACAATCCCATTGGTCAAAATTTGACAAAAGAAAATAATGAGACTGACAAGCTCCATCTCACAAATGTGGATGAACCTATTTCAACAACAAGTGTTACAAAATTCATTCCAAATATTAAAAAATTTGTCCCAAGAAGTACCACAACAAAACCAAAGTTAAGTATTGAAGAACTACCTATTGAGGAATTCTCAAGTTTGCTCCCATCGGACTACAAACACCGAACCAATACTTACACAAATAGAAGAAAAACAAGCACGACAACAATGGAACCGGTAGATACAAGTAAAGAAAAAAGTAACCGGAATGATTCTATAAGTAGATCAATCAAAAATTATTCATCTAACCAGGATCTTATGTTAAAAGAGCTTCTACCAAATGGATACAAGCTTAATGAGTCAACAACTGAGTCTAGCGCTATACTGAAAGATATTTTAAGTAAGATAAAATTCGAAGAATCGCAGGAAAAACCGGTTGTAAATGAAAAAAATCCAAAAGGAGATAGGAAAAGCACATCAAAACCTTATAAAACAACGCAAGAGGATGTAAGTAAATATTTACCAGCCGGATTTAATAAATTCAAACAACCACCTCAACCAACTACCACTAAGAAAACTCCTGTGATAACACCTGTAAAAGAAAATGTTAGCAGCAGTTTATTACCACCAGGTTATAAATTAAAATTATCTGATAAATACTCAACTACAACTAAAAAGACACTAACTGAACAAAGTGATAAAGATTTGCACAAATTTTTACCCCCAGGCTTCAAACCTTTTGATAAAGAAGATGAAGTTGAAATGATTGATATATCCAAACTTTTTATGAATGAGAAGTCTTTAAAAATGAAGAATATTTCCAGCCCCTCTCATCATATATTTGAAGCTCAAGATGAGGATGATTTACGTAATTACAATAATGAAAATCAAAAATTAAATGAAGGGAATAAAGTTATTTTCCCGAAACCAATCAATAAAAGACCTCGACCAACAGTAATTGCCCCTCCAGTTATTTCAAATGGACCATCACCTCCACCAATAACAATCAAAAAAGGACCACCGATAAGAGCGACTACAGAATTTACAGGTTGGCCGACACCATCAACGACACCAATTTCTATTGAAAAATTATTAGAACAATCAAAAATTGCAAAATTCGACATCTTAGAATATTTGCCGTCGTCTACTGTTACATCAAGTTCAACTACAACAACTTCTACTACAACTACAACAACTACTATACAGCCACCAAAACCAACTCAACCTGGATTATGTCATCAAGAATGTGATCTTGCTGCAACCATTAAAATTGTTGATGGGGTACAATGGAAACCTGAATTACTGGATCATAACACTTTAGAGTGGAAAAACCTAGCAAGGGAAATAGAAACACAAGTATATATTTTCAGAAAAATTTCAAAACAGTGTAATAATTTTCTAATTTCTCTTTTTTTATTGCCTAGTTAAACGAAGTATACAAAAATGATCACATGCTAAGGAAATGGTACAAAAAGATAAGAATTGATAGTTTTAATAAAGGGAGCGTTTTAGTAGACTATTTTGTGGAATTGACTAATATTACGGAAAACATTAATACATTGGAATTGAAACGTCTATTTCATGATGCCTTAATTCAAACACCGCTGACAATAATACCAAGTTCAACCGATAATGACAACTATGAGCAATACCGAGAGGGAAAGGGTGAAAAACTTGTCAAAGAAACTTTTATGCTTGGAAGATTTATCGTTGATCCTTTGTCTACAGATTTTATTGGTAAGTTTAAAACTTGATATTATATTTATTTAAAAGAAACATTAATCGGAAATTTGTTTTATTTGCAGTAATCGCAAAGAACCAATTCCCTGACGTTGAATATACGGAGCCTATTGTTCCACAATGGGCGATTGTATTAATAGTAATAGGAGTGGGATCTCTAGCATTTATAATAGTTTTTGGAGTAACAGTTGTAAGTATAACAAGTAGAAAATTTTAAATATGAGCGAATGCGAAATGCAATGATATTCCAAATTTGCACAATTTAACAATTAGTGCTCGTAAAAACTAAGAATTCCTTGATTTCAGAATTAAAGCAATACAATTGTATTTTGAATTTGTATACAATTCAGCTTAACAATTGTAAATGCAGAATTTTATAATAATATCATATTACTTACTACAATTTTTAAATCAGGGATTTTCTTTATATTGAATGAGCTATTATAGGAATAAGCATTATAGGAATGAATGCCGATTAAAAAATTCCATAAATTTCGAAAAATATTGACTATGAATAAACTGAACATAATGTTCAGTTTATTGAAAAAAACATTATACTTAGCTCAATATTTCAAATTTTTAATTAAAACTATATGCTTTAAGGTCTTCCTCATATTTTTTAAAAGACAGCGTTAAGCAATTAGAATCTTAAATGCATACTATTTGTCATTATAGCTTATTAATCGTCATAAGAATTCTAAAAAGACGCCGACACCATTAACTGCAGATATGTTAAATGAACTAAATAAAAATCATATGGGTGGTATCGATAATTATGGAGCTGAGGATTTCTATAATGTTCAAGATACGTGGAATGAAAATAAACAACCAATTAAACCAAAAGTATAACAATATATAGATAACAATTATATATATACATATATGCATATATAAATATAAATTTTTTGTATTCTTGTAGCGACTATCAACTACGGCACATGGAAATAATCAAACAAATATTTATGATAGTTGGGGATCTAATCATAACCATGGCGATTACTTTTATAATGAGGAAAAAGAATATAATATTGAGAATACTCCATACCAACATTCGCATCCACATTATAAAGTAACGAATCCATATTCAACTGATCCTGTATGGGATGCACATCAAATGTATACGTATAATACTAGACCTAGATATCATAGAGATCATTATGATCCAGATTTTTAGAATAAAAATTTAAATTATAATAGATTTTGGCATGTAAAATTTATGTAAAAAAAAAAATGAAAGAACTCCTCTGCTCTAGTTTTTAATGTTATATAGGATATCTAGTAAAAATTATTTATAAAATAATAATAATAAATTTTTGTAAGTCAATTATTATTATATTAATTAACATATTATTACATTAAAAAAACTTATACATAAATTAATTTAATAAAATAAACACTTTTAGAAACTTTTATTAAAAAAAAAAAATTATTTAAAAAATTAAGTTTCGTTATGAATTCAATTTTTATAGGAAAATGGTTAGAACTAATACCTATACTGTTTTTATTAAATTAACAATGATTAATAAATTTAAAAAACAAGAAGCTCAAAAAGAATTTCTATATAAATATTTTGCAAATAATTTTACTACACTACTTATTGGAATCAAATGTGTAGATAGTTGTAACATCATAAACAAAGAAGTTATCTAAAAAATATTAACTAAGTAAAAATATGGAAGAAATATCGAAACATCGCACTTTTGCTTTATTGTTTTATTACTCTAGAGTCTAGATTAACAACTTATAATTAAATTTCATTGTCTTTTTGTTTTTAAACAAAAAATAATAATAGAAATACAATCTATAAAATATTTTTTTTAAATACTTTTGAAATTATGATCGGTACAGCCAATTACGAAAAATATTAACCACAATTTCTTACAGTGCAATTTTCTAAAGACTTCAAAAATTAATAGTTCTATGCACTTAACCATTTAGTTTAATTTGTTGTCAGAATATAATTAAGATGTATAAGTAAGAAAATGTGTAATATTTATGTTTAATATTAAAATAATTTAAAAATTCGTTATTAATTAATTAATGAACTTTCCAATAAAATAAAATCTAGCTAAACTATTAGTTTAATTCTTTTGATAGTCCTTTAACAGTTTTGTAATTTAAAATACCATGACTTCAAAATTGCAGTAATATTTTATTACTACATAATTCTTAAGCTGAATGTTTGTGTGCCGATAACTTATTACTGACATTTTAAAGTCGGAGATAATTTTATATACAAACAAATTTATAAATAATATTATTTTAATTATAATATGAAACTACTGTTTTATGCACATTTATACCTCAAAAATTTAAATACTTTATAAATTCAACATATTTGAATAGACTTTATTCTATAATTTGAAAACTTTATTTAATCTTCTATGAAATAAGACTAGTCTAGACAAAAAAAAATAAAAAAATAAACTATGTATATCATGTTATTAGTAAATATATTATTGCAATATTTCGTTTTATGCCAAATAAATATGTCATATGTATACCTAAATGCTTCATAGAACCCGAAAATAAATTTTCTGCTTTTTTTCTGTTCACAACGTTTAAAATTTTGCACAATTGTTTTAGATTTTTTTTTTTATTTACCGCACCAACCTGCTATGTAAATAACTCTGTATAATATATGAGTATATACAATAGGGTTCTTATTAAATTTTAATTATCATAATGTGTTTATTTTGAATTTAATTATAGTTGCTCATTTTTGTTTTAATAAATAAAATACATATACCGAAATTGTAAATGTATAAATGCAAAAAAAATTCAATAAATTTTACAAATATTAAAAAAAATTTAAGCTTGTTATTGATATCATACACATTACGAATTTTGGTAATTAGATACCTCATACACAAGTTTTAGAATATGAATATTTTTGAAAACTTTTAGTCAATTAGTAATTGATTTTTTCTTTAAATAATAATAAAAGTAAATCAGTAATAAGAAAATTTTTCATCACTATACTGTTGAAAATTTCCAAAAATAATTATTTTATGATTGAAGGAGAACAAAAAGCTATTATAGTACTTAAATTAATAAAAACATACTCTTTAAATTATTTAAATTATAATATTAATATAATTTTATGCCCTACATAGGCAAGACAATTTAATATTAATGAATTTAATAATAATATAATTTACTTATACATCCATATGTAATTATATTTTAAAATTTTTATGAAAATCAATAAAGAAACATTTTAAAAATTTTTCTATTTATAATATTTTGTATAAACATAAGGTATACTTGCAAAAATATTTGAAAAAACCAAATTTCATATATAATATTACCCGATATAGTGTACATATATATATAATTATCAGATAAATAAAAGTTTCATTAAATTTTTTTATGCCATTTTATTTTCTGTAAAAACTCTTTAAGCCCCGAAACTTTCTTTGTTTTGTGTCTACATGTCCAAAATTATAAAATTTTATCTTTTTTCATTCGTCGCATGCCTATTGTATCATATTGAATCCTGAAAGCCGTCCTGAATTCAATTTTTTGTTAAAGTTATGATAACGAAGTTAATTGACAATACATATTTAATTTTGGTACATACTTACGTTTTTCATTTAAAACTAAAATAAATAATTGATCTGGTCGAACAATTGTTCAAAAATCATTTTGCAACTTTATTAAAATCTATTAACATTTTTTTAAATTTCAATTTACATTTTCTCTCATTATGCCCATTCTTACAACAAATTAAACAAAATCTACATTTCTTTTCTTTATTCCTTAAAAATTTTCTTATCGAAGAAACATTTCCTTTATTACAATTTACTTCTAAATGGCCAAATTCATCGCAAATCCAACAATGTGTATTTTTTTGGAACACTGTGCAATTGTGATTTTGTTTTTGTGTGCAACGACGGCAATTAACACAGTGAACGTAATTAGGTTTCACACACAGCGAACATAAATTGCAATGCCTGTATGTTTCACCATTTTTTGAAGGACATTTATTACATATTTTACAATGAATATTTTCAACTGCAGTCCATTTTTGACAAATATTACACATTTTATATCCTTCTGTCGCCGGCAACTCTATCAAATGTAATGGAATATTCGTAAATAAGCGCACTGGACTACCATATTTCCTAGAATTTATTCCATCGCTATATGCTTCATGATTACTATAATTAATTTTATAATCAAGCATTTCCATTTCTGGCATTTCTTTTTTTATATAATGCTCCATATAGTATGGGAATATCCAAATTGTTGGTAATACTCGAAAAAAATTATTTACTTCTCGAAAATCGGATGCTATATCTCTCAGAACGTTTACTAATGGTTCTGTTCTGCACCCAAAAGGAGGATCAGTTATCACTGAAATTGTTTCATTACTGCAAAAAGTATTTTATTAAAAAAATGTGTTCTATTTTTATTAAAATTCTATACCCATCAATTTTCAGGAATTTCTTAAACATATTCTTTTTTTCTTGGCCTTCAAAAAAATGATTGTTGAACATGTTATAATAAAAAAACTCTGAATCTGAATTAAAGTAAAAAAATCGGTGATCTAAATCTAGAAGTATGCTTTCGATCTTAAATATGTCATACTTCTGTTTTAAATATTCGTGTAATCTTGGTGCTCCGATGCAAACCACTTTCCTAGAAATATTAGAATAGAAATACATAGATTATGAATAATTATTGACATACTTTAGCCTTTAGTATAGATATGGGAGTAGGCAAATGAATACCTAGCTAATTATTAAACTACTTAGACTGCATATAAATTGAACTTACGAGATATGTAGTTTTTTTAACATTAAACCAAGAAAATTTAATGTATTATCTTTAAAAAAATATTGAGCTTGCGCTTTGTCATCGCTAAATGGTCGCAAAAATTTCGTTGGCGTTTTCCACAGATCTGATGCAATTCTGATACTCTCATGATTCTGATGTGATTTTGAATTAATATGTACATGGAAAATTACATTGCACTGGTGACAGTAGTTTAATTCATCTGGTTTAAATTTGAAAATCTACGGTAGTTTGTATATGTATGTATATAAAGGTATTTCATCCCAATCAAATTAAAAATCGATTTAATCAATTTTGGTTATATCTCTTACATTATCTCTAAGAAGTTTGATAGCTTCTAGATCAATTGATTCTAATTTTATATCAATTTTATTGTGATTATTATCATACTCTTGTTTCTCTAAATAAAAATTGCAGCCTTTGCGACTTCGAAATGCAGAACAAGCAAAATATTCTTTTATGCAACCATTTTTTGTTATTCCTTAAAAAATCTTAGATTAAAACCAATATTTAAAAAAAACGATCCTATCTTACTAAAGAGTAAAGTTGGACCATGAGCACACCAAGGATACTTATCATTGTTATCACTTATAACCTCAAGACTTTGTTTTGTTAAAAAGTCTTCACACATTTTGAACTTTAATGTTTCAGTTGGAGATAAACGTTTAAACTCATTAAATTCCTCCAAATATTTTTTCACTTTTTGGTCATTTTCTATTTCAGTTTGTCAACTATGTACGTATTTTGAGGACTTGAGGCACAAATGCAATATAAAATAACCAAATAACATATGATCATTACAACATGTTTGATAGTTGACATCAGGGATGATTTTTAAGAGAATCATCCCTGATTTGACATCAGGGATGATTCTCTTAAAAAATTCTATGAAATTCCAAAGCAGAGTAAAGGTGTAAAATCCGAAAGAAATCGCATAATTGTGAATGATTGTACAAAAGAAAAATTGTGAACTTCAAATAGTCACATTATAAGCAATTTGCATTTGTTGGTATTTCCACTCGGCATTCATAAAACAATTTTTTTTAAAGTACATTCGTTTATTTCCAGTAATCAAATTATTTAAACATAATATTATAAAGGGTATTAAAACCACAATCATATAAAAATGAACCATTTACTAAAACTTAGCTCAAGAATAAATTTTTATGGATTGACCAAGCCTTTGCAACCAGTAATAGGCAAAAGAGATTTTGCCCGAACACTGTGGTACATGTGCAAATCTCCAGTGAATGTGACAAGCTCAGAAATTAAGAACAATTCATCTATTAAAAAACCAAGTCTTGTTTGCTCTTGCGGATGTGGTACAAGGAATGCACATTCAAAAAGTATGTCTATGCACATTTAATCTGTAAACATAACCTAAAAAGATGTCTGTTATAAAGCATATAATTATGTATACATATATAAAATACATACATACATAATATATTTAATATTTGAAATAGGTGAACGTGAATTAGTGGAATTCTTGACCGAAGAAATAGTTGCTGAGAAGAAAGGTCTAAAAATGAAAACAATTCCAGCGGAGCTTGATAGTTTCAAAGTAAAATTGAATGGCGCTGAAGTTGAATTAACAAAACAGACTGATAAAGAAAAGTTTGTTTTCTATTAAATAAGTAAAATACTCTAAATCAATTAAAAAATTTTGCAGGATTGTTATTTCTTTCAATATAAATCACACAGTCGATGCTGATGATGAAGCTGAAGTTGATCCACGAGCGGACAATCCAAATTTCGCTGAAATGCGTAGTAAACCACAATTTGAAATTGATATAATAAAAGGATCCACCACCCTTTCATTTACTTGTTCATTTTTACAAGGAACGCCACAAGAAGGGGAGTATAACGATGTTTTTGGAATCGATGAAATAACAATTTATAATGGTGAATGGAATGATAAAGTCTATGCAGTTGCAGGAGATGTTTTGGACGGGGTAAGGAATTTTTTATAATTTAAAACGGTCTGCTAATAGTTTTTGTTTTCCAGTACTTATATGATTTATTAATGAATTTGTTAGAAGAAAAAGGTATTAGTAACGAATTTGCAGAAAAACTTTCTGATTTAAGTACAGCATATGAACATTCATCATACATAGCTTTATTAGAAAATATTTCAAAATTTACAACTGGAAAATAATTTTTATTTGTTAGATATAAGTAAGCTTTAAAAGAAATTAATAAATAAGTTTAAAAATACACAATTTTTGTAGAACATTTTATATGGTATTATAACAAAAATTAATTAAAAACAACGAATTTAATTTTATTAAACATTGAGACAAATACTGTGTCAATTTAAGAAACTTTACAGATCACCTAGGGTACTACCTACTTATCTAACAAAAAGTTTCCAACCCTTTTCTGAACCTTGTTTTAAAAATCCTTATTGAATGTAGAATACATGCCGGTATATATATTAATATTTTTTTAAGTAGATATAGCTAAATTATGTATATTTATTAAATGCTAAATTCCTCACTAAAATTAGAATATCTGTACTATATTGTAATGTGGGTGTGTACATTTATTAAACAGGTTTGAATATTAATCAGAAAATAAATATAACGCTATTACATTGCTTCATTTATATTTGAATTTTATCTTACATCGTCCAAACAAATGAAACCTTCCAAAATATACACCAAAACGTAGTTTATCATCGCATAAAACATTCTTTAGTTAAATAGTACTTCTTCTGGAGCTTTTACTCAAAGAGTTATGTCAGCTTGGTTCTGCTCCTCGAGTTGCTTTAAATCCGGAAGATAAGTAATCTCCTTCAATATCTTTAAATTCAATGCTTTGATCTTTCAGCGCTTTCTATTAAAAAAAGCATCAGACTCAGTTCAAATTTAAGTTTCAAATTTAGACTATAAAATTTAGCTAACCTTTACACACTCTTGATAAACTTTGAAAATAGGAGCGCACATGGAATCATCTGTTTGTCCTTTTAAAAATTTTTCTGTAAACCAAACATTAAAGCAAGCATCATACTGCTTTTTCAACTCCGTACAATTATCGCCAATACTATTCATTTCATCGAAATCACTGTTTAACTAATTTCGTGAAATTGATGGCCAGTACTAAAAAAATAATGTTATGTATCAGTTTTATGTGTATTTGTGTTATAGAGAATTTAAAGCTTACAGAAAGAAAATATTATTCTTACACAAAATTTCCAATATTCGCAATATATTAAAGATCTTGTTATTAATCACTTAATGTTTCTAACAATAGCAAAAAATTGAAGTTCTCATAAAAATATGTAGATTAAAATGAACTTTACATTCCTATCTATACCATTTGTTTATTGATTGTCTTTCTTTTACAAAATATTTTTGACATTAAGTAAAATAGAGTGGTCCATTCGAACAAAAAAAAAAACAAAAACAGCTATAAAAATTTACACCACATGCATAAATGCTTTATACATATATGAAAAACCCCAAACAATATCAAATTTTAATTTAGTGAAAAATAAAAGTTTTGTCTCACAACTCACAAGCTTATTTTTTGTCATCATAAATATTATTTATTTTTGACGCGTCGAATTAATTTTGACGATGTCCCGTTGTCAACAAATAACTCAATTATTTTTTAATCAAATTGCTTAAATACTAGCTTATTATTTATTAAAATTTAATTCAGTTTCACATCCAATATTCGCAATTTTCAAGATGAGTACCTAAAAATCTATTATAAATGTATCCTTAGTATAACTACTTAAAATCTTTTGCTTTTGGTTTTGATTACTCATTAGAATGAGATTTTTTGTGAATTAGAATAGAGTTTTACATGAATTTTCTGTTATTGACTTAAAAAGTTAAATTTCAACAAATACAACATAACAATATTTTTTTAAATATTTTGTCATTTATTTTATTTAGATAACTATACTTTGGCTTTCTTGGATAATAATTGTAAAATTACAACATTAATAATATTTTTTTTTTGTAATAAACTTACACATACAGTTTAAATGGAATTTCTTATAAGCTTCAAATAAGTAAGTTACTGTCATGAAATTAAATACAAGAGTATATTGAGATTGTTTAAAATTATATGTGCTTTGTTGCTATTACAAATTTAGTGAACACAACTAATGATGTTTTGTTTATTGGGTTTTTTAATAGAAAAAATTTGACAAACTGAAATCTGAACTGGACCTGAACACAATCACGACAGAATACATATTGATACATACAAATACCCAATACAATTGAAAGTGTTAAGTTTGTGCATAGAAATTTTCAACTAGACATTGATCAATATTATTTGTATCGGAATTTTGCTATACAAATTTGTTATTAAATAAAATTTTCATAAAATTAAGTTTACTCTTTGTAGAAATTTAAGAAAAAATGTGAAAAATGTAATATTTGATATATTTTGTTGTAAAATCATTAAATATGGCCAAGTAAGGATGTTTTTGATTAAAAACAAATAAATTTTATGTAACATGATTTTTTTTTATTTTTCACAATTTGTTATTTTTTATATACATACATATATTTAACTTTACAGGCAAATTACATTTTATATTGTTTTATTATTAATTATTATATTTAATTCATACATTGTAATTTGAAACATTTTATCTAATTAGCTTTTATAAAGCTGAAGAGAAGAAGAAAATTTACTTTCGCAGTACTCACCTACCGATAGAATTGTATACAAGATTTGTGGCTGATATACATAGGTACCAAAGTATATATCCCTATTTAATTACTATACAATATAATAAAAAAACATTTTCAAATATTTGTATAAGTTATTCATAAAAAGGTTCTCTTAAGGCCTTTATATTCATAAAATTATACCATTATTTTAAAGTTGGTAGTTATTTATGCTCTATTTTTTTCATCGTATTGATCAAACTGGTTCACACAAAAAAATAAAAAAAAAGGAACATTCAAAGCTAAAACAATCATAAAATGAGTATTGACCATAACGATTTTACAATAAAAAGGTGTAGGTGTAGAAAAACTTAATGAAATTATATTTTGTTTAAAACCACATCTTAAATCAGTCATTTATTTTCAATTCAAATTAAATACATTGTATAAAAAGCAAAGCATAACACTCAGAAGACCATTAAAACAAATGATTTTTAATATTTTAAATAATTTAAAGAATTCATAGGTAGGTAGGTGGGTAGGTATACCTATAACACATAATACCTATCAGATTCTTTTTTAAATTATATTACAAACCTACTTTTAACGACTGTGAAGTGTTTTAAAATAAACTCATATTTCTATTTTTTACTATGTAGTAATGGGTAATGAAAATAAAATTAAAAGTTCAAATCGAAGCCAATATAATGATGTCGACAACCGCATTGGATATGATACCAATAAAAGAAAATTTCGTTGGTTATTTGATAAATCAGTCAGAAGGTTTTCGTAAGGAAAATAATTTATTTTCAAATTAACAATAGTGTTGACGGGTTTTTTCTACTTTAAGCTTTTTAAAATTTACATAGTTATGCACAAATTTAATATAATTTGTCACCTAACACATTGCAGTCAAGCACTAAAATATAAATACAGGTGAAACATAATAAATTCTACTAAAATTCATTTTATTTGGGATACTGACTTATATGCATATTGTAATATAATGCATTTATTTATATTTTGGGAATCAGTAAATTATTGACAATCATTTCCAAAAACCAATTTTCATAGAAACTTCTCATTGAAATCTTCAACTTCAATAAGTTGATTTCTAAATGAAAAAGAAAAAATATTAATCTCTAAAATCGCTTTTCTCTTTTAAAGTTATTACGGTTTGGTGAAAAAATTGTTTTAAAAATTGCATCATATTTATATTTTATACATTGTGCCCATAAAGATTGAATAGTTGATTTTTCAATCTTCGAGTTTATTATATCAAAAGTATGTTTTTAGATGAACTTTAATTTACATATGTAAGTAATTTGATATTTATAATTATATATTTTATTTTATGTATTTTAAAATATTCAGCGAAATTAAAATGTTATTTTCATATTTATATAAGTTGTGATACACTATATGTTTGATGATAACCAACCGTGAATATAAAATAAAATGGGTTTCGTTATGTGCAATTTTATATTCCTTTACGTAATATTTTTTTAACTTTTTTATTTTAACTCTTTTACATTCTGTATTCATATTTCATAATAAAAGCACATTTTATAAGCATTTCTACAAAGCTCTTCTATTAAATTACCACACAAGTTTTTTTATATCACCGGCTATATGCCGAATATCACAACAAAACACTATTCTAAACTAAGTCTATTAATAAATCTAAATAATGTTATTTTTTCCTTTCAGAGAAACATTAATAGTTTTTGTTTACGACACAGAATGCTGTAAGGAGGAGTCTGACGATCCAGTTGATGCTGTTTTATATTTTCACCCTAGTTGGGTCTCGGATGTACAAAAACTTGCATTATGTGGACAGTTAATGGGAATGACATATTTTCTAAAAACTGGATTGTTTAAACCAGAAATTATCGCATTACAAAATGGGAAATTTATACTCAAAGAATTTGGGCGTTTTATACTGGTACCTAGTTATATTTAAAAGGAAATTTCAAATTTATATTAAATTTTTATAAATTTTTAGGCTGTTGGCACTGATCGCAATATATCAGATTCTTTATTAAAACATCGTGCTGAGCTTTTATCTTCACTCATTCAGTTTTTTCATCATGATATACAAACCATTCATGATCAATTTTCTAGTGGAAGTCAATTTAAGAATTTGTCGGAGAAATTGTACCATATTTTTGAGACATATCTACCAATATTACAACATAATGGGAACATATTCCATAATGTACCTAAACTCAAAATTCCCAAGGCAAGATTAATTATTTACGTTGTAATGTTTCTTTCTAAACTTTTAATGATAATTATATTTTAGAGTGGTAGCAATATTTTTTTAGATGCTATTCAAACTTTGCAAAGCTGTCAACAAAGAAATGGAGTTTTAGGCGGGGCTTTACTCTATCATAACAAGTAATATTTTGGATAAATAAAATTGCAATTTTGTAACATATAATCTACATACCGTTTACATTTCATTATGTACATATAAGTTACTGAGATTGCTCAATTGAATTAGACCAACATATATTTAAAAAATATTATGAAACACTTATAATTTACACTTACTTATTTCGCTTTTAGAATTGTTGCTACTCAACTTTCTCATTCAGCCACAAAAAATTTAGTTTTAACAGATCCTTATCGCATTAAATCTACAGCTGAACAAATAAGCGTTGATTTTCATGTTCCAAATGGGGTACAAATGTTAATTGTGTATATTCCAGTATCAGACTATAAGAAACTTGTGACGGAATCGCAACGTGCGCAAAACTTGGCAACTCAAAATTTATTTAGTAATACGTTGCCATTCCAATTTAATACAAAACGAAATAAGATAAAACGTGATAAATCTATTATCTTCACAAATATACCTGAAGAACCCACCTCAGCCTCGGAATTCTCAACATCATCTTTGACCGAAAATTCTTCCACTACCAGCAGAGATAATAAGACTACTTCTTCTACAACTAGTACAGCATCTGCATTTTCTAATCCACGATCTAAAAGTAATTTGCAAAGACCTACTCACTTGCCTCTTCGCTTTAAAAACGTAACCACCAAAGAACTTCCGGAAAGCGGATTTGTATCTATTAACTTCGATGAAAACGACTCATATCCTGAATTCATAGGTCGAACCAGTGTTTGTTCTACACCAATGACTGAAAACAAAATTCTTCAGGGTATTAACATACTATCCATATGTGCGAACCCGTCAGAAAATATTATTATAAACAATCTAAAGGAAGAAAGGAATAAAAATTTTCCTAACGAGAATAATTTAGTGAAGAAGATATCATCTAAAATAGATTTTGAAAATTTTTTCAAAAATGTAATTCCTAATCCTCATAAGCTTGAAAGACGGAATTCTTTAAATGACATTCAAGATTCATTTAAAAAGATTTCAAAGAGAATTTCTTTAAGACCCTTTGGGTTTGGTCTTGCCAAAATAGATACAAACAAAAAAAAGGAAGAATTAAGTCGAGAGGAATCGTTTGATAATGATGATGAAAGTTCCGTAAAAACAATATCAGATCCCACATATCCAATGTTTAACACAAAAGGAGAAGCTATTTCTAATGGGCTTTTTCAAGAGTTTTTGGAAAAATATAATTCTTCTTGGCAAAAAAATGATAAAAGTGAGAGCTTATCTCAGCTATCAGATACTTCAAAAAATTTCAAAGAGTCTAAGAAAAAAGAAACTGAAATTGATAGTGACATAAATCAAAAAGAAAATACAGAAATCAAAATAATTAACGATATTGAAAATGACATTATATCATCAAGAAACAACAAAAGCGTCTCCGATCGGAAATCATTATCATTGCCTTTAAAACCATTAAATGACCTCGACAGACTAGAAAATAGCAACAATTTCTCAGGTTATGGAACTAATGGAATTTTCGATGCGAAGAGAAGGAAATCGGGTATACAGTTGACTCCATTAATGGCCAAACTCTCAATTTTAGCAGCTAATGAAGAAAGCGGATTTTCTAGTTGGGATGCTACTCCAGGTATAGAAAATCAAACGCCGATTGACGCGCCAAAGTTATTTCGCAGAAAGTCTTCTACGAAAACTGATGAAATAAAACCCGCTGCAGAAAGTTTTTTATCAGAAGAATATCAAAAAGTTGAGCTATATGTTTGTGGACAACAAAATATGACTTTATTTCTAATATTAGAGGAAGGTTCCAGTCGTAATAGGGATCTTGTTCAAGCCATGGTCTTTTTTTTAAACTAATTTGCGGAATAGTAATTTAATCCTAGTATTTATTTCAGTTTGATGTTTGCGTTGCTCGTATGGGAAAATTGGAGAACCAATTAAATCAAACATTAAATATTAATGTAGATGGTGAAAAAGGTGAAGGAAGTTATAGTTTTATTTGCATAGATCCGAAATGGGATACACTGCATCGTGGCGGACCCTGGACACCATTGGATTTAATTGCCTTGGAGCATATGCATAAAGATCTTAATATGAAATTTCCCATAACTGATATGATAATGAGGTTTTCATTTTCTCTTAATAATTAAGAATAAATAATTATTATTTTTCAAATTTTAGAACTGACGAAAGTGTTATTTACGGATATAAATTAGGAATAACAGAAATATTTTACAAAGAATCCACCAATCAAATAGGTGGTCTACCTCCTCCATCAGATTTAATGGGTACAATTTCTTCAAGGGCGAAAAGGCGGCTTGAAAGAGACCATTCATATGTATTATTTTAAGAATATTTATTAATAGTGAGAAATGAATCTCTTCAATTTAAGAAGTCTACTAAATTATTTGAAAAGTAAAAATTTAAAAATTTTCCCAATAAAATCATAATTGATTAAAATACATATGCCGAATAAGTATCCTGAGAAAATTTTAATCTTTTAAATATGAATTGATAATTTTTTGTTTTTAAAGTAATTTTCTTAATGTCTATTTAGTAAATTTAATAATTTCTAAGAATTTTAAAAATATTTATATAAATTAAACAACTAGTAGATAATGTAGCTCCTAGTCCTAATAAATAATTATTAAAAATTTTTATTTTAGAGGCTGGATTTCGTTGCTGGTGAACTTAAAAAGAACTAATGCATATATATTAGGCTTTTTTTAATTTTAATATCAGAATAAAGCATGAATAGAAAATTTGGACTTAGCATAAATATAAAACTATATAATATGTAGCATACGCAGAACAGTTTCGCTTAAATGAATATTTTATTATTTGCAATTTAGATAAACGCTTTTTGTTTAACAAATTAGTTTTTTATATAATGATTAAATTATTAATTTTAAGTATGATATTTAATAAATATTTATGAGAAATTTTAAATGAGACGATGTACGTCATTTCAACTCTGATCATTGATATATTATTACGTAGCGAAATTTAAAATATGTAGGTACGTACTTGGAAGCTATTTTTAATTGTGGAGTATGTGTTATTTGTTTTCAATGTTGCTAAATTTTAAGTTTAATAAGTAATACTAATAATATAAATTAATACAAAATATTTGTAATTTGTACGATATTTTAAATAAAAATTGAATTCATTTTAAAATGTTATTTTTTCAACCTGCAAAAACTTTTTCAAAAAAACAAAATAAAAAATTTTCGTTTGAGTTTTCGGAAACAACACTTTTTTATATTTTAAATTTAATAAACTAATAGATTTCGTGCATTACGTACAGAAAAATTTAGGAAACAAGTTTAAAGTGGCCTTTTTATAATATTCACTTATATATAAAGCTCACAAATTGAAGCTGTCTCATAATTAATTCGCTAGTCGTAACTAATAATCTTTTTGGATTTCTGTCTTCTTTAAGTAATTAAATATAATAATAATTAAAACTAAAAAACAAGCCGTTCATATTTTGAACTACATTAACTGTGCTTTTTTGTTACTAACTTGTGCTTTTTCATCAACTTGTGCTTTTGGTTGTACTATCAAATAATTAAACCAATTATATTCATTTTTTATTTCAATTAAAAATTGAAATAAAAAATTGAATAAATTTTCAATTATTTCTATACATTATTTTCGATAGTTGGTATTTCAGCTGCAAATGATTTATCAACGGAAGGGCTTGTCGCCAAAACATGTCCACCTCTTTTCAACTTTTCATTGGTTTCTTCGTGTTTCTGCTTTTCGTATTCACGAACATCATCAATAGTCATATCAATCCACTCATCTATCCAAGTAAAAGCTTGCCTATGCCCTAATAGCAATATATCACGAATTGCTCTTTGAATAAAATCTTCTACACGAGTTTGAAAACCCCAAACTTCAAAGGACGCATGAACAAGTTTGTAAGAACACATTATTGGTTTATCTGTTTCTCTCCATCCTTCTATTAATGGACCACGATCTAGAAAAAAATAAAATGTATATCAAATATATGTACAATTTAAAAATGTATTGCCTTACTTGTTTTAAGCGATTTAAAAAATTTTGGATCCTCCTCACGTTTATAATGTTTTTCGTTTGAAAGATCATCAAATGCAATATCAACATGATCTACATTTCTATCTTTTAATTGTTCTTCTTTTAAATTTAAACACTATAAAATTATTCAAAATTATTTAATGCATAGAAAAAAAAAATTATTTTTTACATTTTCAGAGATTCCATGATTATCTTCATACCTTGTTTGTATGTTAATACTTAATTTTGGAACAAAGGAACACTGTAAAATTTATTAATTAAATTAAATTTCGAAAAACGAAATAACTGACCTACCGTATATTCTACAAATTGAAGTTTTGAAAGCGAAATTGGAGAAAAAAAAAAACAGTATTATATTTTTCGTCCAAAATGGTTACATATGGGTACATAATATATATCTTAAATCAGAATTTTGTAAATTTTTTCACAGTTTCCTTACCAGTTGTAGTATACGGATAATAATTCCATGACTTTTCGGTAATGTAGAATACTCTTGGACATATCGCTTGTAGATAATAAGGTAAACGGCTAAAAATTATAAATTACATATATTAATAAATCAATATTTTTAATGCTTTTGTTTACCTCGATAAATGAATTTTTTTTTCTGTATATTGACCTTTTCCGTGAACTGGATCTTCACATTCATTATTTTCTATTATTTCAACTCCTTCTCCATCACCAGATTGTTCTAAACTGTGACGTGCTATCATATAGAGTTGGCCAACTTTGTACTTACGAAAATATTATTTTATTATTCAAAAATCAAATATGTATTTATTTACTTTTTTGGAATATATGTACATGCAAAAATACACTTATTAAAAATACTATGCTTAAACTTATTCCATTTACATGTACATAAACTTATTGGGCTCTTAATCGATATCGTTAAAAAATAATTAAGCAATCAAAAACAAAATCTCTTTAACTTACTTCTTCAACAGTTAAAGGCATACATATCCGGTATTCTTTAATCAAAACCATTTTATAACAATTGCAATTTTTAAATTAAGTAAAAAAAACTTTTGCTTTACTTAGATTTAGAAACAAAATAAAGTATATAGCGAAACATAACCTTTTCAGTCACTAAATTAGCTTTTTTGACATTACTCCTACCGATGGTTTGGCAAAGCTAAGAACTTGGTACATTTTATATTTCACGCGACGTTTACATCAGCAAGTTAAAGACGAGCAATTTTGAGTTATACTAATTGACAATTAATTTTTCCAAATGCTTGATTATTGTCCATAATGACCTAAACGTTTAGTTGTTTTATTTTTTAAAGTACATTTGAAACGAAAACTTTAGTCCCGTTCATGAAATGCTAGGCCCTATATTAAATTTTAATTCAATTACCCTAATAAAAAATAACAAGACAATTTGTCCTCCGAATGCGTTTTTATCAAAAATTGTTATTTAGTTTTTTAATCTTTTTATTTATTATACTTACTTTTATTTCATTTGAATAAAATTCTAGTAAAGTTACGGTAACATATGAATGTTTTTTATTCTCTGATTTTTGAAGTTCTCTTAGAATGCCAAAAAGTTTTATAAGTAAACGAAAGTCTGGAATTAAAATTTAACTGAGTCCTTTGTCTGGTGAAGAATAAATAATTTTTTTTATTTTTACAATTAAAAATTTAATAAGTTTTTACAATTTTGTTTTATTTTTAATGTCTTCAATATGACAAATTACTTGTAGTAGTTGATTACATGAAATTTTCTTCGGAATAACAATTCGTCCATGTAAACGCTAAGGAAAATGCCAAATGATTAAAAATCAATTTTTTCATAACAAAAATATGACATTTTTTTAGTGTCACTATCATATGTAAAAAGAAAACAAAATTGCTGCTTTCCACATAACATTTAAAATTTTGAAGATATTTTTTTATTTTCTTTGTAATTTAATAAATAATTGTTACTTAATAAATGTTGAAAAATGCAAATCAGCAAAATTGCTATTAAATACAGTTCAGAAATTAATATTTTTTATAAGTGAAACAAAGTCATTAAGTTGTACAGTGTTAAAACAATAATAAGAAAAAATAATAAAAAAAGCAAAAAGTAAATTATAATGGATTCGTTGAATTTTAGAGCCTATGAAGTACCATTGATACCATCTGGTCTAAGGCATGAAGAAACTATTATACAAACCGCAAATGCATTGGAGTATTTGAACAATACAATTAACGATATATTTAATAAAATAGATGAAAGAGTAGAAGTAAGTTATATATTTATATATACCATTCACGTGTATATTTTGAATAAATAATTAATTCTCATTAAGAATCCGTTTTTTACAATTTAACAGCGAAACAATGAAAAAATAAGAGAAATTCAACAAAGAATTCAAAATGCAAATAAAAAAATTGAAAGTTTAATAGGGAGTAAAAGAGCTATCTGCGTATATAGTCCAGCTAAATTTCCTGCACTTCACGTTCTAAAAGACATTCCAAGCACATTTAGCGAAGAATACTACAAAAGCTTAAAATTCAAATTAAATACTAAATATGATGTTGAAAATGATTTAGAACCGTTAACTCAAAATAGCTTACAGCATAAGTTACAATTTTATCATGTAAAAGAAACACAGGATCAGTCAAGAGTTTCGAAACTTTTAAATGCATCAAATGATTTAGGTCCTATTCCAATTGGACTTAAATCCATTAATTCGTTATTGCTTTACAATACGTTTCAAAATGTATATGCACCAGAAAAAGAAAAAGGTATATTCAGAAGTCAAAATCAATCTAAAATCAGCGAAGATAAAAATGAGCTTTCAAAGAAAAAAATTGAAGCACCACCAATTTCTATTACAAGCCGACAATTAGGAACAGAAAGGAAACTCTTGCAAAAACTTTTTTACACACCAAAATTAAATGATGCTCCCGATATAAATCTACCTCTTGATTTGCCCGATCTCCCAGGTGTTGCCGCCAACATCCATTTCGATGTGGACAAAAAAGAAAAGATAGCACCTTCACTTTTTGTAAAAAATGAAAAGAATATTATTTCACAGGAAACTGTAGAAATAGTAAAGGATGCCTATACTGAAAAAATTAATATCGTCGAAACAAAGTCAAAACCGTTTGAAGAGGAGATTACAATTCCAACGGTGTCTACGCCACCTAATCCGATAACTGTTGAATCTCAATTACCACCGGTACCCCCACCTCCACCACCTCCTTTACCAAGCACTACAGAAATTGTGCAAAATGACAGTAATCTTTCGGCGAAAGCTCCTATTGCTTCTGAAGCTCGATCAAATTTAATGGAGGCTATTAGAAAAGCAGGTGGCACTCGTGGAGGAAAACTTCGAGCTGCAGCTGACGTAGTCAGTAATAAAATGGATGAAAAACAAGTTAAACCAAATTCAAATACTTTAATGGACGATTTGCATAAGAAACTTCTTATGAGACGTAAGGGAATTTCGGGGTCTAAGGATAATGATAAAAATACTAATGTACTAGATAGGCTATCATCTTTAATTCCTCCACCACCGAAACCGTCTCAAGGCATGTATTCTTCCACTTCAGACAACGACAACGATAATGATGACTGGGATTGAAAATTTTTTCTGTTTTGCTTGTATACATACATACATGCACGTACATGTATAAACTTTAGGTCATTAATTTTACATAATCTGTATTATTTAAACCAATTTTTTCTAACTAGAATAAAAACTTTTTCATAGAAAAAATATTATTGCTGCCATAATTTACATACTGAATTATAGTTCTATCTATTTTACAATGGAAAAGTCAAAAAAAAAAAATTTGGACTAGCTCTGTTATGACATTTTAAAAAGTCAAATTTAAAAGGCGCGAAATGCAAAATTGAAAAAATTTACTAAGATGAAAATACAAACCAATATGTCAGTGCTTGTAAACTGAGTATATAATTAAAATAATAAAAATTAATATTTACCAGTCCATATAATCCGAGAAAAGGTATATTTTAATTATGGGCGATTTTTTTCAATTGAAAAAAAAAATTCAGACTGCTTTTAAGTTAAGCGGTTTTTTAGTCAAATCAGATTCTATTCAGTTTTTGTGCGAACAACTGGCTCCATTTAGTTCAGAGGAAAATGAAAAGTTGGTATCAAGTAAGTTTCGATTTTCAAAATTTTATACAAGTCTTTTATTAAAAGATTCTATGTGTGCACATACATACTTACATTTATTTATATAATATGTATGTACATATGTATTCACAGAAATTATTGAAAGTCTTCAGACTATGAAATTGTCGAGCACGAATATCAGTAAAGATCTAGTTGAACAAGCAGTAAATCGAATTCATTTGGTTGATTTGTGTGATGATGAAACTATTTTTAGTGTAATAAGTGCTTTTGAAGTTCCGCGATTTACTTTCAGTAGCAGTACTAAAAAGTTTTACCGTGATAATGATGATAATACTAGTTTTCTTCCGGAGGCATCTGCTAAAGCTAAATACTTACAAAATCGTTATAAAATTTTATTGCAAAAAGCTATGCGGCATGAACTCTTTGCTGAAAATAATATAGAAGGCGTTGAAAATGGTTCAAAAAAATTTCGCCTATATTTTGCTGAAAATTTACTTTCTCAATCACAAGTTAAAGAAGTAGTGATTTTAGGGTTGTTGACACAACTATCAGAAGGAAAATATTTTTTGGAAGATCTCACTGGAATCGTAGAGTTGGACTTGCAAGAAGCACATTTTCATTCTGGGTTTTATTGCGAAGGAAGTTTTATTTTAGCTGAAGGCAGATACGAAGACCAAATTTTAAAAGTATCTAGTATTGGTTTTCCTCCGTCGGAAATCGCCAGCTTCAGTCGTAGTTACTTCGGAACCCAAAATTCTTGGGGTGGAAAATCAAGTAAATTATTGAAATATTCAACTCGACTTGGAGAATTGGAGCAAACTAATAAAGAAGCTACTATAGTTTTTCTTTCTGATGTTCGCTTAGACATTCCTGTAGTGACCCAAAAATTAAAAACTTTATTTATTGGTTATGACGAATGTCCCCCAGTTGCTATAGTACTGATGGGACCGTTTTGCCAAATGGAAAAAAGTGTAACACAAAAAAAACAGTTTTTTGATATTTTAGGTGATCTAGCTGATGGTTGTGAACATTTAAAACAACAAACAGATCTAGTTTTGGTTCCATCACAAGAAGATCCAGCAGCACCAAATATACTACCAAGGCAACCAATCCCCGAATATTTTGTAAAAGAACTTCGTCGAAAATGGAAACGTTTAAAATTAGCAACTAACCCTTGCCGTTTACAATATTGTACTCAGCAAATAATTGTTTGCAAAGCTGATTTATTTACAAAATTTTGTCGAAATACTATTCATTTTCCCAGTGATAGTAACTTGGCAAACCATTTTGGAAGAACTTTAGTTTGTCAGGGTACTTTAACTCCAGTTCAGCCTATTGTTATACCAGTTTACTGGAACTATGATACCGCCTTACAATTATACCCCCTGCCAGATTTGATAGTTATTGGAGACCCCAGCGATTCTTTTAGCACAATTCAAGCTGGATGTACAATATTAAACACAGGATCGTTTATAAAAAGTAATTTTTCTTTTAAAGTGTATGTCCCATCATCAAAACTAGTTGAAGACTCAGAAATACCGGATAATTAAATTATAAATAAGGCAATTACCCATATAATTTTATTATTTAATTTAAAGAATCATTTTGTAAGCTTTTACCACATATTACATACATCAAACAAAAACCTACACGTTCAAGTATATATGTACATATGTTTTTTTATAAAACAAAAAAATTTTTAGCCGGTTTTGGCGAAATATCTTTATTTTTCTTTATTTGCAAACTAATCTTGTTACATTTCAGAAATTTACATCATTTAACCGTAGAAAAAATAAAATGTAAAAAAGGAAATAAGGAATAAAACTAATATTTTTTTAAAATAAATTTCCTGGAAAAAATTCATTCACCTTACTAAAGAATGTAAACTGCATGATGGATTATTATTTTGCAGGTTTAGTTTGGATACTTTTTTTTGTTGATTTTGATTTCTCCATGTATGATCAAGGTTTTTTTCTTAATTCTACTTATTTTCTGTATTTAAACAAAATGAGAAAACCGTTTTTTTCTTTAAATATTTCAATATATGCATATTCCATGATTTTTAAATAAAAAAGATTTTATTGCGAAGCTAAATTAAAAAAAAAAAATTCATCATTAATTCGAAATTTATATTCGTATAAAACAAATAAAATTGTTGTTTTTAACGTCTCCGAAAATTATCTAGACGTACACTTGGAAATATTCCTCGACGTTTTAAAAAAATCTTATATTTAGTTTACTTATTTACATGCATATTCTATTCTTAAATGCCAAAAACAGATTTTAGTTTGTAACGTATATGTTTCTTTTAGCTGGCAGTTATCGATAAATTCATATAGTTCTGAAAAATTTTTAAATTTTTTTCGGGGCGGCAATGAGATATTCATAGAGACAATATGTTTTCTTAATAAACCGGCTAATTGAAAAATTTTTTTACTTTAATTTTACTAATTTTTTTTTAACATTTAAAACGAAAAAGAAATTTTTACCGCCCCTTAAACGAATTTAATTTTAATGTTTAATTTCTTGAATTTGAAGTAAGGTATGTAATTTAAAAACTATTCAAAAATTTTACCGGGAAGGCTATAATATCAATTTTCAATTTTAACGAAAAAGAAAAAAAAAATTTATAATTATTCCAATATAATCACGCCGCCTATTTTTTAAGTATGAAATAAAATATAATTTACTTATAATTATTGTACTTATGGAAAAATGAAATAAAGCGGATTTTTTTATGTTTATTATTTCTACCAATCAACACTGTTATTACTTCAATATAAAATTCATAACAGTATTTGCAAGATTTATATTAATTTTGGCTATTAAAAGGTTATGCTCTAATCTATAATTAATTACATATATATTTAATTTTACAATATCAAATAGAACGTTTTTGAAAAATTAATATTTTTTACCATAAAATTCTACTAAATCTACTTTTACTTAAACAGTTTTTGAAAACTAAATAAATAATTTAGTACATATACATATATTCTTTTCAAATTTATTTCACGAAAGAACAAAAAAAAACTGTGTATTATCCGGGGAGGCTATTTAGCTCCAGCAATTGCATTACTAAAATTAATTTAAATAGTGAGTTTTGTTTGTAAGCAAGCGACATTGGATAAATTTACCTATGTTTTTTTAACATTCTTTACTAATTACTTGTATATTCTTATTGTTTTTTTTATTTACACTTAGTTTTCAAATTTTTTCAAATCGAAGATTAAAAATTTTATAAATGGAAATGCTTTTTAAAGGAAAAATACTAATTTTGTACGCCAAGTTCAATAATAAATTAAAGGTCTTAGTTTTTATTCAATAATTAATTTCAGTTTTCTCTTTTTGTTTAAGATTTTAAAATGTGTACTGTATTTGTTTATTATATATCAATATATATGTTTAATGTATATATACATGTTGATATATATACACACGTTTTATGTTTTTATTTTTTTTTTTTTTTGAGTTTTTTTTTTTTTAGTTTTTGTTTCCTACCCAAAAGAATGAAGTTTAAAATAATGAATGTGATTTTCGTTGCCGTCAGTTTGGTTTTAGGGTAGGTCGACCAGTCTAAACATTTGTATTTTATATGCTTTTTTTCTAATCAGTTACCCTAAAATAAAATATTTCTTTATAAATTAAAATATATTGATAAATCCTTTTATACAAGTAACGGTCGTCAATATAGCTCCATTTTTATTTACATTTCTATTAATTTTATATCACGAACAGGCAACTTCAGCTGTAGCTGCTGCTCCACTCGAATTTGTAGCATTCAGTGATGTTTTTTGTTGTTCTACTGAAGATTGTTTTGAAGGATTACTTGAAGATGTAACATCAGATGATTCAGAACTTGAAAAAGCTGGTTGCACAGTTGGAATTGTTGTCGGTGTTGTGGCAGGTGTAGAAGCCTCGTTATTAGATGATGCATTCGAGTTTTCTTCAGCCTATAGATCGTCAGATTGACAAATGTTTTCCCGAAAAGAAAAATAAAGAGAACAGAGAGAAAAGAGGAAATATCGAAGAAAGTAGCAACAAAATGAAATGAAAATATTAATTTTTAAATATGAATTCAAAACTTTTCTACATTTTTTTTTAAGTATAAATGAATTAAAAACCGTTAAAAGTATTTTAAATGAATTTATCATGTTGATTTTAATCAACAAATCACTCACGGATTCGCTTGCTCTACTCCGTTTACGCTGCAATTGTTGTTGTTGATTTTGTTGTTTATCCAATTCTGAAGAAAGACGTTTTTTATTAGCTAATATTGCATTATTAAAATTATTGTGATTTTCCATTGACCGCCTTTCTCTCTTTAACAGTTCTGTGTCTAAATATTGATTCAATTGTTTTCGTTTAACCGGTCTTGCTTCAATTGTCATTCCATCTTTTAACATTTTTATGTTGACCTTAAAAACAATGATACAAATATTCGATATATTTAATCTTAAAATGCTTTGACTCACCGCATGCGACTCTACATGTGCTGTAAAATGTTGAATACTTTCTGTCAAATCAACGTTTAAATTTTCCGTTTTTTGAAAATCTAGTCCTATGAACCATAGAGAGCAATGTGATGGAACTTTATTCTCCCCAGGTTTACTCGGATCTTCACTACTTGTGTTATTACTATGATTAAGTATAATTTTCTGTCGATCTAGTTCAAAACATTTTGGATTAACATGAGCTAATGAAATATATGGATTTCTTTCTAACTGTCCGATTAATAAACGAATTTTAGATTCAACTAAACCACACCATTCAAGGTGATCATCAGGATTATCTGAACTAACTAATAGAACAATAAAATGTCGATATCTAAAAGTTGGAGAATTAAAAATTAAAAAGTTCTTTCTTTTTCGATACACTTAATACCTGTAAAAGAAACTTGGTGCTTCGAAAAGGCGTTCCCATGTCGCTCTTCCAAGCATTATTTCGTCGGTTGTAAGCATACCTCTGTTGAACTCACTCAAAATAACTTTCTTAGTAGATTCTGACACATTAAACGTTGAATTTTGCTGCGGATATGCTGGAGTTATTATTGGCATTAAATGATATCTATCAGAAACGTTCACTCGAGGATCCCATACCTTTATTTTAATGAAATATAAGGTTTTGAAAACAAAAAAACATAAATATGCACAGAACTTACTGGAAAACCAAGATTAATATTTTCAGGATGCTTAAGTAGAACTGGATGTGGCCACTTCCACCTAGAAAATACTAAAAAGAATTTATGAACTAAAGTTGCTGCAACAGCATTTGGATAAAGTTGACATGTCCTAGCAACTAGCATAGCCCAAGTAACACCGCCAAAGTAACCCAAAGAATTTGAATATATCCCATGTTCTGGAAATAAAATATTTTAAAACTTGCAAATACTCATGATTTTTAGATTTCAATTTGTTACTCACTTTTCGCCCACAACTTAATAGCTCTTAATGCAAGCCGAAAATTTTCAATGTTCGGAACCAAACTCAAAATTTCGTCCGTCACGCGACATCCATTTAAACTTCTAACAGAACGAGGGTCCAAATTTTTTAGTATGGTGTCGTCTTTTAAATCGAAATCATCCGGAATTTCCTTTAACGATAATCTTGCAAATAATAAATCAATTTCAATTCCATCAAAATTCATTTTGATAACCGGAACGAACGCTTCCTCAACAGCTCTACATTCCTTAACTTCTGCCTGTTTTTTGAGAAGTTCAAAAAATGTTGTAAAATAATCTGAACGCTGAATATTTCTAGGAGCAACACACAATGCGTCAATATCTGCACCTTTATGATGTACCCCCAACCGATAAGATCCAAATGTATATATTTTCCCTCCCAATTTTTCGGCCGCCTGTGGTGGCATGTTCTTTGATATGGATACATCACGAACCCATTGTTTTACTAATGTATTCAATTTAGCCAGAATCGCCATTCTGTGATTTAATTCTTCTTCAGATTCAAAAACATTAAAAGGTTCTAATGTTTTATGTAACTCTTTGGTTTTATGTAAATCTTCAGCTTTCGGCTCCGCCAAACTTATTGCTGAAGTCATACCAAGAGTTTTAGGTGTTGATTTTGGTTGCATCTGATTTGCTTGATTGTTGTTGGAAACAGAGGATGAAGAAGTAGTCGCATTAGTTATAATAGATATATTATTTCCGTTTTGTGCTTGTTGATGTGAAACAGCGTTACGCTGCATATTTCCTTCGGTATTCCACCACATATATATAACTTAGTGAAGCCCGTTGCTAATTCTTAACCTAAAACTATAAATTTTGGTAGACATTTATCACATTTTTCTTAAGAAAGTTAATATTAAAAATATATAAAAACAATTATTAAATATTTATGTATTGGGTACATTTTTTTAGTAAATTTAATAGTGGGACCATAAATTCCAATGAATTTAAAATGTCAACAATGTTTTTAACTCCATTTCATCTTATTTATTTCTAATCTTATATTTCCTAATTTTAATAGTAGGTACTTAGTAATAGAATTAATATTAAACTTAATTTTCATTTATTTTTTAAATGTTTTTGCTAAGTTAAGTGATATTGAAGTATTTCAAAGCAATATTAATTATGGCACACTTTCTCACACAATTTCTGTAGCTCATTATCTGGAGAAATTTTTATTTCACAAAGCAACTAAGCTTTTAATAATTTGTTTTTCATTTTCTGTTTATTCTTTTGTTGCTAAATCTTAAAATTAAGACATGTAATTCTTAATTTGTCCTTAAAAATAATTTTCCCTTTTTTTAATCTGTTTTTAAAGATTTTGTCTTACTTTTTATAATCATATTTTGAAATATCGCATATCATTTAATTACGCACACCATTTCACCCACCTTTTTTCTACCACGAAATGTTTTTTCTTTGGGCAAAAAGAAAAAATAAAAACTTAGGTATGTATTTTTAAAATAAAATTTGCAAGAAAAATTTTACTATACGAAAAACAAAATTAGTTAAACATTTTATTTCACTTTATTTTATTTATTAATTATGTTTTTATTTTTAACAATATTCATCTATTTTAGGAGAAAATTATTATATACTTAAAAATTATCATACGAAAAACTGACGGGCAAGCAAATAAAACAAATTACAAATTTAGTGCTGCCATTATTTATAACGCTGTATCAAAAAAAAATGGACGACTTTCAAATAGCGTTCAGAAAATTTGTAAGTGTCAAACTGTATCCAGATACTTCTGACCTCGATAATTATACTTCGAATTGAATTCAAGAATTGTGTCTTTTTTGAAACCCTCCTAGGCACATTAAGAAACATCACGACTAAAGCTAAGATTAAATCTACAATAAAATCTGATAACTGTTTACATAACCGACTGAAATTATCCGATGGCAGTCCGCATTCAGGATTTAATGCCAAAATTTTTTAATTTTGCTAAAAAATTTTTAACAATAATAAAAATAAGCTAATCGTTCTGCCAGAATTCCTCAAAAATTTAGTTGTCGTCATTTTAGTTTTAAAAAATCTGACAGTAAGTTTAGAGAGAAAAGAGTAATGTATATTATCAGATAAGTTTTGTCTAAGCAGTAACTGACACTAATTGACATTTCTTTTATTCGTAATTTTTTACACGACCCCGTTCTAAATGAATTCAAGTAAATGAGTAAAAAAACTAAGTAAAAGTTTTACTCTCAATTTTTCTGAAACTACGAGTACAACATCTAACAATCTTAACTATCTATAAAATGTGTTTCATTTATAATTTTTTTTCATTACTGTCACTTTTGACTGGAAAGTGCAAAATTCAAAATCTTTTATATTATATATTGTTTTTTTTTTATTTAATAACAAAAACTTTTATTTCTATAAATAAATTTAAAGCACTATTTGACAGCTTAATAATCAACATAATGAAAAAATTACATGTTTTTTGGGCTAATATTGTCGGTATTATGGAAGAGTCGCGAAACTGCCTTTTTGAGAGTTTTGAGTTATAGACACAGAAAAATTTAGAATTTAACGTTATTTTTCCGAAAATACTAACGGTTTAAATTTTACACGTACCTGCAAATTGACGTTAGTGCGTATATTTTTATATGCGTTTTTCTCGAAACACAAAAAAAGCAGTTTCGTGACTCTTCCATAATACCGACGATATATTTTTGCAAAATTTTCATAGTATTTACTAAATGAAAAATTACAAATAATCACAATGAATTGATAATGTGTTGCCCACTATTTATGTATGCGTTGCTAGTTAAATTATTTATGGACATCGCGAGAAGAACTTTACATATTTGTAAGTAATACATGTAATTCATACATACTTTCGCGAGAAGAGTCTTTAATATTATTTGAAATGATTCCGCCAAGTGTATTCTTCCTGTTGAATTTTTTAAATTTTTGGAAATGTCAACTTTGTGGCCTTTCAGGTTAATAGTTTTGTTTCAACTATCCTTTACATAATAAATTCGCCTTTTTAAAATAAGAAAATTTAAGAGTTCAAAAAATTCTCTTTTCTTTTTATTGGTATGAAAAGAAAACTTCCTTTTATTCGGAATAAAATACTTTTTTTTTTATTTTTCGCTAATATATTTCGTGCGCTACATACACACTTTAATATATTAGCGAAAAATAAAAAAAAAAGTATTTTATTCCGAATAAAAGGAAGTTTTCTTTTTATACCAATAAAAAAAAAAGAGAATTATGTTTCGGAAAAATTATCAACCATTGAAAAAAAAAAATTTTTTTGAGTTCAAAAAATCTTTATTTTACAGCACACATAAAATCGATTTGAAATTTATAAAATTGAAAATTTCTTAATCTTTTAAAATAATTGAAAGCGTCCATTACTTTATCTACATTTTCCATAGTTTGGCATTCCGACAAATCCAAGTTAACAATTGATGGGCAGTTTGTTGATAGTAATTTTATATCTGACGCACATATAGCTATATTTGGTAAGCACAACGTTTTTAATTCTACAAGTTTAATATTTTTTATAAAAGATATATCAGTTATAAGTTTACATCCTTTTATGTTTAAATATTGTAAATGCTTCAAACGGCCAATCGAAAATCCTTCTTCCTTATTTGTCTCAATATTTAGCCCAGTCAATGCGAAGTCCGATATCTGTTATGTTAGCATAAAATAATATATAAATTAACATTTTCAAGGTTGAGATTGTAATATGTTATTAATAAGTTAAGGAATGTGTGTACATTGTATATTATATCCATACAAACATATACAATTTTACCTTGCAAAAGCAAGTCAATAATAATAATGTAAGTATATTCTATGTTAACTAAGCAATTACGTACAATGTACATATGTACATAGATTTATACAAGTTATGTTATGTTACAACAATTAAAAGTAAAATAATTTTCTTGTATTTATAAAATGCAAAATATTTATAAGACGCTCAACAGAAATTAAGCTTCATTTTTTACTCAAAACTCCTTTCTTGAGTTTAAAAAAATTACGTTTCTCTCAAAAGTTGTAACTAAAATAATTTTTACGTTTAAAATGGTTGAGTTTCTTGAAAATATTTCAAAGTTTATTAATCTGTGAATAAATTTTTAAAATCTTACCAATTTACAGCCTTCTAAATTTAAATAATTTAATTCATCGAGTTCCATAATTATTCTTTGAACTGTTCCATTATTTATTCCCATGCAATGTGATAAATCTAAAACTTTTAAATTTGGTAAATTTCTGCATAATTTTACAATGCATGATGTGTTAATTTCCATTCCAGATAAAAATAATTCTTTCATTTTTAAATTTCTTTTTGCCACAATGGTTTCATTGACTGCGTAACAAGTCATACGATCACATTTTGATATATCTAATACACGTAATTTTTTTAGTGTTTCATCAATAGCATATAAACTTCTGTCAGATAAATTTATACATTTAGCTAATATTAATTTTTCTAAATTAATTATAAATTTAACTAATAATTTAATATGTGCGTCTGTTACTTGATCTGAATAACTTAAGTCTAATTCTTTTAATGTGTTCTGAGTTGAAATAAAAATGATTAGAGAGCGCCATGGTGAAACATCTATGCAACGCAAACTCGTTAAATAAAAATTATTAAAAACTGTTATAGAAGATATAAAATCATTTGTGTCTACAATATGTTTTAAACTTAGTTTTTTAAGTGTTGCAGCATTTTCATAAATAATTTGCCGTAAAACATTTCCCACAATTTTTGTATCATTTAAATGATAACTAAATTCGAAATTTATTTCAAATTCTTCCAAACCACCATTTATTAGGCTACATAAACGTTGTATAGAATAAATTTCTGGTGTTGGAACTGATATTTTTATCGATTTTAAGTTATTTATTATTGGACGTATTTTATTTATATCATTTGAATCTATTAAAAAATTTTCATCTTTTAAAATTTTCGAGGTTTCAGTGATTTTTAGTTCTCTTAGTTCTATCAAATTTTCTAAAATATAGCAAAATTCCTTTGATGTTAATTGTTGAGAATGAAATGTAATTGACCTTACTCCATTTTCACCAATATTTTTTAAAAATTTTTTACAATTTTCTACAGCAATTTCTTCAAATATAACATTAGGAAATGATCTTGTACTATTCATAAATGTCTTAGCCGGCGTTAATAAATCTGATAAAATAATTTTAGAAAATCTAAGAACTAATTTTTTATGAAATTCTTCATATTCAGACGCCAACATCCATTGACGACATGCTAATGATGCTGATTGAATATCATCGAATGTTAAATATTTAAATATTTCTATTAATATCTGCAAGAAGTTTAAGAAAATATATATATAATTACATATATGTATGTTGATAATAATTTGTAACTTAAAATACGTATTATTAATTAATAATTTGAAATGCTATAGCTTAAACACTATTTGTATAAAATAAAGTTTCTATAACGCCTATTTGTCCATCAAACAAAATCACAATATTTGTATGTATTATAACATTGAAGTTTTCTATTTTCTGTTTTGTTCAGTGATATTATAAGAATTCGGTCTTGCGATATTTAAATAAAAATAGAAGTAAATAAAATCAAACACAAGGTGTCAGCAATTAGATTTCTACTACGAGCTGAATTAATATTTTGGGACATATAAATAGAAATAATTAACTATAGTTTTCTTTAAATTTAATATTTCAATTCAGAGTGTTAAAATAATGAAATAGTAAATTTTTGGAAACATCCAAGCTTGGACCACATACTGGGAACCAAAATTGACGTATTTTCGTAAAAATTAATGTTTGTGTTCTGTTTACTATACCGGAACTAACTGAGGAACTTTTCAAGGATTTTGAATAGCATTTCCATTTTTCTAGGTTCATATACTGAATCAAGCTTACATAGTGTTTTTAAGATTTGAAAGAAGAGTTTAAACAGCATTTTAATAATCATGTTCAACACCCTGTACGAAAATCTGCTGTTAAAACATTCATTTGAAAACTGACTGAAGTGATAAATTAAAATTGGCTTTTTCTTATTGTACACTAATCGATGCCTCAAAATGAGCAAAATTAATTAAATTATTTGTAAGATTAAATAATGGTTTTTATTACAAATTAAGAGCATTTTTTTAATAAATAAATTGAAAAATATTTTCCTTATACACCCGTATACATATAGTAAAAAAAGTTTTTAGAGTGGCAATATAGTTGCCTTGCCGTAAAGGATCAAGCATTATTAGATCCTTTATATAGAGATAAAAATGTAAAACTGAAATAAAAATTAAAATTTTTTATTTATTGTGGTTTTACAAGGTAATTTTTTCCAAGATAACTTTTTAATTGATTTTATTTTTTAATTTTTTGTTTATCAAAATTAAATAAGTAAAAATCGCAGTAAAAATAATAAAAATTTGAAAAAACATGCATTCATATTTAAGTACACATATGCACTATTATTTGTATATAAACATAATTTAACTATATACAAAATATTTGCGAACGTAACATACAAACATGTATATAAATCGTAATATAATTTAATTAAATACAAAACATTTTAAAGAGAAAACAAATAAAAATGAGATGCTATAAACAAAACACATATGAGAACAAATGTTACCCATCTAAAAATAGAGCATTATTATTTATGCATTAAAAATTTGTACAGTGATATACAAACGTACATACATATGTATTTTGTCATATACAAAAAACAAATGAATTTAGGATTTTAAATAAAATCATATATACATGCATATACAAATATACATACAATATAATATATTAAATGCCGAATATTTATATATGTATAAAAAAATAATATTTTGTACATAATTGTTAAAATTTTAAAAATATATGATTCATATTTATAATAATTTTTTTTGATTTTAACACATTTTAAACAGGTGAAATACCTCTACTGCCTCTACTTTTTTTTTCTATTATAAAACCAATTTCATTTTTGATATGCGAGCGAGTTTTGTTTTTCAAATATGACAACTTACAAGCTTACGATTTATAGAGAACAGAGTCGTTGCACGTAATTTAAATACAAAATAAAAGTATGTACACACATATTCCAACTTTTAGAATTTTAAACAACGGTAATTATGTACATGAAAATATACTTTGTAAGAGGGTAATTACAATTCTTCAACAAAGCTATTTGATATTTTTTTCAGGTATGTATGTATGTGCATATTTGTTTTCCTTTTGCTCAATGAATGTATTATAGGTAATTACACTTTGGGCTGTTTATAAAAATCTTTAAAATATTTCGGCAAGTCTCAATATACATTTACATTCACATATAGATATGCAAATTTGTACATAAATGATTATGAACAAAATATTGTCCATAAATCTATGTATATATGTATGTATAAATACACGAAATGCATAAGATATTGCGTGACATTATTGTCTTATGTGCGTCTAATTTAAATTTTGAAAATCTGGGAAAATTGTTTATTTTTTTAACAATTAACAAATTATTAATAACAAACAAAATATGTGTATATATAAAATATCGACAAATAAATATATATACATATGTATACAACATATGTACATATGTATATTTATTATAATTTTCTATTTTAATATGATTATTAACCGGTTTAAATAATACATACATGCGTACATACATACATACAATATTATTATATGAGCACAATTATTAAAAAAATTTTTGCGCATTATCTTAAAATACATTTTAATATTAATAAAATACGAACAATTAAACTAAATTTTCTTATTTTTAATTTTTATTATTTATTGCTCAAAGATTCCCAAAAAAAAACAAATGTTTTCGAATAAAAATGAAAAAAAAAATTTTTTTAAATAAATTACTTAAATATTTTGTATAATTCTGTAAAAGTAAAATAATACTTAAATTTAAAATGATTATCAATATAAAAGTTATAATTTAGATAAAAGAAAAAAAAACACCTACTTTTAGGTGCTTGATGTCTAAAATACATACATAACTATGTACATATGTAGATAAATATAAAAAAATATGTAATTACAGCCTAATTTGACTTTAAATCAACTACATTATTTTAAATATATAATTTCGCATTTATTTGTATACTATTACTCAATACTAACCTCAATTGGTAGGCATCCAAATTGATTATTTTCATTGCAATCCATAATAAATACCAAATAATTAAATTATTTCGGTATAATTAAAACTTATTTATTTTTATAACTTAAATAAAATTTCATATACATAAATGTATAAATAAAAAAAAAATAAAAAATTTTTTATCCTTTTATAGTTCCTTTTTTTTTCTTTGATTTTTAAATTCAACGAAATTGTACTTTTCAATTTGAATTACGTATCTGTACTAATTATTTTTTCTCTAAAATCATTTCATTTTAATAATGTATAGATATAGAAACATATATATATAAATATTTTATATTGTTTCAAAATACATTTTTTATAACAAACAGTATATATACCTAGTGTACATATTTATAGTAAACTAGATAATATCAAAATATACTATAGATATAAAAACTACGGTAAAAAAAATCTTTTTTTACGTACAATACATACATAATATGTTATTCATTATAATATACGATAAGCATATTTATACACATAAAAATATTGTTAATATTTTCAGATTACTCTTTAAATTCTCTCAATGTTTATAAACATTTTGAGAAAAAAATTCATTGTAAAATTTATAAACATATTTTCATGTGTGCGAAAATTTTTTTTTCGCTTAAACATTTAAATTACCTATGAAAGTTGTACACAACTATCACCGACCGTGCATCATATAAATTTTGATATACATATATATTTAAATCTGTATGCCTGTGTGTATTCAAAAAGAACGGTTATATTTTTACGGTATTTGAACGAATTTAAAAATTCTGTATCGCATGGAAAGTTTTCTTACAATTGAATTTAATTTAAATTTTTTTGAGTTATATTTTGAAAGCTTGACATTTGCTTAAAGTCAAAATTAAATTTTGCGGTACTTTTTTAACGTCAATATATAATGTCTGAAATAAAGGTTATAATTTTTTTGTCACATGATTTACGAAAAAAATTGCAATTGACAGATGCAAGTTATTGGCAAGTAGGTCTATATATGTATGTATTAAAAATATTTTCAAATATTTAATTTTTTGAAATACCAAATTATTGGGTACAATGAAATTGGTCTTTTAGTCATTTAATTTTTTAAAATATCTTTAAAAAATCTACTATGTTTATTTCTTTAATTAATTTTTTTCATGTTAAATTGCTCAAATTACTGATAGCAAAATTTTATTGCAAGTTAAGTGGACAGTAAACTAATAAGTTGAAATATTTCAACCTTTAGTTTGAAAATTTCTTGCATGCATTGTAACTTTCTTTTGAATAACTTGCCATTTAAAGGCAAAAAATGGAAAATTAAAATTTTCACAGAAAAATTCGTGGAACGGTCTATCACAGTGATGTGATTGTCCTGAGTAGTAATAGCAATTTTAAACAAAACTTACAACTTGCTCTTACTAATATGTGCATGTATACGTTATTATTTTTTATATAAATAAATAAAAATTTAAGCTTTGTCTCCTGAAGAAGTTTTATATGTTTTTTTCAAAGATAATTAGATATATTCATATGTAACATATAATCTGGCATCAATTATTAACATATGATTTATTAGCCATATATACAAACAAAATATTGAAAAATGTCAACCATTTATGTAAAAGTAATATTTCAACCAAAAACTATTATTCAACGAAGCAAACTCAGATCTGTCAAAATATAGACCAGTATTGTTTTTTACCTCTGAGCATTCAGAGATAAAATTCGTATATTTTTTACGAGCAGAGCAGGATTATATCGCGCTGTATGTGGTCGATTTTCAGACGCCACAGAGATTATTTTGACACTTTATATAAAATGAAAAATTGCTAAATGACAGCAATCTATCGTGTTCGAATGTAAAATCAGCGCCCTTAAATCACAAAATTTTCAATTGAACTTCTTTTCAATCAGAAGATTGAACTTCTGAACTGAAAAACGAATACGAGAAAGTATATATATATTATAACAAAAATAATAGCAAAACAAAAAATATTTCTGTCAGCCGTAAATATTCCTGTAAGCTGCAATGTAGTATATATATATAAATATTTTTTTCTTAGTCAGCGTTTACATGTTAGTCACAGATTGGCAATTTCGATTGCCAATGATGAAACTTGAACATGTAAACTTCGTTTTTATTATCGTAAAATTGAAAATGATCGAATGCGAACGTTAACGCTAATTTTCATCAATCTCAATCATAATTGTCAATCTTTGATTGACATGCAAAGAATGTCTAACTATTTGTCAAAATTGCTTGACAATTAAATTTTGAAGTTTATCATCAAAATAAAAAATTGCACAATTTAAAATGATTTCTTCAAAAATAGCACAATTATCTTTGATAAAGAATTTTCTGGTTGCAGAAAACTCAACATGTTTGCTTCAAAAAAGGTTAAATATATGTAGACGTATTGTTTATACTAATTATTAACTTTTTTTTGTAAACAGGCTCAAAACTCATTTCAGAAGTGGGGCTCTAAAACCAAAACCAGATCGTAAGTTTTTTATATTTGAATTTCGAAATGAAATTAATATCTAAAATATTTTTTTTTATTTAACGTCTTATATTTCTGATTTATAGGGATGCCATTTGGAATTGTTAGTGTAGTATGCGCCGTAGTTCCAGGCCTGTTCATCGGTGCCGCTATCAGTAAAAGCGTTGCGAACTTTCTGGAAGAAAATGATTTATTTGTTCCTTCTGAAGACGACGACGAAGATTGAAAAATGTTTCAACTTTCAGCTTTCCGGATTTAATAGTAAAAATATTCAATATTTCCTTTGCATTAATAAAAATTTAGCTTAAGTCCTTTTTTCTATATCTCTTAAAGCTTTTAAATGTATTTATTTCGCAAACTATATCAGCACAATTTTATCGAATAAAAAAAATCAATGTTACTAGTCAAAGTTAATAAATTGTTGGAAAATAAAAATATCTATTTATAAAGTGAAATGTTCAAATCTTAAATATTTAATTTGAAGAACTTGCGTTCATGAAAACGAAGAAACAGACACAAATTTTTCTTATTTTTTAAGACTTTCAAATTTTGTAAATAATTTTATTTCGTTCAATTAAACAATGTTTTCTACAGTAGCATAAGAATGTTTTTTTCTTAAATGTTTGGTTAATTCATATTTTTTAATAAAGGCTTTTGAGCATAATTCACATTTAAATGGTTTTTCACCTGTATGAGTCATTACATGATTCTTTAAGTCTTGATGAAAAATAAATTTTTTTTTGCAAAACCCACATTCAAAAGGACGGTCGTCATAATCTAAATGTCTTTTTTTCATGTGTTCATTTAATTTACTGGTGGTTTTAAATCTCATACCGCACTGCACACATAAATAATTTCGATCACTGTTGTGTATGTATCTTTCATGACGCTTTCTTAATTCTACTGTTTTAAAAATCCTTTCACAACCTTCATATTGACAAGGGACTTTTAATCCTTCCGTATGTTTAACAATGTAATGTGTTTTTAAATTGATTTTATCATTGAAAGCAGCTGAACATTTAGAGCATTTAAATGGTTTTTCTCCTTTATGTCGTCGGATATGGTTCCGTAGAGATTCTAAAGTACGAAACCTTTTTCCACAAAGCTCACATTTGTCTGAATTTGTTTCGTGTATTAAAATATGTTTTTGATATGCACTTTCGATAAAGAAAACTCTCTCACAGTAAGTGCAAACTAATTTTTTGGATGTCGACTTGCCTTTGCTCATGTTTTTTTCATATTTATTTGCAGCACTCGGCTCATCTTTGAGATTATTACAAATTGGCTTATGTTCATTAAAGAGATCGACATCTTTAAAATTTTCATTACATTTTCTACAAAAAAGTAGAACAGATTCAGAAACATCTGCTTCATTAATTATTTCAATTTTAATTTCAGAAAAATCATCACTATCTTCAAAGTCGCTCTTGTCATCTTTGCAATCATATTTTTGCTCAAATTCACTCTCATCCTCAATTATGTCATGCTTTTCTATAGCTAAAATTTCTGGAATATCTTGAGCTTCCATTTGACAACTTGTGCTATCAGAAAATGATTTTGAGTCTTTTCCATCGTCAAAGAACTTTGTGAAATGTTCATCCAAAATATGGTTCCTATATTCATTGAAACCCCAGTGAACAAAACCACAGTTTAAGCATAAAAAAGAGAAATCCCCATCTCCAGTTATAAAAATATTGCCACATTTTACTTGATCCATATTTAAAGTTTACATTTAAAAATATTAACGCAAAAAATCAACTTAACAATTATTGTTTAGTCCTTGTTTTCGTTTTTAGTTTTTACCACTTTTTTTTACTTTTAATGTCAAAATTTGAAAATCGAATTTTTACATATGTAAATAAGTCGGTTCAATGAATAGTTGGTGTAAATCTTTTGTGACTTTTAGTTCTATTGCACTTATGAAAGTGAATTCATTGGTTCGTCGGTTTTAAGCTAAGCTTTTTCGATACATATATATAATATATTCTTTTTTACGTAAGTAATAGCCTAATTATACATCAAGATTTTTCATCTTTCTTCAGATTGAACCATCTCCGATTCAGTCTGCAATCGAAATTAATTGATTATGACAATTTTTCAATTCCGTTTGCGATGAGAAAATGTAAAAAATTTTCTCAATCAAAAATACGTTAATGTATATAATATTTGACAATCATATAGGATAAAAGGATTTTGAAATAAATTGATTCTTAATAAAGGCATAGAGTGCAAAATAAAACGAAAAGGTATTTGTTTAATAAAATAGCTAATAATACTCTTTAATATATTAAAACCCCGTATGCTAAAATTTGACTTAGATGCTAATATATGTCAATTAATTTTACATGCTAGATTGCTTTTAATTATAATAGCTATTTTACAAGGAGAAATTAAAAATACCAAACACAACGTTCAGAATATTTCGAATGGACGAAAAAACAGAGTTTGACGTTTTCAGAGAGAATATTTTCGGTAACGAATAATTGAAATATTGAATAAACTTATTTTTAATAGTTTAAAATGGTTAACGAACAAAGACTATAGTGTGAACTGTTGAGAAAACTTCAATTTCGTTGCGGAAACTGAACAGAGTTTACTGTAGATAGGTAGGTCATTATAAAAAACATTCTTTATTGTATTTATTTGTATGTACTTACATGCACATAATTGAAAGTTATAATGCGAATTAAATATTTTAAATTTTATTCAGATATTTTACGTTTTGTAATAAAAAATGAATCTTATCAAGTGTGGCGACATATTAATATCCAACAATGTTGAATTTTCATTTTCTTGTACAAAATGTAATAATGTTTACGAATTACTGAGTGATTATCAAGTTCATGTTTTAGAGCAACATATTCAAGAAATATTTGGTGAAAATTTTGATGAACTTCTTGAGATTGAAATTAAAGAAGAAATAACTAAATCTGATTCAGAACTTGAGGAAATATTTTTAGATCAAAATGAGGAAAAATATTCAGCTTCCGCCTTGCTTGAAAATGTTGATCCAGATACACCAATTGAGAATATAAACGACACTGATGTTACTTTGGGAAACCAGAACACTTCACCAACTGAAAATTTGTATGAAGTGCCAAATAATAAGCACAGCAATGATAGACACAAAAAGGTAGAAAATAAGGAAAGAATTAAATGCAATTATTGCGATAAAACTTTTGATATCAATAAATACCGTCCACATAAAATGAGAGCGAAATGTGGTAAATGCATATTATGCAAAAGGTCATTTGGTGATATTTGGAGTCATATATCAAAATTTCACTCAGAATATTATCAAGAAAGAAAAAGATTAGGGTTGGCTGTTTACGAACGTGAGAAACATAAATCAACAAAAGAATTATATTGTGAATACTGTCAGCGTATATTCAAAAAAGAAGCGGCTTTTAAAGAACATGTTTTAGTTCACCAAAAATGTTTGGATAAATGCAAGTTTTGTGGTAAGTTATTTAAGGACAAACATAGCTTGGCAATTCATATAAGAACTCACACTGGCGAAAGACCTTACAAGTGTCCTCACTGTGACTTTGCTTTTGGGGATAATGCTAACTTAAAAACACATATTATTAGTAAGCATACATCTGGATTGAACGTGAAGTGTAGATATAAAGGATGTGAGAAAACTTTTAAAATTAAGGCGCTTAGAAATCGTCATGAAAGCTACGTTCACGAAGACAAACGGAATTACTTATGCTTGACTTGTGGAATGTCATTCAAGACTTCAAGTAAACTAAATGTTCATGTTAAAACAAAACACATGAAATACGATGACAGACCATTTCATTGCGAACTTTGTGATAAAAAGTTTATATTTAATAGGGACTTTGTAAATCATACGATGGTGCATACTGGAGAAAAACCACACAAATGCGAATTTTGTTCAAAAGCATTTAGAAAAAAGGATTCTTTAACCGAACATAAAAGGAAAAACCATTACAAAAAATAAAGGGAGATAATTAAAAAAATTATTTACTATAAAAAGTCACTAGAAAAATTGACGCAAAATTTTAAAAGTTAATTTTAGTACAAAAATAAAACTGAAAAAAAATGTTAGAAATAAATCTCGTAAAAAATTAGCATATGTTCTTTGTTATGTATAAAATAAAATTACATAATTATGTAGGTACATACATACTATAAATTGTTATATTAAATGATCTGTTTAAATCATTTAATAGTAATGATCTGTTTAGATCATTTAATAGTAGAGTAAGAAAAATATTTTGCACGCCTCTTATTGATTATTAGCCTCTACTTCTTCGTAGATGAAAATTGTACTTAAATGTATTTAAGGGCTAAACAAGTAACATTAATTATAGAATGGCCTTGAATGTTCTATGACTATGGCCTCAAAATCACAGCAATATGATAATGCATATATATACTCAATTCAGCTAAATTTATTAAATATACATATAGTAAATATATGATGTATTTAGTTACCTACTTCAATAAGCGAATTATTTGCTTTCTTTGCTAATAAGAAATAGAATTTTTTAAAGATTCTAGTTGAAGACACAAATCATTAGTTTTCGTATTCCAACCCAACTTTATCAAGCTATACATACATGCTTCACGTTAGCATAATTATTTACAATTTTAACTAAAAATAATTTTATTAAATACGAATCGAACTTTAACAAGCAGTTAAACAAACTTTAAGTTGTTTGATTGCTTGTTTTGGTATAGCTATAGAAGCATTCGTGCGTCGTTTAAATCGACACACAAGACAAACTATCAAGTCGGGAATTAAACAACAAAAAAAAATAAGTAAATTAACGTTGAAATTGGACAAATTTGAACGACTGAAAACTTTTGAGGTTATCAAATTATTTTCAGCTTCGGCTAACAATAAATTTTGTTATAATATAATTATCGCAATTCGTTTAGGATGTATACTAGCGTAAAATACAGGTTGAGATTTGGACATCAGGAGAAAAATTTGTATATATAGAAAACATAGTCATCAGTGATATTGTAAATATAGTTATGTATGTATGTAATCAATTTATGTTATCACAATATTAAAAAATTAATTTAAAAAAATCTTTCCCACTTTGTCATAATTCAAGTCAGACCTACCCTTCTCTAGTAATAACTCCTTGAACCTGAAATTTGAGAAAACAAAAACCGAAAGTTTTTCAAAAAAAATAATAAATAAAGTTCGTCAATGTGCAGATCAAATATTATTGTGTGCATATGTATATGACATTAGACACATTAATAATTTCATTTTCACTGTTTTATAAAGAAAAGCCAATTTCCCAATGTCTGGGCCCATGTTTTTGTAATGTCAAAGTACACAATATATATGTATATGTATATATTGGTGTAAAAGTGTACGTGTGAACTTAGTCAAAGCAATAAATTTCTGAAAGGTGTAAAAGATAAAGAATATAAATTATTGGCGATTTTAGTTAATATTAATATTATTATTGGTATAAAACATGAGTGTAATTAAATGTGGGGATATTTTGATATCTAAAAATATTGAATTTTGTTTTTCTTGTACAATATGTACAAATACTTATGAATCGTTAAGAGATTATCAAATGCACGTTTTGGATGAACATGTACAAGAAATATTTGGAGAAGATAAAGAAGAAATATCAAACAATTTATCTGATTTAGAAGTTGATCAAATATTTGTAGAAATGAAAGTGGAAAAACTTTCAAGTTGTTCTTCTCTTGGAAGTCCAAATCCAAATTCCGCTATTCAGGACTTAAAGGATGTTAAGTTAGAATTTGAGAATGTACTATCTTTTGAAGATGGGAATGAAGAATCAGACAATGAGAACATAAACAATGATGAAGATACAAATAATACGGATGATAAGAATGATGTACAATATGATAAGGAATTGATTTTGAAATGTAATAATTGCGATAAAAATTTTGAAGCTAACAATTATCGGATACATAAGAAGAGAGCAAAATGTGGTAAATGTCCATTATGTAATCGTACATTTGGAGATATCTGGAGTCATATATCAAAGTTTCATAAAGAATACTATCATGAAAGAAAAAAATCTGGATTAGCGGTCTATGAACGTGCATTAGCCACAGAGTTATATTGCAATTATTGCGATCGTGTCTTTAAAAAGGAAGGACCGTTTAGAGAGCACGTTTTAGTCCATCAAAAAAGCTTAGATAAATGTAAATTTTGTGGTAAATATTTTAAAGAAAAGGTTGCTTTAGCAACTCATATAAGAACTCATACTGGTGAAAGGCCTTTCAAATGTCCTCACTGTTCATTTGCCTTTAGTGATAATGCCAACTTAAAAACACATATTATTATTAAACATACACCTGGATTGAATGTAAGATGTAGATCTAACGGATGTGAAAAAAGTTTTAAAACTAAGGAATTGCGAAATCGTCACGAGAGATACGTTCATGAAGACAAACGAAATTATTTGTGTTTAACCTGTGGGATGTCGTTCAAGACCTCAAGCAAATTAAATGTTCATGTCAAAACGAAACATATGGAATATGATGACAGACCATTTCAATGTACACTTTGTGATAAGAGATATGTATTTAATAGAGATTTTGCTAATCATATGATGGTACACACCGGAGAGAAACCACATAAATGCGAAGTTTGTTTGAAAACATTTAGGAAAAGGTATTCGTTAACTAAGCATAATAGAAAAAATCACCCACAGTAATTTTTAATGTTACATTTATGCATATACATATGTATATACTTATGTAGGTTAAAATTTGCATTTTTGTGAATAAAACTTTTTTTTTTGTAAAAAATGTTTTTTACTTAACGATAAAACTATAAAAATTAAAAAAAAAATAATATTTATTCAGCTGTATAATATATAATTAAATAAATGCGTTCGTTCATCTCTTCAATCAGCAGATGCTAAAGGATGTCTTTCTAATAACATTGCAACGCCTTGTCCACCCGCAGCGCAAGCGGATACAACAGAAAATTTTCCATTTTCTCGTACCATACGATTTGCCTGCAAGGAAATGACCAATTAAATTATTTTTATTAAATTTTCTTAGATTTATACGTACAGCGTGCATGCAGAGCCTAACTCCAGTTGCGGCAAACGGATGACCAATAGACAAAGACCCGCCCCAATTATTCCACTTTGCTAAGTCAGGAGTGCCATATTTTTGGCTCATTCCCATATATGTTTTGCAGAACCAGTCAGAATCTAAAGCTTTTAAATTCGCTAAAATTTGGCCAGCAAAAGCTTCGTGGATCTCCCAACAGTCAATATCTTTCAGAGTAAGTCCAGTTTTTTTTAGCAATTTTGGAATTCCATATGCTGGACCTAAAAGTAATTGATCAACCGGATCTTGTGATACGTATAAAAAGTCTCTAAGATATGCCTTGGGTTTTAGTCCTAATTCTTTAGCTTTGTCATCAGTCATAATTAAACAAGCCGATGAACCATCAGTCTAAAATTCATATTTTATAGTGCAAGTGTTAACAATGAAGGTGCTTTAAAATAATAATAAAATGATACATACCAAAAAAGATGCGTTCGCGGCAGTGATAGTACCATTCGGCTTAACAAAGGCAGGTCTTAGTTTCGCTAATGCATCTATGGTGGAAACTCTTATTCCATTATCTTTGTCCACAAGTTTTGAAGCAGAATTTGGCTTAAAAGGTGCCAAATCAGTCAAATAACCCTTTTCTTGTGCTTCTTTGGCTAAAGTATGTGATCTCAAAGCGTAGTCGTCTTGCTCTTTTCGGCTAATATTAAATGCAGCTGCTAAACGATCTGCCGAATGTCCCATAGTTTCACCTGAAGAAAACTCTGCCACTGCTGGAAGCTAATAACACAATTTATAATTTTATATTTTTTTTTTTTTTTTCCTTTGTTCACTCCTAGAAGGAGCATAGGGCTAGTGCATGATTTCTCATGCAATAGTTTCATAGCGTCATAGAGTTTAACTAGGTAGGTGACTAGCCTGCCGTAGTTTTTATTTATGTATATAAATTATTTGAGGTTATTAATATTTACTGTTTATTTTTCTTAGTTTTTTTTTTAATATCGAATATTACGAATATTTTGAAAATTACTTGTATAATATTTATTAGTATTGTATATTAAGTTATAATAATATTGAATATAATTTTTTATAGTGACCTGACCGGGGTTTGAACCCGAGATTCTTCGGTTAAAGGACCGGTGCCATAACCACTGCACCAATGGTCAGATATAATTTTATATAAGTCGAAAAATTTCTTACCTCTGGAATTAGAAAATTTGGTCTTAACGTTGCAAGTAATTGTAATTTTTGTAATGGCGTTTTAGCTTTGTTAGCTCTTAACATTAAACTCCTCATAGCTCTACTATGTCTAATCGGGACATCTGACATAAACTCTACCCCACCTGCAACGATTGCCTCGTACGTACCAGTTGCTATAAGACCCATCGCAGTTGTCATTGCCTGTAATAAATTTTCAAATAAAAAACAAGTAAGAAATACGACAATGATGAGTTGCTAATAAATTTAAAATTAGGTATATTAATTTGTGATAGGTAACTTTCATACCCAAGAGATCTTTTTTACTAAATGTTACAAACATTGAAATACAGTCAAATTACTTCAGTATATTAACATATTCATAACCAATACTTACTGCATTACTACTGATGCAAGCCATTGTCACTGTATGAGCGGGAGTTTTATCACTAAAACCAGCTGTTAACGCTGCTTCTCTTGCAACATTTGAAGTTTTTACTTCCTGAATGACTGTCCCATATACAATATAATCAATAATTTCTTTATCAAGTTTAGTTTTTCTTAACAAACTCCTGTAACATTACAAGTTTTCTTTTATTTCTTTGGCTTACAATAAGATGAAGTTAGCTTACAAAAGAGAGTGTCTTGCCAATTCATGTGGCATAAGTTTGGCATAATCTGTTCCAGACATTAGAAAGGGTGAACGAACTCCATCAACTAAAACAATATTTGGCCTTCGAGACTCTTTCGGAAGAGGAGCAGCTGTTGAAAGAGTTTTAGCCCCTAAAATGCAATTATTAATGTTAAACTTCTTATTCATAAACAATCTATTTACATGACGTATATACGTATATCTAGAGTTCAACTAGATTATGAAACGTCATACTAGTCTGAACTTTGGACTTTAAAATATATGTATATATTTCTTCATATTATTATCACAATGGGTAGATCTTTGTAATTTGTTACTTTCAAATATATGATCTACTTAGTAGCTTACCATTATTAAAAGCAGGCACCAATAGAGGTGAAAGTTTATTAATTCTAGTCATATAAGCGGCCATTGAGAATTCGTAAAAAATAATCTATATTTATATTTAACGTAGAAAATGCGATGGAACCTAATATTTTCAATAAATTTAAATTAATGCAGCTTCGACACCAAAACTATTAAAAAAAAATAAATACCGTGAACGAAGAAATTTATTTGATTAATTTACCAAGACTTCACTTGAGGTCTAGCAATTCGACTTATATTTATAAGAAATTTTCCGTTCAGCTGCAAAATGTCAGTTAAAGAGTTGCCAAATCATAGCAGAAATAGAATTTTATTTGAAGTCAACTCATTTTACGAGACAATAATAAAATTTTAGCTCAGTATGTTATCAATAAAATTTTATAAATATATTTTTACATCGACTTGTAATATTTTTTTGGAGGTTTAGTTCTTTTCTTAAATTTAATGTTGAAATATACTTTCTATACTGGAAATATACTTTATATACTGGAGTACAAAATTTTTGCTGTATGCCGCAGAAAAAAATTTTACATTTTTTTATAACTTGCATGTAATCCCGGTGAGCCATTAAAATTTTAGGATTTGATCTGTTAAATGAATTTTATATTTCACGAATATCCAACAATTTAAAATGCAGTGTGAACATGGAGCTCATGTGATTGTCAATCAGTCAAAATATCCTAATATTAGTTTGATTTGTTTCGATTTTGGGAAATTTTTCTGACTTTTCCGTAAAAGAAGTTGACATATCTTACGTTAACGAGAATCGAAATCAATCTGTCTGACGTGGAATATCTGTGGAAACAGTGAAATACACAAATTATTTCTTAGTTTAAAGAGTTAATAAAATTTTATTCGAAACTTAGACCTAAACAAAAATGAATTATGGAATAAATCAACAGTATCCGCCGCAACAGTTACCACCGGGTGGAGTATCAAATATGGGGTCACAAATGACAAGTACACCAAATTTAAATAATCCATCCTTAGTTCAGCAAGGTTCTAATTATGGAAGTGGACAATTACCTAAAACACCTTTTACAAACAACATTCCGTTGAATTCGCAATTAAATGGACCCGGTAGCATTTCACAGCACTATTCTCAATCATCGCACCAGCCAAATTCAACTCCAACTCAGCAACAAAATGCACAGCAAAATCCGAGTACGATTTTACCCCCACCACCTGGAAGTTTAAAGCAACCAAATTTAGAAAATAATAACGTAATTACTTCTAATCAGCCTCAAACATTGCAAAATGGTCAGCAGGGTAACTACTATAATAATTTAAATACAATGGGTCAGCCAACGAATGCGCCTTCATCCCAATTACATCAAAATATTGCTACACGACCGAATCAAAATATAATGACAGGTCAACACATTCAACAATTAAATACTTCAAAGGTCAGTCAACCGGGCTCTTTACCACCCACTCAATCGACTCATCAAAATTCAATGATACCTCCGTCGTCTCAACAACAGTTCATCAATTCAAATCAGCAGCAAGTATATCAACAAAATACGAGACCTCAATTACCTCCACAAACAAGTTTACCCCCAATGTCACTTCCCCAATCAACACCAAACACTGGAATGCCTTCGAACTCTCAACCAATTCATCAAATGGCTCAACCAGGAATGCCTTCTTTATCTCAAGCTGGTATGCCTCCTAAGCCGCAAGGCAGTACTTCAAGTATTCCGCAACCAATGTTGCAACCGATGCCTCAATCTAACGTTCCACTAATGAATCAGCAAGGAGGAGCAATTCCTGCACCATTACAATCACCAATGCAACCAATTTTGCCTCCGGGTGTATCTCCAATGTCATTTCAACAAGGTATGTCCCAGCAATATCAAAACACTAATATGATAAATCAGCAGCAGCCGTATTTGAATCAACAACAGTTGCCCAATCAAGGTAGTATGACATATCCTAGTGGGCCTGGAATGCCACCACCTGGAATGCAGCAAAGAGGGCAAATGGGTCAAATAGGTAGACCAGGGCAACAACCGCAATATAATATGTTTCCACAACAAATGGCTCAGCAGCAGCCACAACAACAAAGGCGTTTAGATCCTGATCAAATGCCAAATCCAATACAAGTAATGTCTGAAAATCAAAAAACTTCTGGCGGAATTTTTGCAACAAATAATGCAGGTATGTTACCACCTTTAGTTACAACCAAATTTATCACGCAAGATCAAGGAAATTCAAGTCCAAGGTTTATTCGGTCATCAATTTATTATGTCCCAGCTACCTCAGAGATTTTGAAGGCCACTTCATTGCCATTTACATTAATTTTATCGCCATTTGCTAATGCAGTTGAAAATGAAATGTCTCCACCAATAGTTGATTTTGGAGAGCTCGGCCCTGTTCGCTGTATAAGATGTAAGGCTTATATGTCGCCGAATATGCAATTTATAGATGCGGGAAGACGTTTTCAATGCGTACTGTGCAAGGCAACAACGGAAGTTCCTTCCGAATATTTTCAACACTTAGATCATACAGGACAACGACTTGACAAATACGAAAGACCGGAGTTGGTACTTGGCACATATGAGTTTGTGGCTACAAAAGATTATTGCCGTGAAAATACTTTCCCAAATCCTCCGGCTTATATTTTTGTTATCGATGTATCCTACAATAACGTTAAAAATGGGTTGGTAAAATTACTATGCAATGAGATTAAAGCAATTTTAAAACACTTGCCTGTGGACGAAGGCCATGAGAAAAGTAAAATAAAAGTAGGGTTTATAACTTATAATAGCGTTGTTCATTTCTATAACATTAAAAGTACTTTAACACAACCACAAATGATGATTGTTGGAGATGCTAAAGAAATGTTTATGCCGTTATTAGATGGATTTTTGTGTGATCCAGAAGAGTCATCTTTACAAATCGATTCTTTGTTAGAGAAAATATCAACAATGTTTGAGAATACTAAGGAAACCGAATGCATATTATATCCTGCTGTGCAAGCTGGTATCGAAGCTTTAAAAGCATCAAAATGTCCAGGTAAATTATTTGTCTTCCAATCGTCACTTCCTATTTCAGATGTGCCTGGAAAGTTGAAGAATCGAGATGATAGAAAACTATTAGGAACCGAAAAGGAAAAGTCGGTTCTGTCAGCTCAGAATACTGCATATGCGGAATTAGCTAGAGATGCTGTTCAAGTTGGTTGTTCCATTGATTTATTCATTTTCAATAATTCATACATTGACTTAGCAACAATAGGTCAGCTCTCAAGATTTACTGGAGGTGAAGTTTATAAGTACACATACTTTCAAGCTGATATAGATGGACAACGTTTGATTAAAGACTTAGTCCATAACATTTCAAGAGCTACAGCCTTTGATGCTGTTATGCGTGTTAGGACTTCTACAGGTGTTCGACCAACTGAATTTTATGGTCATTATTTTATGACAAATACGACTGATTTGGAATTGGCAAGCATAGACGCTGAAAAATCAATTGCCATAGAAATCAAACACGATGATAAATTACCACCTGATGAGAATGTTTATATTCAAGTAGCTCTATTGTATACATCTTGTAGTGGACAAAGAAGATTACGAATTAATAATGTGGCTCTACGTACAACAACAACCATAGCAGATGTATTCAAAGCGTGTGATTTAGACGCTACCATATTATTTTTAGCTAAACAATCAATTATAAAGTTATTGGAACATTCACCGAAAATAGTAAAAGATCATTTAATACAGGTTTCGGCACAAATTTTAGCATGCTATCGAAAGCATTGTACATCACCAACCTCAGCTGGTCAATTAATATTACCGGAATGCTTAAAATTATTACCATTATATATATCATGTATGTTGAAAAATGATGCAATATCAGGTGGTTCCGATATGACATGTGATGATAGATCATACGTTATGCAACATGTTTTATCATTTGATCTGCCTGCAAGTACAGCATTCTTTTATCCGCGTTTAATGCCTATACATAATATAAACATAGAAGATAAAAATTTACCAAGTCCAATTAGATGTAGTTATGAAAAAATGTCACCCGATGGCGCATATATATTAGAAAATGGCATGTATTTATTTATATGGCTTGGTAATATGTTATCCCCAGAATTTTTAAAAGATTTATTCGGTGTTCAAACAATACATGAAGTTAGTCAAGAACGTTTAGGTTTCAGAAATGATACCGAACTATCTTTACGTATATGGCAAGTAATAGATGAAATTATGAATGAAAGAAAGAAAAGTATGAAAATAACCATTATTAAACAACAGGATAAACTAGAAACAGTTTATCGTCACTTTTTAGTTGAAGACCATGGATGTGACGGCACATTAAGTTACGTTGATTTCTTATGTCATATGCATAAGGAAATAAAAGAATTGCTTAATTAAAAAATAAAAATAAAACAACGGAAATGTTCATAATGAAATCATGAAAAAAATTTCGAAATTATTTAAATAAAATATAAACTGATTAAATTCGTATGCAATTAAAATTACTATGATTATTATTATTATTATAATTATAAATTTCGATTTAATATTCAAGGAAAGGAAGATAATTAATTATTTAATTAGAAGAAAATAATATTCTTTTTAAAAAAAAATTAAAAAAAAAAATTAAAACAAAAAAAAAATCGAAAAATGTTACATGAATATGTTATTATATATCTATCTAAAAATCTTAATAAAAACTATATTTTTTTTGTTTTTCAAAAACGAAATTAGGTTGTTCATTCTATTTTCTTATTCGTTTTAGGTACATATGTACATTTATGAATTTACTTTTTCTATACGTAGTCTAACTAACGTGAATATTATTATTGTATTGAATCAGACAGGATTACTAAAGAGTAAACTAATAAATAAAGAACCTTCTATTTCTAAATCAACTTTGATAAAGTGCGTATGTAGCACACGAAATATATTAGGAAAAATAAAAAGTATTTTATTTCGAATAAAAAAGAGTTTTCTTTTCATACATCTAAAAAAAAATTATTGTAATTCGGAAAAATTATCAACTATTGAAGAATTTTTTCTGAAAACCTTCTACCTATTTCTGCTATACTTTTCTTTATTTTATCACATTTTCTCGAAAACATTTTTTTTTTAATTTGTGCTTGGGCTGATTCATTGAAATAATAGTATCATTAATATACTCATAATTCGTTTATTTTATGCATACGAACACCTAAAACATAGCAGACTTTTAAGTTTTATTTTTAAAATTTTTATTAACTTCTGATAAGAGTTCAGTACCACTATAATATCAGGGCATATCAGTGCAGGGGTAATAAATAATTATAAGTCTTTATTTACATATTTATTTTAAATTATTAATAAAAACTAAGATTTTATGAAATCTTATCAGTTTTGATTTTAGAATTGAAAACAAAAGAAACTCTCGAATCTTGTATAACACATATTACTGCACTGCACATATTAATATGCTTATTGAAATAATGTAAACAAATATGCATACATACGTACATAAATACGAGTATGTGATAAACATATAGCTTCATTATTTTTTGTTTATTATTTATTTTTGAAATTGAAAAGTCAAGATGAAAGTGAAAGTACATAATCTTCTCAGTAATAATAAGAAAAAAAAAACACAACCACACAAACTGTATGTAAAATTACCTTTAACGCATACTTATGTATACGTATACAACTGATGTTTGTTCGTACATGCAAATGTATGTACACACTTCATTAATTCCGTTATTTAAAAGAATATTGTTAACATGTTAACCTTTCGAAAATATAAGATGCAAGGTTAAGTACCAAGTACAAAAATTTACTTACAAAATAATACCTACAAACAGTGAAAGAATGTCAGCGTATATTGTTTACTTAATTTGGGAGATGTTTAAAAGTTCTTTTGTACAAATATTTGTTTTTCTTTTTAAAGAGTGCTCAATAATTCTTTAATGATCCACATTCATGTATCGTTTGTATGTTAGTTCATATGTGTGTATGTATGTATATCGATTTATTGGTATAGTGACATTTTTATCAAGCCTAATATTATATAATATATATATTATAATTTTTATTATAATTAACATACATACATAATATTATATAAATAATGAAGATATAATTATGCATGTCATGCTTCAGTTTCATATTCCTTTTGCGGATTTTAGTAGGCAAGACGGGTAACTATAGCCTGATGTAGTGTTCTTTATATGTGTTAAATATATATACGTACATATGCATATGTATGTAAGTATATATAATGTTATTAAAGCCAAAAATATTTACTTAACATAATGTCGAATATAATTTTTCTAGTGACCTAAATCATGGTTTGAACTCAAGATTCTTTGGTTGAAGGACTTGAACACCATTCTACACCATTCGTCAGATTATAATATAAATCATACTTAAACAAATGCCTATACATGCATATTTTACATGTACATTTATTTCTTCAAAAAATTTGATCAATATCTTTATATAGCATACACTCTAATATAATCTATTAACAATGAAGAATTTGTATAATTTTTATTATGAATATTCCATGTTGGTAACCATAAATTTTTGGCACGCCAAAATTCTGCCATTGCCGTTGGCGAATTATTTATCCACGGTTTTCCAGTAGTACTTTCAGCATCGTCAGGGAAATACGTTATTCCACCAACTGCCAAACTAATTATTAAATAAAACTGTAAAAAAGAACAAATAATCGAGTTAATTCTAATAATATTTCTAAAATATTAATGTACATTTGTTCACCTCATGATCAAATGGTGCCATTTCACTACCATACTGCCATGGATTATCTAAATTATAGTCTTCACCAAAACGACCTCGATTCCAAAATCCTCGATCAGTATTAACTTTACCTGTTTCAATATCATCAATGCTAAATTTTATAAATTCTGAAGTCCATTCCATTTGATACTTATGAAAATTTTTATCGAAGCCTAATCCTTGTGGTGAATTTTTTGTAAAATGTGTTGTTTTGTATGCATTTACATAAGGATATGGTCCAAAATGTAAAGTTGAACTAACTTGTTCAGCACCAATATTTACACCATTCTGTAATTATATAACTTTTATATATTCTTTCTTTGTTGTTATGTTCGCAAATATTTAAAAATTAGAATTTTACTTTGAAAAGATTTAAATTTCCTCTTGATTCGATTATGTCAATTTCACCGGAACATGGCCACGATCCGTAAGTATTATGTTTTGGTAAAAGCCATATTGCAGGCCATAACCAGTCACCAGAGGGTAATTTAGCTCTTACTTCAACTTTTCCATACTTAAAACTAAATGATTTTACGCTACGCAAACGTGCACTTCGAACTGGATTTATTACAGTTAATGGCGTTCCATTTCTTTCACAACCCCAATACGAAGGATTTGTACATCTGAATATTTAAAAATTAAAATAATAATTTAATTTTTTTTCTTAATAAACTATTTATTATATTGATTATATTACTCGTCGGCTGGTGATCCTCCTAAAATATTAATAGTTCCACTCATCAAAAATTCCTCTCCAAAAATATCTGATGTTAATGTTGGCCGAATATGTAAATTTCCATTTTTAACAAAACTATTTGAACGATTATTTGTATACCATTGAAATTCCCAATTCTATATATGTAGTTTTAATGTATGTATATATATAAACTGTATTACAATTCATTTATCAATTTTTTATTATTTAAAAAGCAAAATTCATTGAAAATTTAAAATATTGCAGAATTAATTAGCTTGCAAAATAACTTACCCCACCTCCAGCTAATGTATTTTCATGTTGCCATTTTGAAAAATCCAATGTATCGAAATTATCTTCAAAAATTAGATCTCCAGAGCAAATAATTCCTGAAAAAATAATCTAATTTATTATTAAAAAAATTAATTTTTATTTTATTTTTTAAATTTTAATAACACTCATGTAAAATTTGTTGAAAATTAAAAATTGCCAATGTCTGATAGAAATTCATAAAACAATAATAGAATCAAAACTGGTCTGTAATATTAGAAACATATATGAAAATAGTTTTTCCTTTGAAAATTAGTGCTATAGCTCAAGAACTTTCAGCGAATTCCAAAAAATATACCTATATTACTACTTTAATGAACAATTCTATAACTACTATACACATATAGGGAATAAAAATGTCCTCTGATAAACAATATATAAATATGTATGTCTAGCTGGGCTTTGACCCTTAAAACTGTTACGCGCATTATTTTATCATTATAAAACTAGCCAGCAAATTAATTAATAATTAACACTTTTTAAATTTTAAATAATAATGTTTTCACAAATTTTTATAGTGTTTTAATTATAGAAAAAATCTATTTGTTTGAGCTCTTTTTGACAACATATCGTTTCTTGGTAGAATGAACCCTTCTCTGTGTTAAATGTGGGGTGGATTATAAACCCGTTGAAATTAACTTTTTTATTCTTCATTTATGTTACCCTGCGACTTCCTCAGTTTTATCACAAATTTATTCGTGAAAATTATTCCAAATTACCGTTCGCTGCAATTGATAAGGGCTCTTTGGTTTCTCATTAAATTTTTGTGTTTTTTTCTTTTTGAAACATTTTTTTTTGTATTTAGTTTTAAATTCTTCGTTACTAATATTTTTACTTGCATTTAATTATATAATTATGAGAATAATTAGTTATATGTATGTATGTATATATTTTTTGCTTTTTCAATGAACTGCGTAACTACATACCACATACTACAAAAAATTATTAATATTCTCACCAGTTTTATTAACAGTTTCGCCACTAATTGTAGTAATCGATACATTTTCACAGTTTCCATTATTATTCTGACAAAATACTAAATTTTGTTTCATTAAATTAATTAAAAATAATTTGAATATTATTTTAAATAATTTAACACTCATATTTTTTAAGGGGTTTAAAAAAACAAACCAAAACTTATTGAACACACTTTGAAAATTCAAAATTAATCTAATGTTAAAAATAATTCTATAAAAAATTAGAATTTAGATTTAGTTTTAACTTTTAAATTATTACTCGTAATATTAAATGTTGATGAGGTTTTAAAATTTAATGAAGGGAAATAGGTATGAGCAAGGGTTTTTAAAGATTTTCATTTTCCCATGTTTGTTTATTGATTTTTTTTTTTTGTATATTTTTTTGTGTTTATTTAAATTTTCCGTTAAAATCTGGATATGCTACAAGTTCATTTAATGCACATAATCGTCAATGGAATTTTCGCAAAAATAGTGAAAAACAGATAAATTCTAAAATGATCTAATTTTTTTATGCGGTCTGTTAGGTTAAACTACCTATTTATAGAAAAAACCATGGCATACGAGTAGTAATAATACGGCATACCAGTATACAAACCAGCTTATGAGTTGTGATTAGCGAATTGACTATCAATATACCATATTATATTAATAAAATTTCGAAAACCTATATTATATTAAAGTGAAATTCCGAAACCTTTATATAAATCATACAATAATAATTATAAGAAAATTAATGGCAATTTGTAAAAGTTATAAAACAATTTTTATGATTCCCATTCATAAAAAAAAATATATTTTTTTTTTCTATAGTCTGTCACTTTTGAGATATCCACAATATTTTTTTTGCACGTTTTGTTTTGTTTTTTGAGTTGAACGAAAGATTATTCAAGCATAAAATAGATGCATCTATTAAAAAATATTAATATGAATTCATTTTAACGAACATTACATTACTTAGTATATAAGATTACGCTAATTTCAATAAGATAAAATTTTAGTTTTAGGTTGTTCTTCTAAATATCATTCTTTTAAAGCATAGTACATGCATTTAGTGACGCTACCATGATTTTTTAATTTTTTTTTTTGCGTAAATTGTTCTTTATACTATTCTCAGTTCATATTATTCATATGCTCTTTAAAATCGTTTCAAGAAAATAGCAATAATTGAATTCTTATAAAATGTAATAAAGACAACTAAAATTTTTCAGTTTTGCAGAACAAGCATTTCACTTAAAAAGTAATTTATGATCTTATTTGAATATATTTTTTTTTTCTACTAGGTGAAAAAATTCCGAAAGACGAAGAAGGACGGCGCTATCTAGCTTTTTTCTCCGATAAAATTGGCCCTGCAGACTAACTATTACCTCTGCGTTAACTTGGTCTTTCCATACAGGAATTTAATACCTTCCATAAGGAAATTGGTACTTTGTGTTAAATTGAAAGGTCTTGTTCGGTCAAATCTTTCTGTCATAATGCCATTGTCTAGCAGCCGTGCTCCTTCTATATTTACATGCTGTTCTAGACGAGCCCTTTGCTTTGTAGCATAACTCGCAATTTCATCTACAATCAAAGGAATTCCTAAGACCCTGTGGATGTCACTGTTACGTATAAACCATGGCGCATTTACCATGCCTTGTAGAACCTTATTCTGGAATTTTTGAATTTTGTTATTGTAAGTCTTCTTGGCACAACTCCAAAGTTGAATGCCATATAGCCACATTGGTTTAATGATTCGGTTATAAATCAATATTTTTTTTTCAATCACCAAATTGGACTTACGATCTAGGAGCCAATTATTTGAATATAAATTTAATTGTACTTAAAATTCGGATGTAATTTTTTACTCTTAATTCTTGAGGAGTTTAAGTAAGTGTGGTAATTTTCTACTGCAGATATTGTTTTTAATTTTATGTTATAATTAAAAATTAATGTATTTTTCAAAATTGTGTTCCAAGGTATACACCTTTCAACATATTATTTTTTAATAACAGAGCTAGCGTCAGCTTGGATTATCAGCAAATGAAATTTTATTACTGAGTACGTCAAATTGATGGCCGTTTACTTGAAAAACATAAAGTAATTTTTTCAAAATCAATATTTTGGAGTTATTGAAATTTTAATTTACTTTATCGTTTTTTTCTTTTCTATTTCTCTAATTCACTGATGAAATTCGATATTTGCAAACTATAGAGTAATAAATTTAAAGTATTCTTTATTCATATTTAAATCATGTTAACAATACTTTTTAAGCTAATATACTTTATTTTATGTTTATTTATATATGTAAAGGTACATGGTAGAACAATATGTGTGATTTTAATATTAAGGTGGGCAATAATACTAATAATACACTTACATACATTGTAATTAGTAAATATTATACTCAATAATATATCATTGTTTTCTATATTTTTTTTTTGTTAATTGTGCTTAAAGATCGTATTAATTGAATATTTCGAAATTTTTCTCGTCAGCTCAACTAGGTACATGATCGTATAAATATGTAGATATGTATATTATTCTTAAAAGCTTTTTCAATTTGATCTGTTGAATTTCGATTATAAAAAGTCAGAGTAAGTCAACATGTACATACATATATAATATAATATGTATGTTTATGCAAATGCAGGTATTCCTAAGGAAAACGTATGATTCATTATAATTTAAAGGTTAAAATATTTAAAATTTTTCAAATGAATCTATGTCTCTAAAAATATTTTTTAAAAATGTCAATCATACATTTATAATAGGAAATGTTTGTTGCAAATGTACACTGCAGCGACAATGCTGTAATTTTGATGTGACATGTACTGTGGTTAATTAGGTTAGCAAGGAGACTCGTTTCCTGTTTCTGCATACATATGTACATATATTTAATTTAAAGTAATTATGAATTAAAGCTTTAAAGTAATTATGAATTTTCAAAGACTGTAGCTTAAAATATTGTAAACATTTATACAATTATTTAAATTTATCTATTATTCTTATTTATTTTAAATGAATTTTACTAATAATTTTTAAAAACATAATTTGAACAATTGCAGTTATATACATACATGTTCGCTTTAAGTATTTATTATATTTTTTTGGTTATTAACCTACATACACCTTTTATATCTTTTACTTTAAATTTTCTTAAATTCTTGATTCTATTCTGAATAAAATTCAGAAAATTTTTGCATGTACATAAATACATATACCTACGTATGTATGTATATTATGTATAGATGAATTATGTTATACATGCATGGTCTATGTGGGTAGCAAAACAAATAATATTTTGCATATTTTATAATCTTATACTATTTGTATAACTAATTTGAATAACTAAGAATAAGAAAAAAAAAAAAGAAATGTACATATTGACTATCCAGATTTTTCTGATATGACCTTCATATATGTATTATGTAGGTACTTATATTTATTATAGAAAAACAATGTTACCTTACCATACAAACATAATATCCATATGTACATGTATATATATACTTCTGGCTTAAGTAAATTGCAGCTTAAAATAAAAATAATTTACCTACTTCATTGAATTTTATACGTGGCAATTCGATATATGTACATATGTGTAAATGGATGTTGCTATTGAAATATTAATTAAAAAATTCTTAATCAAAATAAAAAAATTTTTCTTTATTCAAACAATAATTATAATAGTTTACTCCACTCCTACATTTTAATAATATAAAGTCGAATACAATTTAATTAATTAATATTAAAAAAAAGAGGAGTTTGAATTGAAAATAAGTGCGTTGTCGGGACGATTTTGAAATTTATAATAATGAGAATTGTTTATTTATGTACATACATACATGGTTGAATAGATAATGTGCAGAAGTTAGAAAAAGCACACAGCAACCCGATTTTGATACATTCTCAGCAGTTCTAAGGGTAGCATTCTTGAGTATTCAAAGAAATTCCTAATTAATATTGTGAATTTTGTTTCCGGAATTTATTAAGTTTTAAGTAATGTTTTATATACACATGTACATAAAGTATTATAATAATCCAGTGAATTAATTTTTAATACAAAATACCTTGCAAAACACACTATATGTATTCTTTTTTGTCCAAACTCGACTGTATCAAAATTCCAATTTCAATAAGGAAGTAGATAACCAAAAACAAAAAAAAAGAAGTTTAAAAGATAAAATAAGGTCACATACGTTCATAAAAATTTGTACCTGTAAGTTTTATAAAGTATTTATAATAAATTGTCAAAAAATACCGTTATTTTAATAAAAGTTGTTCATTTAATTTTAAATAAAGATTTGACGTGGCTGAATTGGTTAACAATTTCGGCTAATTTTTTGTTGCAATTTCGTGCAACATTATGACGTCATAGAAACCCGAAGTATGTATTTCTTGTATCTTAATACGTGAAAGTTAGAGATTATTGGCTTCAAACAAGTGGTACACTGACCAAGTTATGCTATGTCTTTTAATATTTTTATTTTCATTCTTCATGTTATGTCCACACATACGTATGTATAACTACATATTTATATATACCTACTAACGTAAAATAAATAAAAATTTCAAATTATGGGAGACAAAAGATTGCAATATTTTATTATAAAGTAAATGAAAATAAATAAGGAATTGACTATATTTATAATGTAGCTAATAATTGTTATAATATAATTATATGTAAAGTGTTGTATATATACATGCATATGTATATAAGCTCATATAAATAACAGTACTCCTTCATTGTTATTCTGTTCACAATTTAAAATTATTTGCTTTGATAAAACAATAAAAAAGTAATATTAAAAAATTTAGACATAGTGATTCATTAATATAACAATTTTTGGAAAGCGGTAAATATATAGCATTATGTATTTAAGAACTTAAATATTTTTATTTTGGAAGTTAATCGTGATTCAATGATATGCAAACAAATTTTAAATATTTATATATATACATATAAATATGCACATGCACACATATAGATACTTGGTCGAAATGCAATGTGTAGCAATCCAATTCATTTTAGTAAACTATTTGTAGAAAAATTTAATTTTTTTTCCTAAATCAAGAAATCAGTATGAAACACCTTGTATTAGCGAACTAATAAAAATATTTTAATTGCTCAGTTTGTCACTAAGAATTTAATTCAAAAGAAGATGAAACAATTCCAAATCTGTATTGAGAAGTTATAAAACTAAAAAAAAAATATAAAACTAGAAAATAAAAAGTAAAAAATTTTGAAACTGAGAAAATGGAATATTAAAATAACTTAAAATTGTGGAATTTTTGTAAATTAACCGACATTTCATTATTAAGTCAGAAACTTGTCAAAACCGACCGATATACTATGTGTGTTCATATATTACATATATGTATACATATGTATAAATTGAAGTGGTTTGTTTAGATACCTGAAACTTTTACTATTACTTTCTTCAATTACACAATAAACATTCTACAATTTTTCTAGAAAATTTTTGTCTACAAATTTATTCAGTTTTAGGGCACACATGAACGCTAATAAAATTAATGAAAATGTGTTTTTTTTATATTATTGTGCACCCTAATCCAAAATAACATTTTTACCGTATACTTAGTACATAGTTCTGTTTACGTGATGTATTGATGAATTTTGTATTAACACTATTATGCTGTATTGCTGACTTTTCTGCCAATACGATATTACGGCAATTGTGAAGTCACTGGTATTGTATAAGGTGAATTGCATTCACATACATACACACATATATGTATATAAAATTAGTTTTTTTAAATATTTTTGGCATTTCAAATATTTCCAAATATTTCGGCATTAATGTTTAAAACTTTGTATTTTTATATTATATATAAAATTTTATACCAATACAATTGTAATCAATGGAATTTTTAAATTATTTTTAAAATGGAATATTGTTATACACATATATACAATGTATTTCAATTCTAGTTTAAGCGAATATTATTTTTTTTTTTGCGAAAATCGTCATAAAACTTTAATTTAGTATTTGCAAAAAAAATTTTTCATGTTCATAATTGAATATATTAATGCAAAAAATAAATATTATTTCGGTTAAAAACTTTCTCAACACTTATAAATTTAAACAAAAATTTTTATTGTATTTTATCTTATTATTTCTTTTCCTCTTTTAAATAAATAAAATATTATTTTGTATATAAGAAAATTGATTTTAAACATTAATTTTTCGTTTATAATACTGTTTTGAGTGAATTTTTTATCCCTACTATTTTTGGAGTATATTGTTAACTTTAAAAATTTGAGCACTATTTTTTTTTTTCTTATCGCCTTAGTAGTTGAATGATGCTGGATATATAGATGCTGTTGATATATATGAATGTAGTTTTTTTCTAGATTATTAAGTGAGCATAGATTTTATAGCAAATTAAAAAAAATTGCATATTGGGTTTCTACCAAAATGTAGATCTAACATGAATTTTACTTGCTCTGCAATATAGTTTTAATTACTAATAAACTAATTCGACGTTAGATCTGCAGTTTGGTAGACGATCATTAACTTTCATTTTTATAGTAAATATCAAAAACGATAAAATGCATACGTGATTTCCATTTGATAACTCATATATTTTAAAATTAACAGAATTTTAGTTCGCATACAAAACTTACCCATATAACATTTAATAAGATTAACTGGATAGGTTGTACATTTTTATAGTATAAAGGATATAAAATACAATGTTATCAAATCGAAAAGATTAAGAATAGTGAGTGGGCAGTATGCATTCATTTCTTTTTCTGTACCCTTTTATCGTCTAAGAGAGTATGCTTTTTCTTGATAATAATGTACATATGTATATATGCATATATATTTTCGTATTCAAAATATTCATTTATAATCAAAATTATACAGAAACCTATTAAAATATAGGCATTCATACATTCATATGTATGTATATTTATTTTGAGTAAATAAATAAATACATGTATGGATCTAGATTTAAAACTTTAAAACAATTTCTATTTTTGGATCATATTACATATACATATGTTTGAGTCATTGAAAGAAATTAAATTTCATATTGTGTATAATTATATGTATACATATATATGGTATGTATTCTACAGAAATATTTTAAAATTTAATTGATGAAATAATTTTAATAGGGTATATTAATATTTTAGATTAATTTTCGGTTGGGAGTAAAATAACAATTATTTTAATATATTTAACTAATACTAAAATATTTAGGTATTTGTGTTGAACTTGAAGTTTTATATTGAAATTTTAATAGTTTCAATATACTCGTAAAGTTTAGAGTTCTACATAAAATGCCACACATGTACGAATAAATAAAAGTCATATTAGGACAATAGTAGAATTTGCCTAAATACTGTTTATTTTGAAAACCAATTCACAAAATTTGGCCCTACATAAGTGTTTCTCTAAAATTTAACCTGCAATTTTGAAGAACTAAAAAAATTCGGAATATAGAGTTGAAGTATGTATATCAAATTTTGAAATGTATCCTGACATCGAGATTATATTTCTATACTATATCACTTTAAAATTCAGCAATTATAGGGCTTAATTAAATTCTAATTTAGCAGAATTTTACTTTCATATCGAATCAGCGTCAACATATATAACTGTTTAGTTCAGATTAAACAAAAAATTTCTAATATTTGATCAAAAAAGGTATAATTGTAAATAAAATATTATCTTATGATAGACCTGCATAAATTAAATTTTATTGAATTATTTTTATAACAGTATTGAATAATTGAATTAAATTTTAGCTAAGCCATTAAATTATATGGATATATTCACTGATATATCGGCGGCTTGCCAACTACAACTTAATACAATTAGACTTAATATAAAGAATTTAACATACCTACATAAAACATTTTCATAGTATTCATAATATATATTTTGAAACTAAAAATGTTAAGAAAAATAAAAATAAAATAAGAATAAAATGTAAAGCAAAAATATAAAAAAGAAGAAAAATAAAAGAGAATACATGGTTTAATTTTTAATTTTTCATCAATCTGCCGCCAGTTCTACCCTGGCATTATTAAATTAAGCTTGGCATATTAGTAATATATCATCAGTTGAATTAAATAAATTAAAATAATACTAACTGTATGTACGTAGTTTTAAATGCATATTATATCGTACATTTAAATATACATATATAAGTAATTTTAAATAATATTGAATTTACTTATGCATACATTAGTATGTATGTATACACGTAATGTATGTACATTATATTTAAAGTATAAAGAATATATTTACAAAGAGATAAGACGAGAAAAATTGTAAATGGAAAATTGCAAAAAATTCACTAATTAAAAAATTTCAAATTGTGCCTGAATAAGAGTGAATCTTTAATTAAAGAAGAGTTGAAGAAAAAGTGTATTAAAATTGTGGCTGAAAAAAAAAATTCTTAAATATAAAAATTGTTTTCATTGTACATATACATACATATAAATTCACAAAATTATACAAATAATTATAATGCATTTAAAAAATAAAAAATAAATTATTCAAAAGTATTTTATTTTTGAAATCAATCGTGCATTCCTAAACAAATAGTATACATATGATGTGTAAATGCTATCGGTAATTGGAAATAGTTCCATATTGTACCTATTCAATAACGATAAAATTTAGTTCACTTTCAATTTAATTTAATTTTCGAGTTTTTTTTAAATATACGAAAATATAACAAATTTATATCAAATATTACTCTACATATAAATAACATACCAGTAAAAATATATTTAATAACTACATAAATATTAAATATTTAAATAAATTAAATATGTTGTAAAGAGATTATTTCCGAAATCTGTTGACTAAAGGGTAATTCAAGAACATAAAATTTTCCACATCGATGCGACAGTGATAACGCTATGATTTCTTACTAATAGTGATGTAATCTCGATTCTGATATGTGATTCACATTTTTGGACATTCTTTTTTACAATTACAACATCAAAGATATGGTTTTTTCAATTGTTGAGGATCCTTGTGTTCAATTTTATTAGACGAATTTATGTGCAAGCTGAATTTAACTTAAAACATAAAGAATTTTTTTTTATAACAAATTTAAATTCATCAAAATAATTATCTGACGGTCATTTATAAATTGATTTATAAAAAATTAATTTTCTATCTTTTAAATTAGCTCTGGGGTTTTTATATTATTTCTATATTGTACCTGTGGCTTTATTTCATGTCTCCCACACTTATGTACATATTAACATATTATATGTATGTATATACATATGTATATATGCATTTTATTGTATGTCTAAATATGGCCATCAGTAAGTGTCTGAGTTTTTGAACTTTTTTTTTTTAAGACAATCTTATTCAGTGAGTCATAAAGAAATTCATTTTAAATTTTATTCCAAAGCATATAACCATTTGTTGTTTTAATTTTGTGCGTTTTAATTCTTCAAAATTTAAGAAAAAGAAAAATTTTAGAAAATAAAGAGTTTTTAGAAGAAATTGTATGTACTAGTGTTCATTTTGAGTAAATAAAAAAAATTGAAATTAAAAAATAAAAAAGAAGTAAAGATGTTTTTCAATTTTTCTATTATAGTTTGAAATAATTGTAATAAAATTTTTTGTTATTGTGTTTAATTTTCTAAATTTAAATTTTAATACAGATAAAATTCATTTTAAATTTCATAAACTGAATACACAAAAATTAAAAATTTCAATAAAAAAAAATTAAAATTTTTTTGTAATATTTAGTAATAATAATGTCATCAATTACAACAACATCCCCATCAAAAGAACAATTTTGTTCCTTTATATCAGAATTTATTGATAAAAGTAAAAAGATTATTGTGGAATCGGTAAGTATAAAAAATAAATAATCAATAATTCATTTATTTATTTATTTTATAAATTTTTTTCAAATCATCATTTACAAAGAAATATTGAAGAATGAAAAATCAAAATGTATTTTGAAATTTTATATTCAAATTTATTTAAATTAGAATCCATTTTGAAAAATTTGTACAGTTATAAATTATAAACAAACGGTTATAAACTAATTTACTATAATATATGTATAAGTATTTATATGAATAGTTTAAGAATGTGTGTACATATATAATGTCATATTTGTCATTAGAAATGATATTGTTATAAAACTAAAAAATTAGTATATTCAATAATTTTGATAAAAGTTATAAATTACTTCAATTACAAATTTTTAAAATCAAAAAGTTCTATAATTTCTAAATGAGAATGATATTAAGCGCATTTAAAAATTCAGAGAAAATTTTGATCGCTATAAATAAAATAAATTGTGCAATACTATTTTTTGAAATTTAATTGAATCTGCAACGCTGTTTGTGAACGCTCTGGCACCCAAATTAATTTTATGACATTATTTATGACAATAAGCTAGTAAAATCCCAATACAGCTGCTATTATTAAAATAGTATCCGTGCATTTTATTATAATTATTACAGTGAAATATTTTTGTAATACAATGCACTTAAGTTGATCTGTAAGAAATTCCCGCAATATTTGAATTGAATCCAAAATTCTCTATTCATGTAAATATTGATAATTCGAGTTGGCCGAATATTAGCTTTCATATAAGTTCGGCTTAATATATTTTATAATTTCATATTATGTATGTATGTATAAAAAATAAAAAATTTACTTAAATCTAATTGTTTGATAAATTTATTGAATTAATTTTTTTTCGATTTAATGCAATTTCAATATTCTTAAAGAATTTCTTGGTTAAAAGAATAAACGAATATTTGCTAAAAACTTCTGCAAATATTTCTGCAAAATAATTATTGTATATTTTGCTTTCTACATAACTGCTTTGATTTTTTTTTTAATTTACATTAAAAATAGTGGGAAAAAACAATAATAGTTTTAAATTTTGCCTTTTGTAACTTCAATAATCTTGTTTAGTCTTAATATGAATATTATGAATGGGTGGAAATAAAATAAAAAACGAAAAAACAAAAAAAAAAATTTGCAATATTTTTTGGCAAATCATTTTAAATTCAGAATTCTATAAAAGCCTTCTTAATTTTCTCTTAATTCTTAAAGTGTTGATTGTATGTAATATACGTACGAGTATATTTTTGTCGTCTATTTAGCTCTTTTATGAATTTCAACTTTTTTTTTTTTCTTTAAGATTAAAAACCTTGTTTTATGGTAATCAACTTATATAAACTAAAATTTTCGAGACGTTGACCTTAAATATTAAGTATATTTTATTTGAAATTCACTCTAAATGATGTAAACTTGTTTTTTTTTTTATAATTCAAGCCACCTTATAAAAGGTATTGTTTATATTGAAATTATTAGAATAGATTTCGTTGAATAGACAATTTTGAATTGGTTCATTCATAACATATTTTAAACTTAATCATAAGTAGAACTAATGAACTATGCTTTGTGGAAATAGTTTTTAAAAATAAAATTAGTTAAATACTTATGTACTATATATGTATGTACATATGTACAAATACTAAAATATAAGTTATATTGAATAGCTATAGAAATTTACCAGGTTGTCTTCATATATTTTTCTTCTCAACTTTCAAAAAAAAATGCAACTTGAATGCTTTATTTGAGAAAAATATGTAGAAAGTTGTAATTTTTATTTTTCTTTATTTAATTTGATTAAATTTCATATTTATTTGTAATATGAATTAATTAAAAGATTTCATGAAACATTGAGGCACAGTAACGCATTCAGTGTATATATTATTTAAAATAAAGACTTCATTAGATCACATGTCTCGCACCTATAAAACAACATTAATGTATATATATTTAAAAAATACATAAATTTTACATTCTGAGATTTTTAAATTTGATTTGTAGATTGCAACAAGTAGATTGCGTGGTAATTCACAACCACGTACCATCAATTACAGTTTTTGGTTAAAAACAATTAATATGACACATACCTCGTTGGGAAAATTGTTTATTTACTGAAACCCATTTATATAAGATACGATCAATCTTTTAACAGTATAATGCTCTGGGTGCGATATTCTTAAATATTGTTTATATAATTTTTCTAATAAATTAAACATTATTTGTAATCGATTACACATGCATGTTGTTTCAAACGAATGTGTATATATATACATATATACAATGTAGAAACAAGAAGAAAAAATAAAATAGAATCGTTCAGATCGATTTTCGTATACAAAGTGAAGGATGAATTCATATTTAAGAAACAATGAATTATTCAATTAGTAAAAAACGTAAAAATATTTCCTTTAATTGCACTAAGCAGATGCTCAAATATTTACATACTATATTATAGATCATAATACAAAAAAAGCGAGCTATTCCATCCGTTCGAAATTTCAAAATTTTATGTATATCGTACAATAAGAAAGTTGTATAAAAGGCGGTTATATAAATTCGGTGATTAAAATTGCACTGCTGTAAATGTTAAGTTAATGTTGAGCGCTATAACAGAAGTCCATTTTAGATTATACATTTATAGTCACATAATTAACATATATACAGGCATATATTACATATATTTTTATCAATAATGTATTAATAACTAGATAAGAGGACAAAGGGGTTAATTTACATTTGCATTGTGACATATTTTCTCATTAACAAATTGTAAAACTATTACTTTTACAATAAGTAACTAAAACTATATTTACTTGTTACTTATGTATCTCCTATGTGCACTGTCAATCTCGTCTCCTATTAAGTTTCTAGCAATAAGAGTAATCACAATTGAAAATACTTATATGAAATTTAATTATGCTCTATCCGAAAAACTTGATTTTCATCAAAATGTTAGTTAACCCCTTTGTCCACTTACCTCTTTTATTAATGACAATATTAATATAGTAAATTAATTTTCAAATCCTTTTAAATAAAAAGATTTATGTGTCAGCATAAAACCCTAAATTATTGACAAATAAATTTTATTTACATTTTTACATACATACTTAATTTTATGTAGAGATTTATTTAAAATTTTTTGGAAAAAAATAAAGTTATAGATAGAGTTTTCATTTTAATCATGTTGCTAAAGGTTTTCTTAGGATTTTTTTTATGATACCTTAAGCTTATGTTATAATTCTAAATTTTTAATTTATTTTTAGGAGGACGTTTTAGATTACGATGCTGTTGAATTAACATTATTGTTAAAATCAATTGGTTTTCAATTACAATCATTAGAATTTTTTTCGAAACCTGATGATGAAGCTAAGGATATTGAAATTGAAATAAAATGTAAACGATCTGGATTACATTCAAAACTTAAAATGATAACAAATAATTGTACGTGTCCAATTAATGATCCATCATCAAATAATAATTCATTTTGGGAAGTTCAAGGCATAGCACCAGTTTCTGGTTTAATGAAACCCCAAGTGAGTGTAAATTAAAGACTAAATTTATATATATGAGATTGTATATATTTACATATATAAATACATAATATATTGTGTAATAATTTGTGTGTTGTGTAGTATTTGTGGTATTCACCATAATTATGTATGGTGAAATTAATTCAATTTTGTGATTGTGTTGCTTTTTTGCATTTATGTCTGATTGAAGTAACATAAGTACAATGTTGAATTTTTAATTTCTTCCATAGTTATTTAATTATAATAATATAATTTTCAATTTATTCTCATTTATAATCAATAGGGGTTAGTTCAGGATACTTCTTGTAATCTATTACCAGAAATAACGAAGAAAACTAATAATTTGGCAAGAACAATGTTAACTATTTTACAGCAACATTATAAGGCTGATTTCGATCCTAAAGGAGCCAAAATTAAGCAAGTTGATGTTAAAGAGTAAGGATTTTTTTTTGATGCTAAAAAGTAAGAAAAAATTGCTTATGCTATATCAAATCTATTTTAGAATTTTAGAACGTTTTCAATCAAAAAATATTAATATGGATTCGCTCAAACCAAATACTGATTGTCCTTCTCCAAATAATGTATTAAAAAAATCGACGCAACATTGTTCGACTCCATTGAGTTCCATAAATGTTGACTCCACCGCTTTATGTGTGAGTAAAATATGGAGTTGTCATGGATTCCATTCTAAAAAAACGTCCATTTTCAATAAAAGCAAAATCAAGATAGAAAACCTATTTTTAAAATACTTTTTTCTTTTTTGCTGTTAAAAATCTGTATGTTTTTTGATTTTATATTTTAGGAAACAAATTTGACCGTACAAGTAGATGACGGTGATGTTCAAGCTTATAAAGAAACCAATGGAGCAAATGTAACAAGTGAAACTGATGTAAATTATGTTACAAGTATAGAAACTGCTAATAATGGCATCAATTTTGCTATTAATAACATTTTGTTAAAAGACAATGATACTTTTGATCAATTGAATCCAGAAAATGAAAAAGAAATTTGTTTAATCGAAAATATTACTGAAGCTCGCAAAAATTTAGATACTGCTTTATTATTATTAAAATGTAATGTTACGAGGGAAATTTCACCAGGTTCGTCAATTTTAACAGTTACTCCTCAAAATTTAAAGAAAAAAGGGCAAACATCTAATACCAGAAGATCAACACCTCTAATTTCACTTCCATTGGAGAGATCAAGGTTAGCGAATTCCAATAATTTATCAGTAGGTATGTATGTTTATTTGAGAAATATGAAAGTTTATTAGCAGGATTTATTTTTATCTATGTATATACATACATATTTGATGTTGTTTATTATTTATCATTTTAGATTCTCGAAATATGAGACGGCATTCTGTTGGTGGTCGAAACGATGCATTTTTGTCATCATCTTTATCGCCTTCCGAAGCTGAAATATTGACCATGCGGCAAGGAAGTGATTTGTCACTCGATAACTTGAAAAGAAAACCGAAACTAAGTCCTTTAACAGGGAAATTAATAAAACCAGATACTCCACGTCCAAGTAGTGGAAAAGTTTATGGAATTAAAGCTAGTCTTGTTAAAAAAGCATTATCGACTCCTCATCAAAGATCTGCTAATTCTGCAAAACCACCTATTAATAAAGCACCTGGTCAAACAACATCAGATATTGGTAGTGTTAATGGAATAAAGAAAACAATAAAATGAATTGGTTCTGCGTAATGGAATATGATGGGAGCGTTAAATTACATTTGTATTCGTTTTTAACATTAATATCCTATTTTTTTAATAATTTATATATGTATGTATGTATATGAAAACAGAAAACATTCTCATTAAATTATTTATTTTTCGATTTGTTAATTTTTTCAATAGAAAATATTATTTGATATGAATTCAATAAAAATTATAAAAAAACAGTCACTTTTAAATTTTACAAATACTAAGTGGGTAGGCATCTGCAGAAATTGTTTATTATTTATATACATATATACGCGTTCTTCTATGTGTTCTGTAATGCTAATTCTTCTTTTGTTATTAGGCCGAAAATATAGTTACACAAAGTAAATTTAACAATTAAAAATTAAAAAAACAATATTCTCACCTGCAGAAGAATCACAAAATTAAAAATTAGCTGATTACCTACCAGGAATTAACACTTAACTGAGTTATTTTTTGATTTTGTCTCATGGGTTTATTTAACGTTTTTTTAAAACTAGATAAAAATTTACTTATTCATGTCTTCATATTTTATTGAAATTTCAGAATTATCCTTTGTCTTTAAAATTGCAGTATAGAATACGTTATTTAAATGCAATTCAGCCTTTGTTATTGCTATATTGTAATAAAGCAGTAATCCAATTTTGAAGCTAAATTTGTGTTAAGATATACTTAACCTATTAAAAGAATAGAATTAATTGCTTTGCTACAAATTCTGTGTTAAAACTTTTGCAGAATTACTAACTAAAATGGAATACTAAATGCAGTATAGTAATAAAAATGGACTGGGTTTTTCCAGTTTTACAGTTGTTTAGATATATTTTGTACTCAATGTCATAATTCGTATCATAAAAAAAGGAGAACATTTTTACTACATTTTTTACTTTTCTTTTATCACGTCACCCCTGCTTTACTTTGATTACATTTCAAAATTGTCATAAATTGCATGTGATGTAAATAATAAGAAAAACAGAAATTTTAACACTCGGCATTTTTTTATTTAGTTCAGTTCATTCGTTTTAGAAATTTTGTTCTATGAAATTCATAGAGATATTATTTAAATACAGAGTTGATTATATTTAATTAAAAACTTAGTTTAATACTAAAAGGGTGAATTCATTCATTTGAAAACTTTGCAATTGTCTATAAGACGCATATTTTGTTTACATTGAAAATTTTAGTTGCCTTAAGAAATATCATTCCATCGAGAATTTTCAACGAAATTTTTTAAATTGTTTTCTTTTTAAGAACCAGCTTATATGGAGAATTTAAAGAAAAACAACAAAATATTAATTAGCACTGGAAATGTGCTTAGTTTTAATAAAAAAGTTGGGCAAAAACCTATTGAGGAGGTTTGTATTATAGCTTGTATGTTGTAATTTTTTGATATATATATTTCCACTTAAATACATATATAATAATTAATAGATAAAGAAAATTTTTTGAAAATAAACTTCTATAAAATTTGATAAGCGCAACTGATTATGCAAGATCTTCTCCAGAGACTTTCAATATAAAGCCTTTGCTAGTAAAAAATATATAGCGCAATATTATACAAAATATATACATATGTGCATATCTATGTATGTATGTAAATTTATATTGTCTTGCATGACTATTATAATATTATTTATTACTTTTTAATAAGACTACGGTTTCCGTATTGTTGTATTAACATCATTTTCAACTGAAATGATGTCATTTCACATGGAATATATGTTTATTTTTAGTTATCCCAAAAATTCGTTTCATTTCTCCAAATTGAAATGCCAGTTTATAATGAATTCGCATATAAAGTAATTTACTATAATTAAATTTTAAGTAGTTTGCTATTTCGTAATGATTTTCTCTGGTTATCGGTTACTTATTATTCTCATAAAGTTTTTGAAATCAAAAATACACGTACTGCAATTTCGGTACTTCTAATATTTCTGTGTAAGTTTTGGCAAATTTAAAAAATTAATTTTTAAAATTAAAAAAATTTTTTTTAAAAATTCAATTTTCTAATTATGTAGATGGGTAGATATTCTTAAGGGTCTACCTACTTATCTATATCAGTTTAAAATAGGGGAAATGAAATGAAAATTTTTCAAAAAAATAACTTATCTGACATCGGAAATTTAATAATACCACATGGATACACAATTCATAAAATAGCATTTAAACTTAATTCGGCATTAATACAATATTATTATTACATTTCCGATCTCATGGTTTGACTACATTTCTTGTTGCAAGTTAGATACATATGTACACCAAAATTCAGAATTTAACAAGTTAATTAAATTTAATAAAAACCAATTTTGAATATGTTCAGTTGATTGATTGTTTGAGTGCAACACTAACGAATGCTCAATATCACATCAAAAGTGGAGAAATACATCGAAAAAATAATGACCTACATGAAAAGATTAATGAACATGAACGAAATAGTTTGAAAATTGGTGCAAAGATTTTTATAAATCATTTTAAACCTGAATCTGTCGAGAAAGCAGTTGATGCTTTATTACAAATATTACAACTGAAATGCTTAGATAATGTTATATTGGCTTATCATCCAATAAACTTGGTAACAAATAACTCGCTGAGTAATGGAGATATGACTAATATTATAAACGATAAAAAACCGGAATCATTTGAGTGGGCTTCGGGAAACAATGAAAGTGCATTTAATGAGCTGAAAAATCTCTGGACTGTTTTGGAGAAATTTCAAAAAGAAAACAAAGTAGGTATATCTGATTTTATTATATGAATTAAAAATATTTGATGTTATCATTCTAGATTTGCCAATTAGGTATATCAGATTTAGATACTGAAACCTTAAAAAAGTTGTATGAAAGCTGTGAAGTGAGACCAACTATTGCAAAAATTAACTTGGCATCTTGTTGTGTTGTTCCACCATCACTTCAAGAATTTTGTAATAAAAACGATATTCAGCTACTTACCCACAGCGATCCGGAAGGTTTGTTAATTTTATGAACTGAAATGTTTATTACTAATTTTTTTTCCTTATTTTAGTATTTCTTAAGCATAACTCTTTAGAAGAATGGGACTTGAAAGAGTACGAACCATCGTACGTTGTACGTTACACTGTTCATATTAAATGCCGTGGTGTGCTAGCTGTAAAAGGGTATTTAGTTGGTGCTTCAAAGCATTGAGTATAAAGAAAACTAAACAAATCAAAATATGTTAACATGTTTTTGGAATTGTTAACATAAGAGCAATTTAATAGATTTTAAAGCTCAAATAGATATCATCGATTATCAAAAAAGAAAACTATGTTATTTGTGTGTAATTTGTATTATTGTTAAATAATTACTTAAGAAGAACTTATACTTATTTAGATATATAAAATGGTGGCAGGTCTATTTATAAAAAGTTTTATATAGAAATTTTTATTTAATGCTTTAAAAATAATTTCAAAAATTCCAAATAAAATATTACAAAATAAAATTTTTATACAACACTAGCATCTTTTGGTGCTAAAATAGTAAAAAGTTAAAATGTTACTATTTTTTAGTAGATTTTTAGTGCAAAGTAGTTACAAATAAAAGTTAATCTTATATAAAAGTAATTATGAGTTGATATATTTTGTATGATTAAATTTAGAATTCGAAGCTTTTTAGTACAATCACGGAATCACTTATTATAAAAAATCAAAATTTTTCATTTAAATTTTTTTAATATTAAATTTTATACATATGTATACATATATATTATTAGAATGTTATCTAAGTTATTTTTATCAAGTATTTTAGTTCAAAATATTTTTTATAATTTTAAACCTTATTTTTTTTTTATTTTTGATTTAGAGTGATTTTTTTAAATTTTTTAATGTAAATTGTTTTATTTACTTAAAAATTTATTTTATACATAACGCAATATGTAATATAATGTTATTTTGCTTCAAAAAACAATGGCTACAAGTAATCATGTCAATATTATATTTTATTCTTGCCGATAGAATTTGCAAAATAATAATTTGCTGTGCAAAAACAAAAAAAAAAAACAATTTGAAAATTTTTATTTTTACTTTATTTTTATTTTTTTTTTTTATATGAAATAAGTAGAGTATACAAAAAATTTTGTTTAGCAAAAACTTAATGGCCGTATATTTTTTAGAATTTCTGACACATTATTAAATAACTTTGAACTCTTCACTTTAGAAAATGCTGATCCTGGGTACGAAACACTCACTAAATTGAATAAATCTGCACAAAACTATAAAAAGAGAAATTTCGGTTGATAATTAATGTACATAATTTGTGTGTATATATATATGATATCATAGTAACAACTTATAGTTCTGTAAAGAAACATTTTCATTTCACATATGTACATACGTCCATTTCTTTAGCATTGTTGTATTCAAGAATAATTGTTTCAATATTCGTACAAGCTTCTTTTATAAAAACATAACGTGCTTCATCAGTATTTAAGTGCACTGTGTCTAAAGATTCATCTTTGAGAATTGAGTTTTCACCGCATTTTAATACTATATTTCTGTAACCAGCAATACAATTCCATTCACATCTGTGAAATTGAATATATGTACTAAATGCTGACATACAGTCATAAGTATGATTTTCCAAAGCAAATAGTTTTTGTGAAAAACGGCCTAAAAAACAAAATGTAAAAATGCTCTCCTTATATGATATTAGAATCTTTTATAATAAAATTTTGCCTTGTATATAAAATCCAGCGTCCGCTGCTGGGAAAATATTCAAATTTTCTTGAAACATTATCTTATAAGAATACAAAAAAAAATATTTATTCTATTTGTTCATACACTTATATTTTTGAAAGAAAAAATTCAATTTTACTTGTTTTAAAGCATTAATATCGGAAATAGGTTCTAAAATTTCCAAATATATAACACGGTCAATTAAATTTTCATAATGATTTGTAACACACACAATATATCCCATTTCAGATATTTTGAAATTATATTTTGCTAAAACAGAATCCAAATGAAAATTCACTTCACTGAAATAACAATATTATTTTTATAGAATATTTGAATATTTTAGTTTGCATATGCATTCAAATAATTTTAGATTATATTATTTAGTTTACAGAACATGGTGACATAGTAAACAAGTTAATATTTTCGTATTTATTCAGTTATTAAATCTGTTATTACCTGAAGGTGGTTGAAGTGACACTCCAGTTTTTATAAGGAAAGTGGATATATTTCGGATACATAATTGCAAATATTCCTTAAAAATATTTTAGTTAATACATCTATATTTATTATATTATATACATATGTATGTATATATGTATATAATATAATATTAAAATAATATAATATTAAATTATTATAATAAATGGAAAATGTAAATATGTACATATATTTATATAAATTATTTGATTAATGCGCCATACCTAAGCGATCCGTCCAAATTTTTAATTCGCCATTTTTATTGAATTTCTGCTTCAATATATATTTTGTTGTCCACTGTGATTTTAAATCTATTTAATATAAATACAATGTATGTACATATAATTGATAATTGTTTTTATACCAAGCGTGTATATCACACGTAAATATCTACCTACCTAACATTTCAACAATATTGGAAATTTGAAAATTTTTTAAGCTATTCATAATTGCGGAAGATTTTTGTGAATGTTGTTCCTTTTGTTTTATTATCTGCTTAAAAACATCAGGAGAAATTAACTGACAAGGTATTGGTTTCGACCAATTCATAAATTTTTTTGGTATTTGAATTTTTATAACATAATAAATATTTTGCTTTTGTTCATTAATTTCATTATATGACGCAATATTTTCTAAATCAGTACCTTCTATATGAGGGCATATTTTGATCACAGGTTTTAAAGTGGAAAAAAATTGATCGGTTCTCAAACCAACACCAATAAATGGATAAATTATTTGACAAGGTTTTGAAAAGAAATTAAGTTCATAAACACCACCTAAGGGAACGTATTGCCTCATATTAATCTACAAAAATTAATAACATTCAAAATCAGAAAACTTAATGTGATTTTATACTCAGCTAACCTCATTTTCATTCAAATGAAACCTTTTTGGATGGAAATTATCTAGATTATTTTTAAAAATAGCATCTTCTTCTTTTAAAAAATCATCTTCAACGTCCGGAAACTCATCATTCATTATGATTTGGGGTATCATCTCAATATTTTTATGAACAGACTTTTCTTTTTCTTTCTTATCACTTACAGGTTTTTTTTCACCATTTACTTTAGTTTCAAGCTTTTCTTTAGCTCTTTTAAAATTGATAAAATAGGATTTAAATTGAATCTTGTACGTAAATCATATAAAACGAAATACGATAATACATAAATCGCTTTTTGAATTGGATTCAATGTAAATAAAAATATTTATCTTTGTTTCATGTGATTAGTAGCTGTGAGATTTAGTTTTCAAGATAATTTTTAAATTATTGAATATTGTGTTCAGACTAAAAAGATAAATTAAGGTTAGGAAACTTAATTTAATTTACCTCAAATATTCATCGTAGGCAAATCGTTCTTGTATCAATTTTTCTTTAATTACTTTCTCTAAATTGGTTTTCTTTATCCACTGTACCAATTGAAACTCTTGAAAATCTTAATGTACATAAAGTAAAAACCACAAATATTATGCATTCATTTTTATTTACAGTTTTTAGTAAATTTATTGAAATCTGTTTTTACCTGTATTTAGCGGATTTGGTATGTCATAGTAGCTTTTCACAAACTCACTATGATGATCATAATCCAAATGAACAACTCTCAGCATTAAACATGAATCAAGCACAAATAATGGTAAAGAAATTTTCATTGCCATACATTCTACGGTAATGTTCATTTCCGGAAATCTGGAATTGTTTTGATAAAATTGCGAAAAAACAATAAACGTTTTAAAATGCATTGATTAATTTAAAAATGACAATTATAAGTTTTATAATTTTTTTGCCCAGTTTTACTAAGTTTTTGCTATTGTATATAATTTCAATATTTTTAATAGTGTGTTTAAAAATTTTGTGAGAGAATAGACGCAAATATTTGATTATTTTAATTATTTTGCTAAAAATTTTTTGAAATACACAAATAGGCTGAACTTTAGTTATTTATTAGTTTCACACCTTAAATTAATTTACTTAAACGGGTAAAAGTGTATATACTTTATACACATTTATTTATTACCTTTCTTTGTTAATGATTATTGGTACATTATTGAAAGCCCAAATGTACAATTTAAAATTTTCAGTTTTACAGATGTAATCAGATGTATGGATTGAAATGCACCTTCAAATATCCAATTTAAAAATTTTATACGTAAGTTAGAAAAAAAAAACACATACGACATTTGTGAATCTATGTTTGATATAATTTTATAACTTAATTTATCTATTAGATTCTTGACCCTGCAGTTTATTTCAATTTTGAGCTATAAATATTTGAAAATTACAATTAATATTTTAAATATGTAATTCAAATTATTTGTGCGAAAAGGTACTTAACAAGAGTGAAAGTATAATACCTTGAGTAGATCATTAAATATTTCGGTAGAATTAATTTTATATCCTGTTTGTAAAGTTTTCTGGAGCATTTCTTTCACCTGTTAAATACTTTATAAGGTATAAGTATGTACGTAGTGTACATACATATGTACACATTTTAAGCAGAATTGGATATTTTTCTATTGCTATTATTATTTATACATTTAATTTTATTATAAAACTTCTTTAATACTTACATAATACATGTTAATAATAAAGAAATAACTAATTTAATTTCAAGTAGCTACCTGCATAAAATGGAAATATTCTTACTTTTAAAAGTTTACCAATTATATTATTGTATTTATTACAATAATCAAGTTTAAATTGCTTTAAGTTATTTTTAGTTTGAAATTTTGCATCTAGATCCTGATTCAAAAAACTTCTTTGATCAATACTTAATATCCAGCTGTCGGTCTTTGCAAATAAATCATTTTCTAGTAAATCAATTCTATATAAATATTCACGAATTTTGGATTGGGTATGGGTTTCAGGATACTCATCACATTGTAAATAAGTTCTCCACTAAAAAACGACATTTAAATTGTATTTGCACAAATAATATGAAGCATATTTTCATTTGTAAAATTTAAGCATATTGAACAATAAAAAATTATAAATTAATTTACTTTTAAAAATTTAAGCAAGTTTATTAACTTAGAAATATGTATTTATGTAGTATAGCCATATCAACATTAAGTAGGTGCACCTAGGTACTGTTACTAATACAAATTTACTTTACCTCATCAGCTAGTCTTTGTTCTGATATATCTCTTCCAATTGAATCCCTATGCTTTTTGAAGATATTGCTAGATTGGTTGATTTGATTCATTTTCATATCATGTTTTTGTGTATTTAATAAATATTTTTCGAAGCTAATAATTTTGTATTTTCGAGCATTCGATGGAAAAACATAATTTGTAATTATACTAGTTAAATTTGTTTCAACTTCTGATGGTTTCGGTAGGTTTCGACTTAAAGCCATTTTTTTATTTTTACTTAGCTTTAAATTTTTTATTTGCTTTACCATTTTTTTAATTCAAGAATATTTTTCATAAAAATAAAAACAATGAAATGATTTTGTAAAAAACTTTTATGAAATTTGTCAATTACAGGAATGACATATACTACTTTTTAATTTTACATAAAGATATTTTCTATAAATGAAATTTCTTAGGAATTTTTAATTCTTTTTTTTTTAAATATTTACTTATTAGCTAAAGTAATTAAAAATTATAAATTAATCAACCCGAAAATCGGAAGTATTTTTCATATATTTTATAACGTTAACAATACAAAAAATGTAGTGAAAATGTTTTACATACACTTAAATTGTAGACGTCATCATCTTTCACAAGTGATTGTGATAAAGAATTTAAATGTCTTTTTAATTAGAAATTAAATTAAGATCTATTGTACTTTCCCCAAATGTGTAACATGAAAACTGATGCAATAAAGAGTAACGACATTACTAAAACTGGGACTGGTCCACTAAAATTTAAACAATATTATGATATTGAAATGAAAAATTAAACTTTTATTTACACTTTGATTCCTGGTGAATCGTCTGTATAAAACCGCCACATGCCACCGGAACCAGCTCCTGTAGTACGAGTTCTTGCTGTAGTTGTTGTTGTAGTTTTCCTTTGCTTTAATGTACTACTTCCACCAGCACTACTTCTTGGGACAGCTAATTTACTAGGTGAACGTCCACCACCTCCGCCACCTCCTACTGAAGTCGAACTTGGAGAAGCAGGCTAAAAATTTTATTTTACAAAAGATATATTTTCTCTTAATAATTTTAATAAAATTCTTTTAATACCATTTTTAATTTTCGGTTATTTGTTCTTTATTAATAAAGTCTTCTTTTGAAAGTAAAATCACAACACAATGTGATTTTTTATTTCTTTAGAGCTCAGCAGCTATGCACAATATCAACTTGTGACACAAGAAAGTTAAAATTAAGAGATAACTTTTTTGACATTCAATTGCCACGATTTGAAACGTCAGCAAACGTCACTACTTTTTTTACAAATGCTTGTTGCTTTTATAATATTGCCAGATTATCAAATTTTAAGCAACAGTGCTGCCATTTTTTCAAAATAGTAGTTTTTTGTTTTTAAAGTTTATGTTATCGAAAATTTTCCTTTTTCACTATAGATTCCCCGAACTAAAATTGTTATATACTCCTATGTACATATGTATGTTACATGTGTAAAAACAAAAATAAAGGGATGTAGAATACAATATTAAGAGGTAATTATTTTATAGAAAAGAGTAGTAATTTATTTATACTTTACTAAATTAAAAAATTTACACAAAAAATATTTTAAAAAACTAAAATTTTTAAAATTAATCCAAATCAGAAATAATATTTTTACATGTTGTTTTTTTTAAGGAAATTTCAAAATCCAAAATTTTGGTCAAATGTTTAAAGTTTAATAACGCTAAAATATGGTTTGAGAGAAGCAATATAAAAAACTCAAACTTCAATATATGTATGTACCTCCGTATAAAACATTCAAAAGAAAAATAAATACAGGTACTTAAGTATAATGTGCAAATAGTCGTTAACACAAATTAAGTATGCGCGAGTTCAAAATAAGCATATGTTTGTACAAAATATCAATATGTGTACATATGTATTTGACATTTTATTGCAATTTTACATTCTTTCTGAAATATTGTAAAATATACATATTTAAGAATTTTATAATACCGCCCCAGTCAATAGAAATTAGTGATTTAGGAGTAATTATGTTTTTTATGGTATTTTGTAAATAACACGGGAAACATTCTTCTCACAAGATCCAGTTTTCTTTCATCCGGTAAGTAAAAATTTTAGATTGTGCAAATACATATATTTTTAAAATCTACATAAAACTGTAATGAATCTTTCAAGAAAACTCATTCTGTTTTCCAATATGATCCGGTTTTTCAAAAATCAAATAGTCATAAACGCTTTGACAGTAAAGTAAATTCAAGTTTGATAAAGTTTGGGATTAAATTTGGTTTAGTTTGGGATCAATGTATTTATCAGTTTTATTTTTACATACTTATATGTATAACAATTTTTACAGCTCTTTTATTATGAAAACAGGAAAATTAAGCAACTTTTTTTTATCAAAAAAAAAACCTCAAAAGATATTCAATTGATTGTTAAAATTTTAGAAAATTAGTGGGTTAGTAGTTTTAGAAAATTTTTTAGTAAAAGAAATGCTTATGTTAATTAAATTATTTTAAAAGGGCATCGAATATTGTAAATAACATACTAAATGAATATAAAAACGAAATTTTTATTTTTCTTTGTGATACTATTTTTTATTTAAAACCAAAAAATTTAAATCATAAGTACTCATACATGTATGTATAATAATTATGGTAAAACAAAAATAATTAAGTAATTAATATATATATATATATACATATAATATGTATATATATACATATTTTTTTTATTTTTATATTTTACTTTTTCTGTTTTTGAGGATTCTACAAGTGTTTTTTGAATTTTTAATTTTTTAATTAATTAATTGAATAGTTAGAGTTTTAAATAAATATTGTATTTTAAAATAAATGTTTGAATAATATGCAGAGTTTTATCTAAAGTGTCATAATACCTAAAGTGTCATAATTTTTAAAATACATAATAATTTAATATATAGTAATTTGATATTTTAAATATATTATTTATATATTGTATAATTAAAATTTTTATTTCAAATTTAGTTTAAAAATAGTTAGAAAACAGTTGTATGTATATTAATTACAAGTTGATGTGGTTAAAATTTTTTAGTATTTATTTTTGTTATTTATTTTGTGTACATATTATATAATTGTGTTTTTAATATACATAACTTTTTTTTTTGTTTCAAATAAATAAATATAAACGGTAAATTTATGTGGTGATTTTTGTGATTTCAAATTTCTAAGAGTGAGAAGTGTTTTACAGAATTTTTTTTTTCTCTTTATTTTGTATTTTAATAATTTTATGAAATGTTTTATTTGAATTATTTGAAAAGCATTAATGGAGCTATATTTTATAATTATGCAAAAATTTAAGTTTGAAGCCATTCGAAATTTAGTTTTTGTGTTCAAATTAATTTAAATTTATTTTGCTTGAAATTAATATTTTCATTTTAAATTATTTTTTTTTTAATTACAATAATGAAAAAGAAAATTGTAAAATATAAATATATTTAGTAATTTTTTTTATATAATTAATTTATGATAAAGAAAATAATTATTTTTGATTTGAAATTTTACAGGTTAGAATAGCGTGTTAATTTCTTTTTTTTTTATTGTATAAGAAAAAATATTTAATTTAAAGTGAATCCGAATAATATTTTAAAAGTAGAATATTTTTATTTTAAATTTAGTTTTTAATTTTAATTTACAGTAAATAGATATATACATATATGTACATGTACAACAAAAAACAAAACAATATTAAATAAATTTTTCATATTTTAAATTATTGAAAAAAAAAAAAAAAATCTTATTAATAAGGCCAATTATGAATTTCTATTTCAACTAGAGAACAAAATTTCAATTGAAATTTCATATTGATTGAATTTTATATTGGAAAATTAGAATTTTTCATAACTTATAATTATCTATGCATACATGAATATCTTGTTTAGAAATTTATTTACTTCACAATTTACATATGTTAAAATTTTGTTATTTAGTACAAATAGAAATTCATAATTGGCAGCATAAATAGCTTAATAGATAATTTTTTAAGCCCTTTCTTCATAATTTTTTCTTCTTGTATTTATTTGAAATTTTTATAGAAAATCGAATTCACATAATCATATTTATTTTGAAATGAATATTTTACATTATTTTAATATTGGTATATAAATGAATTTAATTAAATTGAAATAATTACATAAAAATAAAGGCGTAAAAAAATATTTTATTTGTGTTTTTTTTTCTCCTCTGCAATTATTCATAAAAGAATTTTTTATGTTGAATTTTTTTTTTTTTTAATTTTTAGAAAGTGAAAATTACTACATTAAACCGAAAACTACGTACATAATTATATAAATTTTTTTTTTGTATGTAATACTTCTTTTATAATTTTATACAATATTATTTTAAAAAATTTTCTGGATTTATAAACATAAAACCTTATTAAGGATGAATAAAATTTTTATATATAGTGTTATAATAATAATATTGGTATAATTGAATTTTTATGTTTTTTTTTTTGTATTTTAATATTATATATTATTTTATTATTTTGTCTTAAAATAATTTTTGTTCCAAAATAATAAGGAAGAAATAATAAATGTGAATAATATTTATGTTTTTTTTTTTCTCTTTTATATTTATTTTTTATAAATACAATAAATAAGCGTTAAAATAGTTTTGTAGAAGATGTTAAATACAATCTTTTAAAATACGCTTAATTAAATTCAGTTTTGGTTAATTATCAGCTGACATTTCGTTGATATCATCATTAATTGAAAGAACTTGCTTAATGAAATCTTGATCGGTAACGACTTCTGCAATAGATTTAAATATATCAAGTAATTCAATTTTATCAATATTTAACTGCGGTGCTAATTGTTCTATATGAGTTGTAACATGATCTGGTATCTAAAAGTAAAAAAATAAAAATAAAATAATATAAATTTAAAATTAAAATAAATTAAATTTTATAGAATTTAATTGATATTACTCGTATTATTATAGTATTGACTGTTATCATATTGAGAGCCTATTGAGTAAACAGCGTTTTGCCAACACGTTTTATAATAGATAAATTCAATTATAGTCTAAAGTTAACGTAAAATGTTTTTGTTATCTCCGTTTGTTACTAATTAATATTATAAGAGCTGTTCCTCATTATAAAATTAAATTTAATATAATGTAAAATTTCAATGTCTTGATAGATTCGGAGAACAATAAAGTTTTAAAAACAAGGATATTATATAAGCATATAATTAATTTGAGTACACATACATTTAATATTTTTGATTTCAAACCATTGTTTTAGTAAAAAATTAACTTTATTCAAAAAATTACTAATAAAATTTTCTCAAAAACGAAAAAGGAAATCTCATGGACCTTTCATATACGTATATACATATATAATAAGTGTAGGTACATGAAAGTCATGAATTTCTTTTTACAAATGAAGTTCTTTTTACAAATTACGAAATTCAAGATTTTCTTTTTTCAATTGTAATATTAAAATTTCTAGTTCATCCAAATTTAACGTATGAATCTACAAAAACAAAAAATATTCTTTGAAAGAATATATGTAAAAAAACAAATAACAATCAAATTTTCTATTATAATAGAAAAACTTTAGAGACTTACGAAAATATGGATGCAAAAAAAAAAACAAAACTGAATATGCTGAATTTGCATAATTATTTCTCTTCGTTCCAAATTTAATATGACATTTTTGTAAAATCTTTATGTAATTTTTGTGTTTTTTGTATCTAATATTTTATTCATCGATTGTTATGGAAAGAAAATTTTCTTAGTTTGGAAATTTCATGTAGCGATTTTATCTTTTACATTTTCCATTTTTTGAAAAGGGACAACTTCATTCCAGGCGTTAAGAGAATTCTTTCGAATTTTTTCAAATATTGTTCTTAATATTTATGTAGGTTAATAAAATTTACCTACATAAAAAAATTCCTAAATATTTAAAAAATTAAAAATCATATTGAATGTATAGGTGGAAATTGTTTTATGAATTTAATAAATATTTAATGATCACAATATTATAAAAAATTGTACAGTAATATAATCTTTAGTTAAACTTCTAAAATATACGCGCGGTATCAATAACTTTAATTTAAAATATTATGGTTTCTATACTAAAATAAAATTTAGAATATTTAAAATTATAAAAAGAAAAAACAAAAAGCAATTTACCTTGCTTGAATTTTTAAATACGTTAAATAATAGTTTCGCTTTAACATTTTGATTATTTTGTCCTTCATAAAACAATGTAAATTGTGGTTGTTCTCCATTTTTCGATAATATTAATGGAAAATATAAACCAGCAAAAACTCGTCCTTTAGCATCACGTGCCAATAGCGATCGAAAATCATATACTAAATTTCTTCTTACTGTTACATCAATGGCAGTTCTATATGGACGTTCAACATATACTAAATTGACTTTGAATTCTTGCTTATCACCACGTGTCTCTTTTTCACACCATTCAATATAATTAGTATTACGAATATTATAATTATAACAATATTCTCGTTTACAATGTTTTTCATCAGATTGAGTAAACCATCCTATAAAGAAATTAGCAAAAACAAAGAATTAATTATGTACATTAATGATTATATATTTATAAATATTTTACCAGTATGTGGATAGCATTGATCTTTCATTACTGTTACAGCTCTAGCAACATGATAGCCTGGATCTAAAACCATATAACCTTGACGTCCGGCAATTGATAATTTCATTGCTACAAGTGAATGTTCCTTTTCAACATTTGAATTTGCTGCATTAATACCAATTTGTTCACATGTATCTATATAATATTGTGGTTGTACGACTGCTTCTTCACATGAAACTATATATAAATATTTTGCTAAATCGGGAAATATTTCTAATATTCTAATAATAATTTCCATAGCTAAACTGACGCACATATGATGACGTCTATTAATTGGTATATCATAAAATTGAAAAAACGATTTTAAATCGGAACGCCGCGTTTTCTTAAAAGCTTTATAAAAATCTAAAAAGTTATTAACAGTATTATAATGTGTTACTTCAAGCATACGATGTAATTTAGCTTCAATTAATGCATTCATTTCTTCATATTGCCAAACATTATCAAATTTTAAGGTTTCTCTAGTTTCAGATGACCAATCTGGTAATGGTAGAGGATGTTCTAATGGCCATATACCATTTGTTTGATCGAATGCAGTTATATTATATGAATCAATAGCAGACCACCATAAATCACCAATTTTTAATTCATCAGATATAATTGGTTGAGTTCCCATTGTAGCTAATTTTAACATTTTCATAATTGGATCAGAAGAAATTCCAATCGGAAGTAATATTCCCTCTTTTGTATTAATTTTAGAGTAACTAATTGAACAAGCTCCAATATTAGCTTCTATAGTAGCTGCAGCTTGTTCTAATTTTGAAATTTCTTTATGATCATCTTCTATTAAACGATTATTGTCTGCTACTGTTAATTTATTATGATGATCGAAATCGTTTGCTGAATTTTTTATAACCGATGTCATATTAAGATTATGGATTGACGTTTGGTAAGTGTCCTTATCCATATTATTAGCCAACTTTTTATCATCATCTGATGCTGAAATATTTGCTCCATTATTTTCATAATCTGATGGAACTTTATTAATTTTATGATGGCTAATTTCAATGATTTGATTGACAATATCGCTTGATTTAATATTGTCATTATTTTCAATTGTTTTCCTATCAACATCATTTTCATCAATATCATGAGAAACTGGATTTTCAATATTAGAAAGTTCATTATTATCATCATCATCTTTATCATTGATAGTCAATCTTTTGAATTTGATTTCATCAAACTTAGATTCATCAATGCATCCAAGAGTATTGTCGGATACTGTTGATGATGCAGATGGTATGATTTTATTGGTTTCAGATGATGACTTGTTTTTTGTACGTTCTTTGGTTGAGGTGAACGTACAATCCCTACCAAGGCTGGTTTCGGCGAGTCAACTTGGCCATTCTGATCCCCAACGCCCAACAGTTGGAACATATCCATCATTTTCACCCTCATTATTTACGAAGATATTTGTCAAATTATTGTTTGTTGCTCCAGTTTGATTAATTTTCAATGAATTATCAATTGATGAAGCTGTAAAAATTTGAGCGGCAGCAAATTGATTACCGCAATTGAAGTTTGTCAATAATTTTTGACTATTCCGGTCCTGTAATCTTTTTGACAGGCCCGGCTCGTCACCACTTATTGTTGTTGAATTAGCAAGCTCTGTAAAAAGAATAAAGAAAAAGTTTTTTAAATTAAATATTGCTCTTTAATTTTAAGCCTAAGTAAATTTTATTTACACGTATAGAATATAATTCTTTGAAATATGGTACTCGTAACTGAGTTAAATCATTAATTTGTATAGAGTTAGTAACTAAAAGTTGGTTTGTAACTTATCGTTTTATTACTATCACGGCTTAAGAAATTTTGTGTTTTTGTCAGTTTTTGTATGTCATACTCTTACGTAGTAGGTATTTAATGTCTTGTTAAGTATTTAAAAAATTTAATAAACAACTTAGAAACAAAAAAAAACGTCATTGTCATGAAAATCTAATTATTAATCTGATTATTCGTTGATATAAATATTGGTGATGAAAGCAGTGTTTAATCTAATAATTGTTGCTTAAGTATAAATTAAACAATTGATAAACCATATCTCTATTTATCAAGTTGCTTGAATTTTACAATTTAATAATAAAATTTTCTGTGATTCTTGGTTTCGGGCGCCATATTTGCCGTACTTATTTTATTTTTGAATATTTCATAAGTACATACTCTCGTGTGTTATAATTGAATAACTAAAGTTAAAATTATGGAAATTTTGCTAAAATTTTTTAAATATTTAGCACAATGTTCCTTAAAACGAGAAAAACAAAACTGTTATAACATATCAAAATAAAAAAAAAATATAAAGCTTCGTTGTGAAACATATTTTATTTTTATATTTTATGACAAAAATGGAACGTGTCTAAGTTTAAATATTCTTTTAATTATTTCGTACAATATGGGTTACAAACATTATATGTACATATACATTAACCTATGTGTATAATGTGTATGTATATATATGTGAATATATACATGTCACTTTTAATTAAAATGCGAAAAATCATTTGACAAATCAAAAACTTTTGTTTAAAATTGAAAATTCATATATAAGTATGGATTTTGAATAAAATACACAAATGTATACATGTACATATACATATTCATATGTGTATAATAATTCTTGATTTTTTTGAAAAAAAAAATGTCTTGTCTTAAAGCTAAACAACCGTATATTCTAAAAACAATGCGTAATAACGAAAACGACTCTGCATTTCTATTGTATTTTCTTTTCATTTGCAATACAAATCCAAAACGGAAACTATAGATTAATTTTTATCCATTGAAAATTATACTGTCTTGAAAATAAGATATTTGAAATAAGTGTGTACAGAAAAAGTATTTTTGAAAATTAATATAAAATATTAATCAACTTTTTTTAAATTATGTAGATTTTATTGCATAATTTTGGGAGATGAACAAAAATTAAAAGAAACATTGATTTTATAACTACAATGAATTTATACTGTAAAATTGGTTATTAAGACGTTCACCAATTTATAAAAATTTGGTCAGATGATGGCTGTTTTAAGAGACCTATGAATCAAAAATATGCTTGAAGAAACAAAGTTTTAATCATTAATTGAATATAATTTAAATTCATGTATAAACGTTACATATATGTATATAAACATAAGGTATATGTGTAATAAAAACGTTCATAAAATAGATTAGATCTTAAAATGCTAATTCGTTGGCATTGTTAAAATATTCTATGCGATTAAGTTATTTTCATTTCAATGATATTTTATTTAATATATTAATATCGAAATTAACTATAATGTACATATGTATATATGTACATATATGAATTTATTTCATTAATTCAAAAAATTAAATTTTCAATATCACAATGATTTAAGTATTTTTAAATTAAATACGTCACTATACGTAAAAATAAGACCCTTGTATAGAGTATTAATACGCAATTAATACCTTACTCACTTCATTATTTCTTTATTTAAATAAAATAAAAATAAAGGTACCTTAAGATTATGCATAATTCTATGGTGAATGACTTAAAATGAAAAATAGGTGTGACTTTTTAAAAAATATATTTTCAATTATTAAAATTTTTCTAATTATAATAAAAAGTCTGTAAATACTAATAAATTCTGGAAATTTCAACGACGCTTACCCTCATTTTATTCATTTTAGATTCACTTATTCATTTTTCGTATTTAAATTATTTAAATTTATTATCTACTGCTAATTGAATTATTATACCAATACAATTTATATTTTTAAAAAGAAAGTCGCACCCTAAATAACTATTATGTATTTTTTTTTCAAGCAAATTATATTAAATATGCTAAATTTTTAGTTACTTACTTAAAATATTAAATGATTCATAAAAATTTTTTAGTAAATTAAATACTTAAATACACACATGTTATGTATGTAGGATTTTTAAATTATTATTAGAAAAAAAAAATAGTTTCTAATGCAAATATTACACAAAGCAACAAAAATATAATAAACATTTTTTTTTTGTTATGGCTTCTGTTTCTATGCGTGTAAAATGTGAAAAACTCGGTCATTCTATTTTTAAAATTTTTTAGAAAAATTAATAAAATCATGTACAAAGCATTCATTATACATAAGCATTTATATATACATAGCTTCGTTTTTTCTTTATAAAACCGTAAAAATTTCCAATAATATTATGTACTACATAGAACTATGTATATCACAAAGTTTTTAGATGTAGGTGGATATGTACTTATGTATTATGTGTACAAAAGAATAGATGTATTGCTAAGAATAGATTTTCAATTTAAAATCTTAATCAAATAGAATAATATCGATTACCATTTTTACTTTCATTAATTTGTAAAACGATTAATGTGTTATTTATTACAGTTATTTTGAAAATTACATGAAATTTTGATACAGAGACGGATTTACTGTACTATTAGCCGTAGTCTTTAATATTCTAATAGATTAATGATGCACATAATTCTTGGAATCAACATGAATACACTTTAGAATAAATTGTGTAATTAATTAATTGTGACACAGAATATCAAATTAATTTATTAGAAAATCCCTTTAAAAATTAAGCAATCGAAAATTTCACATATGAGTACATATAATAAATTTGTTCGTAATTTTGTTCCCATCATATCTGACAGCAACAAAAACAATGTCATTTACTTTGTATGTAAATTAAGAAATATTAATATTCTACAAAAATTTTTCAATACCCTCTTATAAATTTTTAAATAACAACGAAAGGCAATTTTTTAAATTTCATGAATAAAAATTAACACTGAATGTCGGAATGGTGTATGCGTACATATACATATATACTACACTATGTAGATCTTATCATGATCAAATTGAATAACAATGTTAAAATTAGAATTTTAATTGAATGACTAGTAGTAGATCATCGTAACCTTTACAATTATAAAAATACATACAAACATATACATACTTCCTATTATGTGCTACAGCAAATGTACAGTTAATATTATTTTAATTTTTCTTTTTTTTTTTCAATTTTTAAAAGTGAAATTTATGTTAATGAACTTTGAAACTATGTGACACAAAAATATAATACTGTTATACGTATATCTAATATGTTTTAATAATATTTTTTGTTAAAATATTGTCACGTTTCAGTGAAATTATTTTCAGTATCAAAGAACGAAGGTCTAATTACATACATATGTACATATGTATACGTATCTATGTAGCATGTGTATGTTTACTTAACTTACGTTTTGTTTTATTTATTACAAGTATGTAAATGAATATTGAAGCGTTTCCGAAGGAAACCATATACATTTAAAGAATCGATATTATGAATTTCATAAGATCATACATTTATACTCAAACTTGATATATATGTATGTTCATAAACCTACATACTTCCCATATATATATTCTATAAACCTACTTCATAAACCCATGTATATATAAGTATGTACCTACATATGAACAAAATTATTATTGATTAGCTGTAAAAAAAGTGGAAGTGTCCAAGCGGATATTTTTTATATGAATTTAAGAGAGATTACGAGAAGGAATAATATGCATATGTAAGCTTATATATAACAAATGTTATATATAAATATATATGTATGTATGTATGTATGTATGGAAATGAATATTAATGGTATTACCGTTAACATACATCCATATATATCTATAGTATAACATTTATATTGTTTGTTTATTTAAATGTACATATATATTATATATATATATATACATATACATATATATAATATATAGTTTTGTATGTTCAATATAAAACACCTACACATTATCAATAATGTTGGAATTGTAAAAAATTTTTGCTTGTTCGATGCCATTGGGATATAAAATGTGTACTATTGTACGCAAATATATACAAGCATGCTTACATTATACGTACATCATATACTGTTGTTATTGTTGGTTTGTTTAAATTATTACTTTGAATTAAAACATATTTCACACACATAAGTATATACGTTTCTTTAATTGACGTACTTGTGTATTATACATTTAACTTTGTTGTGTGTTTATACAATATGTTTGACGCAAGAATTAAAACGTGTATTTGAGTCAGCTGTTTCTCAGAATTACAATGATAATAAAACACAATGATGAAACAAATAAATTTTTTAATATGAATCATCAACTTGATTATTATTATGATGAATCTTTTATTAAAAGTCAACGGAAATTGTTTTTATTTTCTATACACACTTTGTTATCCGTTTGTTGTCCAAAAAAAGAAATTTAAAATTCACACATACCTACATGGTATATATCACTATCACAATATATACGTAATTATATATGAATGAACGTAATATTCACAATTGTAATATATATGTATTTACATATGTATGTACTTATATCCGCAAATTTGTGCGTACACAATTTAATATCTAAACAATTTGAAAGTAATTCAGGGTTAAATTAATAATAAAATCAAAAATGAATAAATAAAGTAAAAGAATTGTGTACATATATTCCGTTATTAATTGTGTATAAATTAAAAAATTTATTTATTTCTTTTATTATTTATTAAAGTGATTGCATATAACATTGTTTTATTGTAATAAACGAGTTGATTGCTAAATTTTGAAAGGGAAAGTCTATGAAATCTTAATTACGAATTGTACTTTAATATGGGAACTGAAAGAGACAACATATGTATGTACATGCATGTGTGGTTTTAATAACCATTTAATAAATAGAAATAAGCAATATATTTCAAGGTTTGTAAATTTAAATAATAATAATTGAAAAGTAAAATTTATATTATTGAAAATTCACTTAATTTTAAACTGTTATACTTTGTTATTTATGTAAAGCACTTATGTACATACATATGTATATGTAAATAGTATGTAAGTACAATGTATTTAATTTATTAAGTGTAAGCATGTAGAGTAAAGTTGATATTTATTAATTTGTGGTTATTTTTTTTTTAAATTGAAGGTCTCTTAATAGGATACAGGCGATGTAATATAGTAAATATAACAGTAAATTTCTAAAAAATATCGAAATTTTACTATTTTTTTAATTGTTTTTTATACCATATATAACAGCTTTAGGTAAATTAGTTTCTCTTTCATAAAATTATTTAAAGTTATTGTAATTATCTTTTAAGTTGTAATTTATTAGACAGTTTAGATAAAGCAAGTGTTATGACTTTCGAAAAATGATATTTTTAATAGAAAATTTAAATTTCAGATTTTACGATTTAACGAGTTTCTTAAACGACTATCTTCTTCAATTATGTAATCATTAATTTTTTCACTATATAATTAAATATTAATTTTTAAGAAATTAACATTTAAAGTAACTTAACTTTTAAATAATCTTATTGTAAGATAATTCATAAAAATTTATAGATTAAGAACAAAGAAAACAAAAAAATAATTAAAACTTTTTACATTTTTTTTTTATTTTTATTTATATTATAAACATGTGATCAGCAGTTGAGTTCAGGCCACGTGAAATGACAAAATCAGTATTGATAATTACTTGTAATTGTATAATTGAATTGATTAAAAATTTATTTATAAGTTTGCACTTATAATTTAAATATAAAAAAAAATGTTTATTTAATAAAAATTACAAATGGTTCTTGTACAATAAACCCATTTAGAATTAAACCAAAATAAATGCAATTATAATATTAGTTGAGTTTAATTAAAATATTCATAAAATGTAAGCTTATTTAGATTAACTGATTCATTAAATTAGCTGATCAAACTTTATTAGATTAAAAGATTATAGTCTTTTGAATTAAATCAAAATTTATTGTTTAAAAATTGTTTATTAAACAAATTTAATTTGTACTTTTTATAATTGTGAATATATGTAAAGTTGTTATTTTATTGAACTTTTACTGATAGTTTCTTGGACCTTATTGCGCCATAATTTTGTGAGTGATTGACTTTACTTATGGAATGCAATGATACACGCTGAATAAGCTAATTATGTACTAATTTTTTATTAATCCCGTAATTATAGGTTTATAGTTAAAGTTTGGTTTGAGTCTATGCTTTCATACATTAATTTTCTTGATTTGATTATTTTTGTTTGATTAATAATAAACATTTGTAATTAATGGTGTTTGATAGAAAATATACGACTATGAATAATGTTTAATATCTAAAATCTGCCCAAAATAAGTTCTTATATTTATTATCAGAGACTAGCAAGTCGATTAAAAGTTTAATAACAAAATGACTTGAATTATTAATTTGTTATTTGAATGAAAGTCGTTTTAAACCATTATATAGATTAAATTTATTACCAGATTTAAATTAAAATTTAATCATACGAGTATAATATTATCGAATTTAATTAATATAAAAAATCTCTTTTAAACTAATTTATATTGTATATGGATATATTGAATTCTTTTGAAATTTTCAAATTTTATAATTAATTCTAGATATTACTGGAAAATACTAAAATGTTCTTGCGCATTTACATATGTACATATGTATGTATGTATATAGGTGAGCAGCTAAGTTTTCAAGAAAATAAATTATTAAAACAATAACATGGCAACTTATGATGAATATACATACATGCGTATAACAACATTTGAAATTATCAAGTTTAAAAAACTTGAGTAGAAAATTTATATCGAAAAATTAATTAAATAGAGTTTTAATTAATTAAATAGAATTTCAGCTAAATATTTAATAATATTAATATATGTAGTAATAGTTATCCTCTTGTAAAACAAGCTTGAAATTTCATATCACATACGAGCTATATTTCATACTTTTGTTTTTCTTCTATATATTTAATATAAATGTTTAGTTTTAATTGAATTACAAAGTTCATCTGTTATATACAAATATGTATGTATATTATGTTAATTTTATTATTTTTAAAGGAAAAATGCATAAATATATATACATATCAAGTATTTCTATTACATATATTCTATTATATATGCATATATAAAATGCTATAGATAAGCTTGAACTTAAATTCAATTTAATGTTATATCAGGCAATATTCATTTAATGTATCATTATCGTCTTATATGTAGGTATAAGTACTTGAATTAGCACAATAATAAGCCTGGTAGATTATAAACTCTATATAAGTATATAGGGGTATAACCATGTTTATAATTTTATTAGAGTATATTTTTCTTTGTTTAAAATACCTACATAATTGAAGTTATATGTACATATGTGTATTTCTTTAACCCTGTGCAATTGTACGTACATATATATAACATATTAATATATGCCAAAATAAACCGTGATATAAAATGTAAGACATATGATTTTTATAAGTGTATGTAGCATCATATAATGCAAAATATTTTGTATGTATATGTAAGTATATAGATGTATTTAATTATAAATATATAATATACTCGCATAATGTACCAGAATGTTAAAATTTTTGCTGCGGCGCTATATTGAATGCCATATGCCATGTCATAATAATAAATTTATTTATTTAGAAATGCAAAAAAAAAAACAAAACAAAAATAATAAACGGGTTTTTTTAAATACACTTCAAATACATATTACTTTGCTTTTTTCTTATATTTAATGAATTTTTTTCACATTCACATAGTATGCTGCGCAATTTGTACAAGATCAGTTATACCTATATGGAATTGCTAATTTTTACTGTGAATGAATGTATAACAGTACATGTATAAATGAAATATATTGTTATACTATAACAAAATTTTTCGTTTTGATGTTTAGCTTGTTTTGTTTTGCCAAATCTAAAATAAAATTTAAAAATTTTTGGAAAAAAAAAATAAAACAAAAATCTTTTCAAATTTGGTTTTTATTTTAATTGAACGATCGTAAAATTAACTTAAAAACCATAATATAGAAATATTTTAAGAAAGCAAATTTAAAATGTGTATTTGGAAAAATATAAGTGAAGATCAGAGTAATTTCTCTTTTAAAAGCGAACTTTCAAAATAAAATTCTTCATACTTTTAAGAAATTTCGCTTATTTCTCGAATTTTGTTTTTATTCGCCACATTTTTTGGCGAATTCACTATAGTAGTATCAATATGCATATATCAATATTATATACAATAAATGTATATAATGATCTTTTAATTTAATTCAAGAAACAAATTTTCCATTATACATATTTATTAATGTGTTATACATTATAATAAGTACATTGATTGTTTAGATTTTTTGATATATGTATGTACATATCTAGGTTGCAAAGTTCATTTTACTTCAAGGTTTCTAGTTTATGAACTGTACTATATAAATACATAATATACATATGTATGCATATCAATATATATTGCACATTAATACATACATCTGTTAAAATGTTCTTTAAATTATATATATGTACGTACTTATATATCTAGAACGTAAAATTCAATAACGTACAAGTAAATTTTAATCAATTGATTTTAAAAATATAAGAACAATGAGATAATTTTTATATTTTAGAAATTATTATAATCCGGACAAAAAAAAAAAAAAACAATTATTTCACTCAAAGAAATTTATAATATAAAATCATTTCTACGTGAATGTGAATTTTATTGTATTTCAGTAAGAGCCTGAATAATAATATTTACGCAAATAATTTTGTTCCAAATTTAATTTGCTTTTGTTTCGATCTTAATCTCGTAAATTGTCTTAACTTTAATGTTTTTTTATATTTAAAATACGATATATTGCATAAGTATAGGCGCTTTTAAATTGTACGTATAAAATAAACAAATAAATAAAAAAAATATTATTTTTACGTTTCACTTAAATAATTATATTGGCATTCAGCTATTTTTCAAGTAGGTACTTTTTTTATAAAATTTTTATAATTCATTTTAATAATATATAACAGTTTTTTTATACCCGTTTAACAATTACAATACCATTTTTTATTTATTATATACCTACACAGTTCATTGTTTTACCATATGTTTGCATATACCAAAAATTTTGTATATTTGTATAAAACATATGTTATAATTTGCGTATTTAATAGTATTGTTTTTCTCAGTTATTTAAAAAAGAAAAATAAAAAAATTATTGTTATACTATTTTTATATGTATTATATTTAACTTACCCATACAATGGCAAAAGCCCCAAAAAATAAAATTTTTTTCTTCTCCCCTCCTTGCCGAAATTTGATGTATTACTTTTGTCCTCTGTTCTTAATAAAAGTTTAAATGTTCTACTTTAATTTATAATATTAATAATTAAAAAAAAATTATTTTTTTTTTGTTTTTATTTGTTGTTATTTTTTCTAAATTATTAGTAAACAATGAAATTCACTTGAATATTTTATTCAGAGGTGAACTTTATATTCCTTTTTTATTATTATTTATTTTTTAATATTATTATTTGAAAATATTCTCAATTAGCACAAGAAAAAAAAGAGAGTTAAATTGTCACTATCTATTTTATTTATTTTTAATTAGTAGTTTCTTTATACAATAGATGTCACTACTATACAGAATTAATTAAATTTTTTTTTTTTATAAATATGAAAACAGGAACATATTTATAAAATTAAAACGAAATAAAAACAAATTAAAATGACTTTTTTTTTTAATTGAAATTTAAAAAAAAAATTAAAAAAAAATTTTTTATGTACTTTTTCGAACAAAAATTAAAAAGATTTTTTCGCTCCTCTTCTAAAACTTCTGATCTGGCGAATTTTTTTTTTTTGTTATTTATTCTTCTTATATTCTTGATATTTTTCTCTAATCCTTTTCTCTTTTTGATTTTTTGATCAAGTTATCCGATTGAAAAGTTAAAAACAAACTGAATTGATCATTAAAATGTTGTAAACCTATATAGAGGTCGGAGATTTGAGTGTGTTAGTTAATTTTTGTTTGTGTATTGTGCTTTTAAAATTTTGCAATCAACTTGTATATGAGTTGGTATTTTTGGGTTTTTTTTTTCTAGCTCTATTTATATATACATGTGTATATTTAAAATATTTTCTTTTTCTTTTTATTGTATATTTTGATTGTTCTTCTTTTTTAACTTGTTATGATCTCAATCATGTTTAAATAAACAAGAGAATCAAAAAGCAAAAAAAAGAAAAACTGACTGGTGATCGTAAACAAATCGTTACATATAAATATTAATTCACTATAAGTACTACGATATATAGAATTCACAATAGGAATTTTATTGTAATTCACACTTATGTGTATCTTTGATGTTTTTTTTTTTCTTGGTGTATTTTTTTTTATTTTCCTTTAATTTGAATTTTTTCTCTTTGCATATTAATGTAGATCTATGTATTTAAATATGTTTATAGTATGTCACTCACTATACGAGTGTCATTAAAAGAGATCACTATACTACATTAAACTGTATATACTATTGTATATATGTAAGGGAATTTTTATATTATTTATACATTTTTATATTATAATGTATATACATAGGTAATTATTAATAAAATTATTAAGATAATAATGTAGAGTTATTTTGTTTTTTTTTTTTTAAATAATAACAAAAGTGTGAATGTATGTAAGCATATGCTTTAAACTCGATTTACCTCAATTATGCTTACATGTAATAATAAATTTGACAGTTTTTGCTTATGTACACCAGTATATATACATATGTATGTAGTATATCAAAATTTAAGTATTAGTCATCAAATATACAATATGAATTAAGTTTTTGAATTAATTTTTTTGCAGAATTTCAACATAATATTTCTAATTACTTTTAATATTTTTATTAAACACAAAATATACAATTCTAGTAATTAAATATAATAAATAAGATTTTTTTTAAAATCTAATCTAAAATTTTAAATTTTGGTTTTGTAGAAGAAAATATGAAACTTTTAAATACAATCGTAATAATTAATTTTTGTTCGCTTAAGTGTATTGAATTATTTTTTTGTAATTATAACTATTTATATAAAATAAATAAATAATTAAAATATTCTTAAAATATTTGAATATTCACCTTATTTTTCTGTTTTTAATTAATATTGTTTTTTTTTTTTTTTTGTTGAAACAATGGTTTTTATTTTAAAACGTCACACTTGAGTTTTTTTGCTTTACACAATTTAATTGAACAAAATTTTAAATAAAACAAAAACAAAAATAAAAGAAAAATTAATTAAAATAATAAAAATAAAAAAATTGAGAAGTTAATCTCCTCTTGAAGAGGTACAGAAGGTTGACTACAGCTGTATTTATCTTTATCTATCTGAAAATAAAAAACAAGAACAGAAAGGAATGAAAGATTAATAATATTGTTAATTTATTGAAAATAAATAAATATTTTTGTTTATTGTTCAATTATTAAGTGTAATACACACTATGATTCAACAATTAAATATAATTTATTACGATATACATACATGTACATGTACGAATACACATATGATTTCATTACCCAGTACATACACTATTATTTTCAAAAAATATGATTAATAAACTTTATTCGTTGTAATTCTTAATTGCTTATGTAATTGCCATATTCAAGGGCATTACAGTTCGTGTGTAATAATAGTTGTGTTCCTCTTAATGGCATATGATTTCAAACTACTGTCGGACTAATTGGAAACTGTTTTGTAAATGGAATACTGTTTTGCTTGTGAACTCCATTATATACAAACATTAGGCAGTAACCTACAAATTAAATGCGTTATGAACTGTTCTTTTGCAGGGGTGCGACGAAGTCTAATAAGTTTCAATAGTGTTATAAACTTTTGAAATAAAACTTGGTGACGCTGTTTCAGTTATAGTAAGAAATAAAGAATGCAATAATTGTTAACATCTAATTTTTTACATATAACCTTTGCTGTATTATAGAAACCGAGATTTAATAAAGTTCGAATTTTGCGTACAAAAATTATTTTAGTTGAATTGAAGTATGTCTTTTTCCAATTAAAAGCAACATGAACGTTTTAATCTCGTTTCATAATATCAAAAGAAGTTTCATAAGTAAGTGCTTTAGAAAAAAATTTAAAACTAATATTATTAATAAAGTGATTTCGAGGAAATTTATAGCATATTAGTCATATTTCTATCTTTCACGGTAACAAAATAATTTCTTTTTCGCAATACATTGATTTATATACATATATGTATATATTCAAAAATATCTCGATTTTCATCTACTATACAAAATTAATTGTTATTTTCTTTTTGTGTTCATATTGTTATATAGATAATGGGACCATAATGTGTGCTGTTATAAATTTTTTTTTTATCATTTTTGATAACATTATCTATTAAAATACTATCATACTACATGATACATTATCTTAGTACATGATCTCATTTTGATTGTAGAACAAAGGTTGAAAATATTGTTAAATAATTCATTATATATTACAGATAAATGGGGGCTTATATTTCTTATATTAATCTACATATAAACTTATATAATAATTCTTATAAACTAGGTAATGTTTAAGAAATGTAAATTTTTGAATGAAAACTTTTTATTTCCAATAAAATTGGAAAACTGTATAAAAGTTTTGTTTGCAACATGATTGTCTTGTTCTAATTTTAAAACTATTATATTTATGTAGAGATTATATAGGTCAAACTTAAAAGCAATGTAATTTAAAAGTTGTTAACAATTAAAATAAGAAAATAAGAAATTTTGACATATTTTTTGTGTTGAAAACAGGCAAAAAATTGAGGACGCCGCTAAATATGCAATTTATATATTTTTTTCAAATTTTAAGTAGAGTTTATTTGTATATTAAATTATTACTATAGTAAGCTAGTGTTTTGCTTATAATTTGCTAAAAAGAGAGAGCACTTTTAAAGTTTTTAAAAGAATATTTAATTAATTGTCTATTAGAAATTTTTGTAAATTTACGGCCCGGCCCTTTTATTTATTTCATGATATTTAGTCAAAATATACACTACCAGAAAATATCAATTTCCTCCTTTACTCCGAATTTCGTGTCCGTTTCGGCTCCATTCCGTATTTCTGGTTTTAGTTATCAAAAGCATATAATAAAATAGTTTCATTACAATATAAAACTTCATATAACTGTTTCAGTTTTTCCGATAAACTTATCAATACTGTTATACCCTACTCAATTTCAGTAAACATTCATAATAAACTTTCAATCAATGTGCACAAAAATCCAATATGTCAGTCAAAAATCTTAATTTTTTTAATTTGACAGACAGTTCTTTCATTTATCATCTTGCCATTTATGTTAAATAAAATTTTAAAACGAAAAATCTCAAATCTTAATATTTCTTATTTAATACAAGATATTTTTTACATCTTTTTTCTTGGTTTTATTTTAATATGAAAATAAATCGAAAGAAAAACCAATGTATGTTTGTATGCATGTTAGATCTTAATCCAAAATCATAAAAATTTTTATTATACAAAAAATAATATTTTATTGAATACCATATTAATGCTAATTGGAAAAATGTATAATTTATGGTTTATTTATATAATATTCTAAATTGTTAAATAAATTGATATTGTAAAATAAAAAATTTGAATGTCAATAATCAATAAATAAAATTATTATTTATATAATAAAAATCAATATTTTTTATTTTAGAAATTACAAAAATTTTTATATGGTTAAATTGTGATGATTTTTTATTGGGGATCGTATATTAAATACAATGTTTTTGTAATTTTAATAAAATTTTCTTATTGGAAATAAAATAAATAAAATCAAATATAAACTTGGTCTTATAATTACCAAATTTTGAAAATTAAATAATTATATTCATTTATATATAAATAAAATAATTTAATAATTTTATTTAATAATTTTAATGGTTTTTTTATTATTCAATTGAAAGTTTCACACAGAACAAAAGTGCACATAACACAAATTTCATTTTAGCAGTTGAACAGTAATTTTATTTTTTTTTCTGGAAAATTAACTTATTCGTAATACAATTTGTATGAAGGGTTTGTATGATCCCGAAAATATGCAATTAAAATTGAATATTTGAGAACATACACATATTTAGTAAAAAATTAAAAAGAGATGCTTATTGAGGCTACCCATCAAAATTTCAAAATCGTATGTGTAAAAATGGGAACTTTAACCCTTTATAAAGCATAATAAAGTTGTAAAACACAATGAGCTCACAAAAAATTACGTTAGAAACAGCAACAAAATTTTCGATTACAAAAAAAAGTTATAAATGATCCTACCAAGAATAAAGTATAAAGTAAGAAGTAAAAGGAAGAAACTGCTCAGGAATTACTTTTTTTCAAGTTTTCAAATTTTGCAACACAGAACTGGTGTCAATTCTGAATATTTTTCTATTTATAACTAATGATGCAATTTTACTCAATATTGATTTGTCAATATTAAAGTGTCTTAAGATAGTGCTCGTTGAGACACTGTTTAAAATTTTCCAAAACTTATTTTAATTTTTTTTGTCTTTATTTCAAATTAAAATAATAATCCTTATTAAAATTGTAATCATAATATTCAAATTTAAATTCAATTATTCAATTAATTAGTTATTTCTTATTTAATCATTGTTTAATTTTTCAGCTAAAAAAATATTGTTACATCGTCATTTATATAATTTATATGCATATATGTATGTATATATGATATATGATTAAAATCTATATAAAATTATCTATAATGTAATTATGTAAAATGCAATTGAAGTAAATAAAACTTAAGTCTTAATTAAATTTGGAACAATAACATAATAGTGTCTATATTATGGAATTTAAAATAAAATAATAAGAAAATTCTGGAAAAAACACTAATTGAATAATTGTTTTACCTACGACAAATGAACACTAATTACGTTAGCACGTGTAACTGCAAAAATATAGAATCACTTATATTGAAAACGTGCGGTAAACAGCACATGTTTTTATTTTTTTTATATATGTATGTATTTAATATTGTATGTATACTTATTTCAATACACACTTTATTTCAAATAGGTGAATAGGAAAAGAAAACAAATATGCGTCCTACACCCTTTTTTATCTTTTGCATAATTTTAAAATGAAAAAATAATAAGAAAAGCAACAGTACTGTAGGTACTATTTTGAGAAATTTCTATAATATTCGGCAAATTTATATATTTCCTTATAGCATTCACCTGTTTTTATGTCAGGCAAAGTAAAACCAAAGACAAAAGAAATTTTTCAAAGCAGTAGATATAAATCAGAATAATTCAATTAAATAATGCTTGTTGCGGTATAATACGAATATTAGGGTGGACAATTTAAGGATTTGTTTCAATAAATTTTAGACGATTAAATGGAAGAGAATACATACTGTTATTATAACGAATCACGTATATATACAACCAAATTTATTAAAAGCTGTCCTCCTCCTCCTCTCTAATTTGAAAGGTGGCATTTTGATCCGCAAGAGAAGGGAGTCTAAGCAGTAAGAGCAGCAAAAGACAGACCTTTACAAGATAGTCGAATTTTTTGAAATGATAAGGAAGCTCTCTTCATGCCTAGTAGTACACAATAGACCAGTAGTGGGTCGTGCCGCAATTTCACCTTAATGTCACATATTTAAAATATAATACTTTTGTGAGTTGGAAAATATCCTCTCTCGTGCTTCTCGATGAATTGAAAACTTTTATGAAATTAATATTGATAATTTACAATTTATACAGGTAACTACCGTTAATATTTTACTTTGAAATAATGTATGTAC